AAAACACATGCTAATTCATGGCTAATACTGCTTTCCGATTTGCCAACATACATAAAAGACCTCATGTATGTTTTCATGCTTTTTTCATGAAGCTTTTCTTTGCCCCCTGCCCCCCCAAAAAATCTTCTGCATTTATTCTACTTGTTTCTTCCATAAAGAAATTCACACTTAGTGCTTGGAAATTTAAAATTTAAAGAATGCAGAAAGATAAACCACATCTTTAATCTAACATGAAAACGTGGTATAAAACAGGGGTAACAGAGGAATGCAGAAATCACTGGGCTTATGTAGAAGTTCATTTTTCTGCACCCCCAGTTGAGAAAGCTGTTTCCATTTAATAAGGCTGCAATCCTATATCCACTTACCTTGAACTCATTGAGACTTATTTCTAAGTAGACATGCATAGGATTGAAATGTACTTTTATTTTGGTAGTAGAGCTTTATGGCAGCAGCCGGATGGTTAAGTGCTCTTGAAAAGTAATATAAAAATGATCTAGCAGTGCTTCAACTATTGCTTGAATGGGCTATTTGCTTTGGGTCTGTCTTTCTGTGAAGGTTGGTGTGATTTCTGCCTCTTGATGTTACCTGTAGTGTAGCTGAGCATTTCCTAGGTATATACCCCGACTGCATTTGCCACTCTGGCCTCATGAGAGAACAAATGGGCATAAAGCTTGACACACTGAAGAAATGAACTTGTAGCAAATGTGAACATTTCATGATCCCATCTGAGACGGTGGACGAAGCTGCCCTAGTCATGCTTCCATATATTTAGATTGGTAGCTGAATTCTATTCCTTAAATGGTATATAATTATAATCTAAACTATACACTTACACTCTGAAAACCAGAGTTATTGCTTAGCCCACTTAAGATAGAACAGCTTAAAAGTCTATACTCCTCCCTCCTCCTCCTACAGAATGTGAACGGTATAAAATATCATGCCAAGAATGGCCACAGAACACAGATACGTGTGCGGAAGCCATTCAAATGTCGTTGTGGGAAGAGTTACAAGACAGCTCAGGGTCTGCGGCACCATACAATCAATTTCCACCCACCAGTGTCTGCTGAGATTATCAGAAAGATGCAGCAATAACATGCTGGTCACATATGTGCCAAGGAATCCTCACCAGCAGTTGCTGATTTTGAAGACAGCCACCTTCTCTGGGGAAGCACTGAGCGACCCCGTAAAGAATTTAAATTGCATGCTTTACAATTTTTTCTGTAATTTTGGAATGATGTATCTTTGTAGAGTTAATGATTTTGTACATTTGCACATGTAATCATCATGCCCATATACGTTAGTTTGATATAAAGGTGCTAAAAGCTACAGGTTTTCTGAAGTATTTCCCTCCCCCCAAAAGGAGAATTAGGGTATGCTGTATATTTAGTTGCTCTGCAGTGTTAAAATAAGAATGGGGAAGGGGAGGAGGAAAGCTTGGCACTGAGAACTTCAAGATTGTAATGTGATTGAAGAAATTCGACACATCAGTTCCCATGTGCTTGCAAAACCAAAACAATTCCCCATTATCCACCTGGTTAATATGCCTTATATAATAGAGATATCTGTGGGATAGGAAGGTTTTAGGTATTGGAATTATAAATAAGAGAATGTTTAACATATGCTAAAAATATTTTCATACTCAGATAACATACATAAAAGGTGTGCTTGCTGTATTTTATAATACCTTGCAAATTCTTTAGCTCTCTGAAATGCTGAAAATCTTTGCATTTGAACTAGTAAACCATTCATTCTAGCATTAGAATTCCTACTCCTGTCTGTAAAGGATGCTATATAATGTTAAAAGACCCACCATAATTCCAGAAGACCAAGTTCTCCTGGTCTCGTTCTTCTTTAATATCTACTACTAGAAGACATTTGGAAATAAAGTGCAAATTTGTGAGGGAGAAATTATCTTCATCTTAGATGAAGTTCTTAAAGCACTTTGTAGTTCTCGATTGCCAACAAATTTAAATGTTTTATGTATTGCCAACTCTTGCAACCCCTGTACTAGTATGGACCAGTGGTTGCAAATAAAAAATTCTAGGATGTTTTAATGAGGTACATTATTTGTGTTAAGGGAGTTTCAAGTTCCATTTACATTGTACCTTCAGATTTTTGTATATATAATATATATTTTCTAACTAACTTACTGTGGGTTGTTGCATTCCACAAGTTTAGCATTAAAAGTTTATTTCTGAACTATGAGACATCATGAGCCTTACTGAAATGAAGTGCTTCTTGAATCAGGTACTCGATGATAGATCTGATAGATGATAGATCAAAGAGATACTTGTGTCTGGACCATACCTGAATGCTTTGTTTATTTGATGCTCTCCTGCCTTCATTATTGTCCTCTTGTGTAAGTGAAAGTTAACAGTTTAGGTAGTATGCAAAGCTACAGATTGTATCCACTTATGTCAAACTTGGAGTAGACCCAATGACCCCAATTCACTTTAGTCATAAGCAACTTACATCCCTCATTCCATTGCGTTTACTCCAACTATGCCAGTTGGATACAACCCTACGTTATTAAAACTGAGAGGTTGTCGCCCTCATGAGAAAAAGCTAAGTTTTAAAGGTAATCCTCTTCTGTGTACTTAAGTATTTATATATGTATATTACATGGGAAATGCAAGTCTTCATTCTTTTAGAACAAATAAGCCCTTGCCCCTCAATCTTTAATTTAAAAGATTTTTCAGAACTTCTGAATCTCTCATAATGAGGGTCAAAAAGAATTTCAAACAAAGCCTCTTTAAAAACAAACCACCCTCAACCATATTCAGAAAAGTACATTCTATAGCCCATGTAAAGCAGCCTTCTGCAACCAGGTGCTCTGTAGATGTTTTGAACTGCACCTGCCCTCAGCCAGAGACCAATGGGTGTTGTAATCAAAATCACCCAGAGAGCACCAGGTTGGGAAAGGCTGGGGTAATGGTTGACCCAGACATAAGAATCTATTGCTTGCACTCAAAGCTCTACTACACAGTATCTAATGTTTTACTTCAGTGTCATTTCGCTCTGCTCTCAGTAAATGAAGGCAGGCTAACCCTACTGAACAGATAAGCAAAATGTTGCATGTCATTCCCTTTCCCACTATTACAATCAACTTGCTATTTACCTAGTCAGTGTGACAGTATTAAAACAGGTAAAAATGGGACTATTTTGTTATACTGTGTATAGTGAATGTATTGTACTGTGTCTGTGATAATGTGCTTTAAATTATATTTTCCTATATTTTGTTGGGGACAAAGTTCATTAAGTTTGGAAGTCACAAGAGGTTTGTTTTAGAACTAAGCACCACAAAGTGCATACCATTTTCTTTCCATTAAAGCTGCTTATAATGTACATTGAACCACATTTAATAAATTGCCTCCGACCCAGGAAAAAAATTAGATGCTGCTTCATTATCTTTCATTGCTTTGATCTGTAAAGAGCATGCTGTACATTACCCAAATCATACAATAGATTTGCAGTTTAACAAGACTGAGATAGTGGTAAAACAGTAACGGCATCGGATGATACGGTTGCTGTTAAAGCTGGTGGCATTAACTGAATCAGTCAGGTGGGCAGGCTTGCAAAAATCTCAATCAGGGCTGGTTTTTATTATAGTCATAAGGCTGTAAGTTTGTAGATTTCCTCTTCTCTTTCTAGACTTGGCCAGTGTTTTCTAATCCAAATTCCCATCATAACTAGGAAACAATTGGCAAACCATTATTATGTGTACCTTGGTGCGAAACAACATTCTTGAGCTAGGAAAGGAAGGGGTAATGGGATCGTGCTAGTCCATGGCCTGCTCTTACTTAGCTACGCTTGAGACAGATTGGATCACTAACCAAGATAACTTACTCAGAAAGTGAAATTCTAGAAGAGACAAACACATCACAAAAATACTACACATTTTTCTCAGTAGCAATGAAGTCTTAAGTAAACAATGGCTTAATCCCAAGACATTTTCATTCCCACAGGGGATAATGGCAATTTCTCCATCTGCAACCCCCTCTGCCCTCCCCCCAAAAAAGCTACAATGGAGGCCATGTCAGTCACAACTGAAGGAGCTTCAGAAACACACAAGGGTGCCAAATGAAGACTCATGATCGATATTTAGTTTTTGTCTTTAATTTGACTATTGTACAACAGATGGAAAAGTGAATTTTATCCAAAAGGATCAAATTACTTACTAAAGTTTAAGCTTCAAAAATATAGTGTTTTAAATATACACACCACAAATTTAATGGGGGGAAATGTGCAAAGCAGAATGCAGAAGATTCTAGAAATCTTAATCCCTATGAACACAACTTGCTAAAAACAATCCAGGAAAAAGGAATGGGGGTGCTACATAACACATGTTAAAAATCTGCTGAATACAAGTGAAGCCTAATGGTAGAGATTTTTATACAATTATTTTCTAGCAGACCTAAATGCAGAACTTTTAACAGATTACTAGTGTACTTGACATTTGCAAGAGATAATAGTTATGCAAAAGTGAATGTTGCTGTAAGGATGTTGTGCAAGCATGTCTCTCAAAGCAACTACATTTCTGACAGAGATGTAAAAAACTATATTTTTGTTGGATAAATTATGTTAAACTTTCAGAATCAACAATCATATGAAGGATACACACAAGATTACCAAGAAACCTCATTTTATTATCATGGAATGAGAATTTTAATATCTAATCATAAGCAAATGCAAGAGCAAAATCAAGTCATTCTGTACACTTGCCACTACTACAAACTCTACTTAGGAGGTTTCTGAACAAGTCTGTGCATTTCCTGTGTTCTTATGCATTTTGTCAGCCAGGGAATAAATACTGATAGATATTATAACAGTTCTGGGTGTATGCTAGATCAAAGAAGGCTAGCCCAATACTTGCTAATAGGCCAAAGCACTGTACTGAAAGTAGCCTTTAAACAACAAGTTGTGACGGCTGTGTACTCTTCTCTTACAGAATTCGCTCATTCAAGTTTTGTCTAAACTAAACTGCCTTCAGATGCCTCAAACTAGTCAAAATTCAAAACATTCTGATCAAAGTGTGTTTGTACGTGTCTTTCAAAGCTCTGCTGGTCATAGTCAGGAGGGAACTGTTCGCTGCACATGGGACACACCTTCCAGTGACTCTCAACATGTTCTTCAAACTTGCTCTGATCATAGTTAGGAGGAAACATCACTTCACATAGGGGACACTTCTTGATGTGCACAAAACTTGGGATAAAAGAGGAAAGAACAACCGTTTGAGTTCTTCCATTGCCAGCATTCCCTGTGGCACCCCTAAATTGTGGAATTCTTTCCCACAGGTGTGTGAGACACCTATTATGTAGTTTACATATTGTGTTTTTAAATTGCTGTAACCTGCTGAGATCTCATGGTAAAGGGCAGGTAAGAAATCTATCGTCACAATTATCATTATTAGCATAGAGAGCCTCCCCCCGCCCCAACCTTGCAACTGAATTTTGATACTTGCATGCCATCCAGCTTAACAAAGTTGTTTTCCACAGGATTAAAGCACATACCCCCAACAATTTCTAGCTTTTGTGCACTGTCTCCTTTTAAATGCCTCAGGTATATGATCTCTTAATGGAGGAAAGCAGGGGTTGATGTGTCTTTAAAATGATTATTAAAAAACAACAACCCAAGATGTTAACATTCTGCTGTAAACAGAGCCTCCAAATCTAACCAGACAATTTCGCTTTTGTCACAAATTAAAACCAGCCCAAATAATTAGTGGGAGTGAATCATTCAAGCCTGACTCATATTTGAGAAAATACCTCCAACAAACTCTTCCCCCTTTCCACTTTGTTTCTACAGCTAGAACAATGTGTACCAAATTGAAACTGCAGTCTTTTTTTTGTTTTGTTTTAAAAATGTATCACAAAATAGTGGTGGTGCAGTGGTACCTTGGTTCTCGAACAGCTTAGCTGTCGAACAAATCAGCTCCCGAATGCCACAAACCCAGAAGTGTTCAGGTTTGCGAACATTTTTTGGAAGCCAAAAATCCAATGTGGCTTCCGCAGCTTCCCATTTTCAAGTTAAAAAGTTGTGATCCAGAGAACTGCTTAGGCCATGGCATGAGATATGACCCATCCCAACGGAACCTTTCATTTCTTTCATTTCTGTCAACATGCCATGATAGTGGAATGTTGCAGGAAAGCGTAAATGATGGCTCCAACATTACTATATGCCTGACACCACTTTCACCTACAAGAAACTACCTTACCTGGAATCAAAACAAAAGCCTGTTCCACGTTCTTGTAAGCCGAGGTTTGGTGGCTCCGGAGCAGAAGGTGTGCTTGCCTCATCATCCTGAAAGTAAAACGGTCGGCTTTTTATCTCATATATATCTCATATATTATCTCATTCATTTATATATATATATATATATATATATATATATATATCTAATGTATTTCTCTCCATCAACTGGCAAATCAAAAATTCTTCATTCTTATTCTTCACCCCAATAAGAATAGCTGGAGCCTAGGTACAAAGCAAACCCTCTTTGAAATAAAGACACAGGGCACCATATTAAGCCAAAATTTCATTTCATATACTGCTAAATTAAAAAAAAGTTCAAATGATAAAACATTTATCTGCAAGAAATACAAGAGGTGGGAAGAAGTCATTGATTTGGTGCCACAAGACGACTTCTTCCCAATGACTAAGTTTTTTTAGTGGGCTAGATGTGCCACTGCAGCCTATCCAACAAGTCACTTATGTCACCTTGCAGTCAGGCCCAACTACTACTGAATCATCCTATCTGGCTGGCTCCTCTCATCACTGTCAGTTGTGCTCGTTTCACGAGCAGCAACAGCACATAAACAGCTGCAGTTGGCACTAGTAAGATCACTACACCAAGGCATGCCCTAGAGCTTCTAGCAGAGAAAGCTTTTAAGAACTGTACAAAATGTATTCCTGCGCTCAAGTAATTTCAAATTTCAGCAAATCAACATGAATATATAAGTGCTCAAGCAATACCACATTTGAAAGAGGATTTGAGGTGTTTTCTTTATTTTTGCCTGTTTTGCAAAACCAACTACGTGAGTGTCTTGACATTTGGAAACATTTGTGATGTAACTAACAAGAATTATTTTTTCAGATCAACTAATAAGATACAAAGGCTCGTTAATATTTTTCCTTTTTGCTCCAACCCAGGCTTCCTCAACCTCAGCCCTCCAGATGTTTTTGGCCTACAACTTCCATGATCCCTAGCTAGCAAAACCAGTGGTCAGGGATGATGGGAATTGTAGTCTCAAAAACATCTGGAGGGCCAAGGTTGAGGAAGCCTGCTCCAACCTGTTACAGGTGTTTATTACCCACATAAAAATGTTATGGCAGCAGCTAACAAATTAGCAAAGTATACTATCCCAGATATATTTTTAGAGATAGTCCACAGAATGCTATTCCAGATGTACTTTTATCATTCACATAAACTCAATATTGGCAGTTTGGTGCATGCACTTAGCCACTATTCAGAAGACACTGACAGGGAGATTTGAGCATACATTCACAGGCCGTACATCTGATTAACAGGTTATTTACACTAATTTTTTAAAAAGTGAAGGGATTGCAGGCATTTTATGTATATGCATATCCCCAACAATGTTAGGTCTTACATGTAATAAGAGGACTCCATGCAAAGCTGCTACCCTATTGTAGCAGATACATTAGGACTGGGATTAACTGCGTAAGTTCAAGCACACAGCACATACATAAGCAGATTCTGATTTAGGAATAGATGTCAACACCAGCATACAGAAGGGAATACAAGATTGCACATTTTTGTGCAGGATACTTGCATGCATTCCACTGATGCTTCCACTTAAAAAGGAAGCAACCAGACAGTTTATCTGATCTCTTGATAGCTCATTATGCTAGATGCTCTACATCTAATAAGATAAATTTCCTGCCACAAACTGCTTAGTTTGCTTACTTCTGAAGGGGTATTTTGATATTAATCTGCTCCGCTCTATAGGTGCCTGCCAAGCATTTGTAGGTAGTTAGCAAGTGCAAGGTAGTTAGCATCCTATTTCTTCTGTTTGAACATCCTTGCTGGGAACAATTAAGTGATCTTCACTTGACAAGCAGGAAAAGTAGGATGATAAGATGTTAAAACTTCTATTTGATGTAAGACAAGAAAAATCTTCTGTGAACAGGCACACACTTGCCCAAAGTTGGTTCCCATTTGAGCATATTAGGATCCTTCTACCTCATTACCAAATCTAAGCTGTGTCAGCAAATGAGCACAAGACTTTAGCTCTGTTCCTCTTGGGTTTGCGAGAGGGCAAAGCACATAGATTAGAAAGAACACTCTGCTAATTAAACTGCAGTGGATGACTAAAGAGGAGAAGGGCTTGTCATCTGTAATGTCTGTGCCAAGAACGATCATATTAAATATGCAAAATGTGAAGTAAAGGTAAGGAAGAGCACTAAGCTCACATCCAAGACCTTAAATAGGCCGCAAAAGTTCTGACAGTTTTCTTAATTATTCACAGTAATGGACTCAGGGGGCAAAAGGCAGGAGGAAGAGATACATTTTTCTCCATTATAGGTACTGAGCACCAGGGCTAAAATCATGCCTGTCTGAACACGGATCAGTTTCTGCAAAGGTTAATAGCAATTAAATGTGGCAAACTAGACTAAATGAGAAGTAGGTCGTGATACCACTATGCTTGCAAAGAGCATAGGACTTTGTAAAGAAATGTTTCTTATTCAAGTGTTTCTTAAAGTTAAAGGGAGCAAAAAACTGTGCCGAGCACTTAACAGCATTGTTTACCGTAGTTTATTGTATCTCATGTCCTAAATATTTTACATTTATTAAATATTACATGGGCAAGGGACTATAACCACAGTTTGAAGCAGGAATTCCATAAAGAAAGTAACTTTTACATTATTGACGAGACTTCCAGTATTGGGAAATACCAATTGTCTTTTGTTAATGTACCAGGAAATGCAGAAAGGAAGCACTCTGCCAGATGCCCTACAGCCACAGGCGGGCTGCACTTCCTGTACTTTCCAGGAAGTACCTAATGGCAAGAGGGAGACCAATGTGGCTCCATACATCAGCCACTGGGAGTGCAGCTACTCAAATACTTGTTTGCCTCTTCCTTCCCCATTCCCTTTTCCTTTTTCTACTGGGTCCATCAGATTGTCAGGCTGCAGGTACAAAATGCTGTATTTTAACTATGCACAGAACTTAGAAAAGGACACGGGTGGCGCTGTGGGTTAAACCACAGAGCCTAGGACTATGCCAATCAGAAGGTTGGCAGTTCGAATCCCTGCGACGGGGTGAGCTCCCGTTGCTCAGTCCCTACTCCTGCCAACCTAGCAGTTCAAAAGCACGTCAAAGTGCAAGTAGATAAGGGAAGGTAAACGGCGTTTCCGTGTGCTGCTCTGGTTCTCCAGAAGCGGCTTAGTCATGCTGGCCACATGACTCGGAAGCTGTAAGCGGGCTCCCTTGGCCAATAAAGCGAGATGAGCGCCGCAACCCCAGAGTCGGCCACGACTGGACCTAATGGTCAGGGGTCCCTTTACCTTTACTAGCACTTAGAAAAATGTAGGTGATTTATAAGCATGTAGTAGTCGTAATATAACATCTATTTAAATGTTTGGTAATGTCAGCTTCCAAGTATTATTGTTTCAAAAACATCCCTATTGGCATTCACCTTTATGTCTACTACTTTTCTTCCCATTTCCAACCTGAATTTCCACTGAAACCCCTTCCAATTAGGATAATTTAACATGGTTAACCCAGTGCACATGTTACAGCTACCACTATATGGATAAGTAACTATATGTCAATGTGTGTTTTGTCAAGTGAGCATAGCCCATAGATAATAATTAGTAACAGCAACCGTGGTGCAGAGAGGAGCAGCCGAGGTCTATAAACAGAAGTGTATGAACAGGCAGGAGTGTATATGCATACATTTAGATGGGGTCAGCGACTAGAAGGAACTAGCTGTGACCGAAATTTGTCATTTGGTTAATCAGAAAGAAGCATCTCCTCCAGAGAAGAAATTTTCTTAGTAAGATTGTGAAGGGAAGGCTTGCACCTCAAAACTCAAGAAGAGCAAGAAGTTACTTTATTTCTCACTTACATTACTATCCTCAGGATCTTCTAAACCATCAGGCCGGCTGAGGTTGCGGGCTGGTTGGCTGCACACTACATTGTCTTCAAGTTCCCAAGCAGGTGCTCTTACAGGTGGCCTTTGGATCTCATCAGGGTAAAAAGCACCATCTGCTCCATCTGCAATCACAATCAGGCAATGAACTCCAAGTGGCATACAGCAGAGAGTTCTTAAACACACTCGAAAATAATTTCTCAAGAGTTTAATAAGTAAAACAGACAACTTGGACAGAGTGTAGGTGAATGAATTCTCTTTTAAAAAAATAAACCTCTTCCTCGTAAAACAATATTTGTTGACTGTTACCTTTAAAGACTATTGGCCAAAATTAGCTTACTGACTTCATTTGCTCGGAAGTGTACATTTCCATTTGGAATTCTCCAGTGAAAACAAAAGCCGGTGCGAATAGTTTCCAAACCTCTTGTTTCCTGGGCTGTATAAGGGTTTCCATACTGCAGTACTGGTAACCGAGTTGGCACAGCAGGAACCTGTCCATCATCCCCTGAAGGAAGAGCAGTATTGAGAAAATATACTGCATGCTGAGAAATCTGTCCTTCGGTGATTCTGTCAGTTTGATTTTCTGATCTCCTTCCAGGGCTCTAAAGAGAAGTGGAAAAAATTTATGTACAGGCAAAAATAACCCATATAAAGTCTGCAATAAAAGATGGCCTAAAAAAAATATTCAGGCTTACTTGAAGCTGCCTTTGACCACTGGGTCCAGCTAGCTATACTAGTCTATACTGACTGACTGTAGCTCTGCAGTTTCATACAGGTTATTTTCCCCATCCCTACCTGTAGATTGAACCAACACTGGGCTATGGCCCTTCTCATGACCTTTTTCATATTTCTTACACAAACTGCCATTAGTTTCATGTTATGTAGAAGATGACTTTAAACAGATTTCATAAAAGTTTGCCACTTGAGTGGCATTCATTAACATGGACAAATTAATGCTCTGTTTCAATTACAAAAAAAAAATCTGAGCTAAATAAACACCAGTTACGATTATTCTTGGAAATCTGTTTGTGTAAAGCACATACATGGACTGCTAAGAATACCATTGCAAGAACACTCTCCACTGTGCTGTGCAAAACAATCAGGCTTGATACATGACCTCCAATTTACTTGAATGGCTTAGCAGCAGCTGTCATAAATGTGTACTTGAAGTGAACAAAATACACTGCAGGATTTGTGGACATTTGAATCTAAATGCTTACTCGCTCAACTCTAGGTGACGGAACAATTTCAGGACCAGACCATTGAAGGCAGTAGAGGACTGACACTAGTCATTAGCGTGAACTTAGGAAGAGCAAAATGTACCAAAGTATTGACAAATGCCAAATAGCTAAAGAAATTTAACTCTGCCCTAAAATAAGAGAACACACAGGCAGCTGTGTTTCCGCATGCAAATGTCACAAAAAGTATGCTGGCAGTTCTATATAGCAATGTGTGCAGCAAACTCAGCCCTCCAGATGTTTTGGGACTACAATTCCCATCATCCCTGACCACTGGTCCTGTTAACTAGGGATCATGGGGAGTTGTAGTCCTAAAACATCTGGAGGGCCGAGTTTGGCTATGCCTGGTGTACAGCTTGAATATATATGCCCTTCATCCCTTCCATGCAACATTCCTGGGCACATGAGAAGAGAGAGGCCCATCAATGACAGACATTATGGGCTTGGTTACTGGTTCTATAGCTGTATTTATATTAGCTACTGAACTAGGCAGCTAGGGCCAGAGCTTACACTTCCTACACATATTGGGATGAAACACTGGACCATGGAGAAGCTCTCCTGATCTTTTTTCAACTAAAGGAAAACATTCCTGTGGGTGAAAAGCAAGCTGCAATGTCTGCTTTCTTTATCAACATCTTCTCAAAAGTGAAACAACTATTTTATGAATGGAAACGGCAAACAGGATCCTGCACAGACAATGTTTTCTGTCCTTTTCATTTGTTTAGAAAGCCGTCCTTATCTAAAAGATTTACTGGTTCTAAGTAGGCACCAAATAATCATAAAAGACCCAATGCCACATGAATGTTTATCTGGTTTTGTGATATCCTGGTGACTGAACATCTTCAATTCCACTAGAAGGCCTGTAAGCTCAATTTGCTTTGTTTTGCTCTGGAAAGTTGCCAACACTTAAAGCATTACAGAACTCCATCTCCTTGTTATATGTTCTAGTGACTAAAACAACTCGACCACAAATCAGATAGCTACTATTTGGGAGCCTCCCCAGAGCCAAATTATTTTGTTTTAAGTTAATACCTTGAAACCTAGCTGAATGTAACAAACAAGAAAAATAAGGAGTAACATACATAAAGCACAGCTGCTTTATTTCCCAAGTCAAAACTTAAGAAGTTCCATATAAGATTAAAGTGACTGGAAAATTTTAAGAAATCAAACAAGGGCTGCCCGCACATTTCTTAGATCCACAGATTTTAAAGTTGATAGTTCCTAGCTGTGTGTTATTGTTTATCATAACAAAAGGGTATTTGAACATTACAAAGATATCATCTTTATGGAAGTATGCAGTACAACAATTCTTTTAAGTTTTAACAAACCTAAATAAAAATGGTGTTTTGATAAAGCTAAGCAGAAGAGAATCATCTTAAACACACAGTTCCAACAATGGTGATTGTACTTAAAGGCTTTTGTTCAAGTATCTATGCATTTCCAGAAAAGACTAGATTGTTAAAAGGTTAAACAGAGTGCATTCTATGGCTTCCCAATTTATATTCCATTATACATTTGTTTACAAACTTTACCCAAGAGGAAATGCTAAACACATTTATTTCTGCTATCCTCAAACCTATAAAATTACTTAGTCCCCATTTATACATAATACTTAGCCTTTGATTTTTCTGTAATCCCTAAATCTAGTCAACATATGGGTATGATTACTCCTTAGTTCCTTTTAGAATTAATTTGAGCTACATTTTATTTTTAATCTTTATTAATGTTGAAATTAATATGGAACTGTCACCACTTGTTAAACACTAAACACAGTGCATAAAGAACTGCTCAAACTTGGGCAACAGATAAATCCATCTAGGATCAGAAGAACACCATCTAAAAAACCAAACATTTCTACCTATGTATATGCACTGGGGCTGTCTAGATTTTCTGCTCCTTATACTAGATAGTATACTAGATAGTATAAGGAGGCAGGAATTATTAGTGGATTGTGATCAGCCTCTGAAACCCTTATAAAAATGTAGAATATCTTTAGGCAGCACATTTGGTTTCTCACGTGACAGTATAGAAAACAGTCCAGAGAACTATTCTCATCTCAGCTATTTCAATGCTTTATGCATTCTTAACTTTCTTTCAACTGTATCTGAATTCATTTCTTCCTTGTTTCACATAATGTAGTTTACAACCAATTACTAATTCTGACAAACTATGGCCTTTTCTAAAAACTATTGGCTGGGAAAAACCTGCACTGAAGCTACTCTCTCGATCTTATACCCACCCACCAAAGAAGAGCTGCAATTTTCAAGGGGTACATTTGAGATGGGCAAAAAGGAGCACTTAAGGGCTGGCCATGGTAATTAATGGCAAGTCTTTCCCCTCTCCCTCTTCTTTTTTTGTAGCAGGGCAGACCTTTTCCTTAAAGAGAAACACCTATGCAAAATGTCATGAGTGGTAGCAGCAAAATGTTATCAGCCCTCTCTGTGGAAGGCTGCCACTGGCACGCCATCATTCTGCAGAGAGCCATAGCATTCTGGGATAAGACAGGCATTTTGCAAAGTTCCTGTTTTTTGTTTTCAAAAAGAATGGACATGGTGATGCTACAAGCAGCATTTTTGCAAAGCTTTTTAAAAAGCTCTAATAACACCACAGCAAGTTTTATCCACCCGTGAAAATTGCTAACCTCTTCTCCCCCACCACCTCAATTTGTCATCTACGAAAGGTCTGGTGAACAGGGGTGGGACATTTCAGTCCAGCCCTATACTGGGTATGGCACGCAAATTCTGCTAACGACTGCCCTGCCTTCTCACAGTTTGCACAGCAAAGTGTCTTCAGATGGTCAACATTTAAAAGTGAAATGACCATATTTTCACCTCAAACCTTTGCTAATGTACAAAGACCTGAACAACATGGTTCCTTAAGGAGTGCCTGAGCCCTATGTTCATGTTCAATCACTGTGATCATCTAAAGCAGCACTGTTAATGTTACAGAGGCCCAACTGGCTTAAACCAGAGGTCAGGCATTTAGTGCTGCTGGGTCTTATGCTGTGGAACACACTTCCAGCAGAGATTCAGAAGGCATACTTGTTTTTGACCTTCAGACATCTCTTGAAAAATTCATGCTGATTGCTCTATGCAGTTGTTTTTTGTTTTCATGTTGCTATACCTTCCCTAATATTTTGTGAAAGAATGGTACATAAACACTTCTATAAACTCTAATTGAACATTTCCCACAGCATGTTTTTGCTAACAATTCCTGGTTTCCATAGGCAGCCTTCCCACTCTTGAAGCAGCTTCATTTGCACAGCAACAGCTCCAAACAATCTCCAATGGAAGCACCTCACCAACTTATAACATGTAATCAGTACCTTTTCTCTGCTGAGGATTCCCAAATGGGATGTCAGCTCATTTATCTGTCTGTCCTTTTCAGCCAACTGCACCTATTTAATACAGAAGTTCAAAAAACCATGTTAGGCAATGAACAGCAGTTCCTCACCTATACTTATAATGAAATTTTCTTCTGATAAAAAATTGCAGTCCGATGTTCCGTAACAGCATAAATTACACACAAATAATCATTTACATCACCATTACAGTTGTCAATAAAGTTTTGATCAGCAGCAGTGCAGACTCAAGTCCTTCATTTGGCCAACAGATTGTGGTATCAATTCCTCCATCTACTAAATCAGTTTGTTCAACTGGGTTTTCATGCACTTCCCTACTTTTTTGGATAATTCTGCTGTCACCTATCAGTTTCTAAAATCTTGTCAGGCCCTTAAGGTGAAAACGTAGCACCTTTTAGGGGACTGGAGAGTGGGAAGGAGCTCTCTCTTCCTATTACTTTAAGTGAGCTAGATTCTCACAATCCCTCTCCTGCTGTTTTCAACCATCACACACAAAATTACACAGCAGCCCTTTGAACAATAAGAAGCTTGCAGTTCTTGCATGGGAGGCAGGATCTGACAAACCTATCTCTTCATCCCTTTATTTCAGAAGTGGGAGGTGTAGAAGACAGGGAGTAACAGTGAGATATTGCTGGATATTGCCTCTCTGTCTCTGGAGAGGAGGAATATGGGTTAAGAGAGCAGAGCAGTAATGCTGTTAATACATTTCTGAGGATGAGGAATAGGTGAGTAGATTGAACCTCCTTTCACTTGCTGGCTCAGTTCTGGTGAAGAGGGGTGGAACCCCCATCTTAAGAGTACTTTAGTGTTCAACTCCATCAGACAGATTTGGGGAAGTGCCTCAGTTTAGGCAGTGATTCTTCATTTCCTCCCCCTTCTTCAAAATGGAGGTGCCATCTGACTCTTTACCCTTAGGTGTGGGGGCAAGATTCAGTTCTTGGCAATAAAGGCACCTTGCATATGCCTAAGTACTAGTAATCACCAAAAGTAGAAACTAACCCAACTTGTGCACCATGTAAGAACTATAAATTTCATTCTCCGGGTCAATTTTTCTACCATTAGAAAGAACCATGTTGATTTGCGAGTAGAATTTTCAGGCTTCATAGTATAATGCTGAAAAGGGTAGCTGCTAACAGTACAATCACATATGCTACTATATACAATCAACCTCTATTTCAGAGAACAATACTGTACAGGTAAGAAAAAGCTAGCATATTCAGCCAAGAAAATTTCCAAGAGAAATAACGCGCAACAAAAATCCGAGTCAACAAAGCTCTCCATAAAGTGAATTAATTATTTTTAATTAACGGCTCTGTACAATGCATGTAAGAACTTTATGATCAGCAGCTAATCTCTGTTTATTATTGTATGTCTTTAAATGTTTAGGTACCACTGTTAAAGGAAGAGTCAGACTTACTAGATACTGGTCTTCTACTGCAGCCAGCTGTTGCTTCACACTCTCACTAATTTTCACTTGCTCCTTCCATTTCAGCTCCAACTTAGCCAGTTCATCAGCATAGACACTGCATTTCAATTTCTCGTCCTGCAGATAAAATTATTAGTCAACATTTCACAACCCTGCAGATTTCACTGGCCCTTTCACATGCATTGCAGCTTCTTTAAATAAAAGCTGTCAGCTGGTTTCCTCATTTGTTATCCAATCATATTGGCTCCTATTTTGCGGGCCTAGATAAAGAATCAAAGCAATGAAAATGCTTCTGTGTGATTTAGTATTTTCTCCACAGTTCTTTTGAAACATAGCTGTTTATCTCTCTATAAAAGTTGTTTCGTTTTTGGAGGGGAGGGGGGCGGCGTTACAAATACACTCCACGAAGCTTTGCTCCTATCAAGAACACCTTACATTCAGAAGGCCTAAGAGAATGCACATTACACTCCAATACACAGCAGAGCCGTTTAGGAACCAACTTCTAAGGAACTAGTAAAGCATGCCGAGGTGGGGGAGAAATGTGAACATGTTACCTTTGCGGGTAGAAGAACTGATATATACAATTCCTCAATTGGTACTAGCTATTTAGACATAATCTATTTCAAGAGAATCCATCATCCCACTTCATGATTTCAGCCTCTTCTTATTCATCATTTTTCCATTTCTCCTAATTCAACAGGTATTTTAATCTACATATTAAAGCTGCTATCTGGCTAAAGACACCTTTTTGAGATAATCCATGCATGAGTCATAGCAAGCATCTTTAAAAGGAGCATTCCCTCCTATGCAGAGAATAGCCATTGGGGATAATAAAAAAAAGTTACATATTTTCCTGTAAAAATATTCTATTTCTCCCACAGCAGTCAACTGATTTTAAAAAGACTGAGTGTGTAAATATTACATATTCACAAATGCTACTCACTGTTTGGTCAATAAGCTTATTGACTTGTTTTTGCAGTTTCTGGCATTCTTTGAATTTTTCCTTGTAATGATCAGCAGCCATCTGCAGGCGGAGCTTTAAGTCTTCAACTTCTCTGCGTAGTTCCTTCTCTACAGTGCTGGAAGTTTCCTTTAACAACAGAATGATCATCAATAAAAGTGTGTTTATTCTTCAAAATAATTCTGCTTTTTCTTAGTACTATAGGTTTTTAAAAGTGATAAATAAGAAATTACTTCTGCTGACGTCAAATTGTCAATTTTTCTTGTTGAAATGAGATAAGAGTAACTACTTTTCTTATATGCCTTGCTTTTTTTCTGGAAAGTTTAGTGCAAGTTGTATGAAGCCTTTAACTGTTTCCCAGCCAGGCATTAACTGGGCACACACCCACTCAGTTTCAATTATGCTATAACAGGAGTCATTCTGGGAACGTTTACCAGACAAAGCCAATCCTTTAACAAAAAAATGCCCCAGCAGTCAATAGGCTCTCTTCCATAGCACATAATAGATGAAAACTGCAACTGAGATGCATCCTGTATTAAGACTAATCAACTCAGTTGGTTCAAAAGGCTGCCTATAAACATTAACCATTAGGATACTATTCAAATGCCATGCTCTGGCTACTTTCTGGAGAACTACTGGCGTACAGGTCAAATTAACCCTGCCAAATCAATGAATTTGGCTCATGACCTGACACTGTATCACGCCATGTACACAGACCTGTTATCTCTTATCTTAGCACTGTGTTGCTTAACACCAAGACTGGAGATTAAGACCGTGCTTGCTCACCTACCAGAATGGCCAGTGGAGGGTGAGCCAAGTATAAGCAGCAATTTTTCAAACTCTCCAAATTAAAAAAATAAATGTCAAAGGCAATGCATACACCTATACCAAGGTGGGGGCATGTTCTGCTCCCATGCCTACGTGGGAGGCTTATATTAAAATTGTTTATTTGACCATGAAAGCTGCAGGCTACGCAAAAGATATTGGGGGCCTCATTCAACATTTGGCCTCTATGTTAGCCATTCCTAGATTGGAGAATCTGAATAGAAATTGCAATAAACACTCTAAGCTAGGGTTACCAGACATCCCTGGTTTCCAGGAACAGTCCCCAGATTTGCAAATGGGTCCCCGGTCAAATTCCTTCCCCAGAATGTCCCTGGATTTCATTCAATGTCCCCAGGAAACGGGGATGCCAACAGAGCAGCCGGAATCAACTCAATTGTTCAGCAGGCGGGAGAAGGTGTTGTGATTGCAAAGCACAGGAACACACGCGAGAGAGGGAAAATCGGAAAGAAAAGCCCCCTTTCTCTCCATCAGCCTCGTCGGCCTCATTTAAATCTCCCTGGATGGCATCCTGGCCTCTGGCAGGATCCAGTTCCAACCCTTCTTCAAGCTTCGCTCCCCCCCCCTTGCTTCTCCCCTCCATTCTGCCTGCACGAGTCTGTTTGCACAGCAGGCAAATCCAATAGGTGTCATGTGAAAGATATATTTCAACTGCCTAGACAACTTGCTATCATATTTTGTAACAGTTAAGCTTGCTTGCTGACGTTCACACAAGATCAACTCCTTGTGCTAACATTTCACTGGATCTCTTCACTGCAATGCAATTACTGTGTTCTAGACTAGTACAGTACAGTGGTACCTCAGGTTACAAACACTTCAGGTTACAAACTCCGCTAACCCGGAAGAAGTACTTCAGGTTGCAAACTTTGCCCCAGGATGAGAACGGAAATCATGCGCCGGGGCAGCGGGAGACCCCATTAGCGAAAGGACACCTCAGGTTAAGAACGGTTTCGGGTTAAGAACGGACCTCCAGAACGAATTAAGTTCATAACCCAAGGTACCACTGTACTAATCCTCACTGAAAGTGAATGATAATTGGTAATTATCCAAATAATTTTGTTTTGTATTATTTGTCACAGAAAAATTATTATTAAACTTAACAGTGCAACCGATCTCTTACCTGTTCATTTTTCACCAGTGCCATTTTCTTAAGTTCACCTACAGCCTCAGCAAGTTGCTTCTTCACCTTTTCATTTTCTAGTCGCGCATTATGAAGATCCGCCATAGTTTTATCGCGCACATTTACAGCATCACTGAGCTCTTTTGACATCAGCAGAGCTTCCTGCCTACTAGCTTGAATCTGATCCTCAGCTTTCCGAAGCTGTTCCTTCAAAATACTTGCCTCTTCCTAGAATAAAAAGTAGAAAACTTATTTTTAAATGCGACTCAAGATTTGTGTCTCACTTATCTTCAAATGGAAGACACACAAAACATAGCTCTGCACTACTTTTAGGGGAAGCGCCATCAGTACAACGTCACACTAAGCAGTATGGACAGGGTTACTGACCCATATTTATCATCAGTTCTTTACATAACATTGATTAAAGCTTCCTAATAATTTCACTTGGCTTCCTTTTTTCTCAATTCCTGAACAATACAAACCTTGATACTCATATCTAGCCTGCTGGTCATATTAATATCATGATTCTATTTCCTGCAAAAGAGTGGTATTTTGGAAATACTATAACGAAGATGTTGGTAAACAAAAGCATATGAAAGGAATACTTCTAATTATCAGCATAACATAAGCTATTTGACAAGACAGAGGTGTGCAATATCTAAAGGGAAAACATGCCACAAATGGACAATTGCCTTTAATTCTGAAACATGAACACAGATACAAGTCTTATGGGAAGCCACAACAACAATTCAAACGGAAAATCAACCCCTCTTTTAGAGAATGAATCCATTTACCCAATGACTACTCTGCAGATAATCTGAGATAACTGAGATATGCACTGCACAGAATGAAAAGCAGAATTAAATCATAAACATTAATATGTTACCAAAGTACCCCCATTACCTTGTTTGATGAAGTAAGCAAGAAAGCTCTCTTCAGCTTTTCTTTTTCAGCCATGCACAGTTGTAATCTGCCAACTTCCTCTTTGTAATAGGCTATAAGGTTTTCTTTGTTTCCATCCAAATTCTTTAGAGTGTGAACTTCTGATGCAAGTTTGGTGTTCTCAATTTCTGTGTTCTTCAAGTGTATCTAATTATAGTTACAAACCATATGTAATGCTAGAACCACCTTACATCCTTACCAATAATGTTTAATCCAAACAGCCCCCCCAAAAGAGACAGATGGGGAAATATTTTAATATAGTTGCTATCATGATGATGAATTCCCATTTTTTCATTGGCTTGGTCAACTGTTTTAAGGTCTTTTTAAAAGTTATGTCTGAAATGGTATATAAAATAAAATAGTTCTGAACAGACATTTTTCAAATATATTTATAAAGCTGATACTCATGTCTTTTGTGAAAACATGTTTCATCAGAAGTGATGTTCCTTCCATGAGTGAACAGCTCTGTAAAGTCTATAAGTCTATATGGAGTAGGTAGCTAGAAACTGATGCATTTTTCAGATTGTGAATAGCATGTTCAACACAGATTTGACCAGGCATCCATACAAAAGAGCTGAACTCTTTTGTAGCTGAACTTCTCTTTTGTAGCTGAACTTCTCTTTTGTAGCTATAAACTCGTTTGTCTTTTATTAACCTTTAAGTGAATGTTCTATTTTGCTTTTACGGAAGACTTATTATGAAGTAAGTATGAACCTGGGAAACAGCAACACAGACATCCCAGTAATGCTATGCTGTAACTGCCCTGTGATCTTTGAATGAAGGCAGTATACAAATTTAATAAATAATAATAAAATCTTTGTCAGGCTGACTGTGTTGCTGGTCTATGAAAACTAAATTCTCTCTATATACATATATCTGCGTGACCTTTATTTTACTGTATCTTTCTACTTAAAAATGCATGAATTGTAGTTCTCAGCTATCAGACAAGCAGAAAAGTTACCTTGTAGAGTTCCTTTTCATCCTTCTCAGTCTTCAACTGGCATTCAAGTTGTTCCTTTTCAATGGCTACTTTCTTGAGTTTATCTTTCAGGCTATGAACAAAGTAAAACATCCTTATGTATTTGGTTCTCTTTAAATATCAGGATTAAATATCAGGATTAAATTAGATGGATACCTGTCTAACTCAGTTTCTTTTGCAATAGCTTTCTGAGTAACAGTCATGATGTCTTCTTCAAGCTGTAGAACTTTGGAAGTAGCCTCATTCTGCTTTTTCTTGAGTTCTTCATTTTCAGTTTTAAGAGTTTCTGCAGTTTTCGAATTATCCTTGCAAAAGCAAAAGGGCATTTGTCAAAGAACATTTTGGGTATACAATTCTAAAGGAAAATAATATTGCTATCAGCGAGCACATCAGAAAGAGTTTAACATCTAAGGAGGGTTCATGAGATCTGAGCAATTTGTACTAAGAAACCACACAGAACCTCCACCATGATTATATTCCTGCAGTTCAAAGGGCAGGATCCAATGAAACATTAGCACAAGTTGAGTACTGATGTTTTTGCCAAACAATTCTGCAATGCAATGCAGAAGCTTAACTCTTCAAAATCTAACAAAAACAGCTGCTGCCCTAGAGGTTGAAAAACACATTTTGAAAGTATAGAGAAACAAGTGGATGTAGTTGTTGCACCACACTATGAATGAGCTTCCTGTCAGGAGAATGACTACCATGACTGGATACCACCCATGCAGCCTCTGAGCCTCCCACTCCCAAATCTGTCCTAGAGGATCCCCTCAACCCTTTGGGGGGAAATTAAGAAAAGTGTGAGCGTGTGTGTGTGTGTGTGTGTGTGTGTGTGTTGGTGGAGTGGGGGTGAGACTAACATTGCTTCCCACTCCATGCGGCCGATGGATGCATTACTGTCAGCTAAGTGATTTCGTTGGGTACAACACTATATAAAGGTAAAGGGACCCCTGACCATTAGGTCCAGTCGTGACTGACTCTGGGGTTGCGGTGCTCATCTCGCTTTATTGGCTGAGGGAGCCGGCGTACAGCTTCCAGGTCATGTGGCCAGCATGACTAAGCCGCTTCTGGCGAACCAGAGCAGCGCACGGAAACACCATTTACCTTCCCGCCGGAGCGGTACCTATTTATCTACTTGCACTTTGACGTGCTTTCGAACTGCTAGGTGAGCAGCACTATATAGTGTTTAAGTTAAGTCTAAACTGAGCTTCTGCAACTACCAAAGGAACAAAATTATCCCTATCATTTTGTAATCAAAGGAACTGCAAATCAACAGGCACTGAAATGTATCTTCCATATTTGAGTAACTTTAAAAGAGTTTTACAAAATAAATATACATTTATTTTCACGCCCTTTTAAGATTATTAATAGAAGACTAGAACAGCAAAGAAAAAGAGAAGAAAGCCATAAAACCATGATTTTTATTAACTTGCAGAAAGAGAAAAATTATGAAACCAATGAATCTGTCAGTACTCTTTATTTAGTCTATACATATGGAAACATTTTTCAAATGCTTACAGGATCAACAGAGACATGTTAACTGATTTACTATATACCAAAATTATACATAAGGGAGCTAAGAGTAGAAACTAACATAATATTTAAGTCTAACCCAGGATCCTAGCATTAGTTTGTCACGAGAGGGAGACAAATGACTGTACAAGGCTGCACTGCAGTGTGGGCATTACCTGGCTTAATACAACATATCATTTGTTTGTTATATTAAACAAGCTTGTGCTGTGCAAGACAATGGAAACATTTTGAAAACTGCTCCCTCATACAAATTAAGCTAGATATTAAAATTTTTAAAAGTGTGTTTCTGTCTTCCATTGAGTTAGCCCTGGGTGAAAACAGCCTGAATCAAAACTTTTTGAAAAGTTCTACCAAGTTATCAAGACACAGCAATACAGTGGTGCCCCGCAAGACGAAAAACTCGCTAGACGAAAGAGTTTTCCGTTTTTTGAGTCGTTCCGCAAGACGAATTTCCCTATGGGCTTGCTTCGCAAGACGAAACGTCTTGCGAGTTTGTTTCCTTTTTCTTAAAGCCGCTAAGCCGTTAATAGCCGCTAAGCCGCTAATAGCCGTGCTTCGCAAGCCGAAAAAAACGCAAGACGAAGAGACTCGCGGAACGGATTAATTTCGTCTTGCGAGGCACCACTGTATTAAAAGCTATCAGAAGAGTAGATATTTATGTTACACCTACATACATTCTGGAAAGTATATCCATCGCTAAAAACTTTCAAATGATGTTGTGCATCCTCTATCCTGAACTCTGGCGTATTTTAAAAGTTTTTTAAAGTTTTAATCTGCCTTTGAAAACGTACAATTCTTTTAAGCTTTTTTGAACTTTAGGAGTTACCTTTTGCTGTGCTTCAAGCTGATCACATCTTTCCTTTTCACGGTTCAGTTCTTTTTCCAGTCTTTCAACTTGATCTCTAAGCTGCAGGGTTTCCTTTTCAAGTGAAGCAGTCACCTTTAATAGTTCTTCTTTTTCTTTCATAGTTTTTTCAATCTGGAACTAAAACGACATAATCCCATTTTACATGGTAGTTCTTGCCTCAATATTACCATAACATTACAAATTTGTAAGTACTGTATAATTTCTTTCAAGCTGCATAAATGAAGTACACAAAACCAAAAGAACAGTTCCCATAATTACTTTAATATCTGACCACCCACCTTATCACACATTAATCATAAATTAAGGCTGAATTTTTATGTCAGGTTAATAGTCAGCACAGATAACTATTATTACTTTTTTTAAAAAATAAAAAATAAAAGGCAAAAGGTAAAAGATCCCTGGATGGTTAAGTCCAGTCAAAGGCGACCATGGAGTGCGGCGCTCATTTTACTTCAGGCCAAGGGAGCCGGCGTTTGTCCACAAACAGCTTTCCAGGTCACGTGGCCAGCATGACTAAACTGCTTCTGACGCAATGGAACACCGTGACAGAAACCAGAGCGCACGGAAACGCCATTTACTATTTATAGTTACAAGAAGTATCTAACTTCCGTGATTTGTAAAAGTTTATTTGTATCTCTCAACTATAAGTAACCACCAGAACTCTAGAAACGAGAATCATGGGATCCTTTAGGAACTTAAGCCCTCTTGAGGACTTCACCACAGAATCATAAAGCTGGAAGGTACCCCCAAGGGTCTAGTCCAACCCCCTGCAATGCAGGAATCTCAACCACATTCCCATGTAAGCAATCATGCTGGAGGATACTGGCACACTCTGCCAAGCTCCACCTATCCTAATATGCCGTCTCTATTCTGTTGAGAATCATCCACAAGTTTGAGCACAAAGGTCTGCAACAGAGAGCATCCCCATCCTTACACCATGCCACAAACTGGCATGAATAATAGTGAAGTCTCTCAACCCTTTCTCCCCTCTGCTAATTATTCCTAATGACCCTGTCACATCACAATACCTTCCTTCCTCACAGAAGCTTTGCAACCTATTTTTGAGCTCTGAAGTGCTTTTTAGGCTACGGACTTAAAGTGGAGAAGTTCATAGGTAAGTGTGTGTGCAGATACAAGTGAGCTTATACAGAGCTGCAGACAATGTAGAAAATATCCGTTAATCTAAGATTTTCTAGCATCTCCACAAGCATTTGCTCCCAGCTGAGAAACACCTGTGCATGTTAAGGTAGCTACTGTCAAAGTATTCATTTTTACAAAATGCCATCCTGCACTCCTAAGTTATACTTGGAGTATACCCAGTGAAATGAATGGACCTACATGATTCATGTCCATTCATCTTAATGGGTCTATCCCGAATATGGATACAACCCTTTAATTCTAACTTGACGGAAGTTCAGTTCTACGCTGTACAGCTAAATAATCAAGTATCACAATTTGCTAATTCAAACCTCAAGAAGTCCAGCCTTCGTGGTCACCACCAACATGTCTGAATTCCCTTCATCTTCCATCGTCAACAATTCTTCAACAGGAGATGATGTTCGAAATTGAAATGGAGTGCTTGCTCCACGGATCTCACCCTTATGTGTTACATAGCAGAACTGGTAAAATTCACCATCATCATTCGGAAGGTAGTAGCCTAATGAAAAAACAGAATTTAAAGACCACTTAGGCACTTAGCACAGGGACAGACTCCTGTCCTTCAGAGCCAGACAAACAAACTGTATACAGGATGAGGAAGTTCCCACCCTGAATTTCAAGTTGCTTTTGTTCCTTTGAAGGGGAAAGTCTTGCTTTTTTTAAGACACTATAAGAGAGACTAAAATACACCAACAGGAGAGCAGTGATAGGCCTTAGGACAGCAGGTAGCTGCCACTTGCCTCACTTTCCTTGGTCATGGAGGTCTAATGTCCTCTTGGGTCAGCATCTTTCACATGCATGATCACCTGAGGAGATAGAGCTGCAAAGCTGCCTACATATAGACTCATTTAGCCAGACCAGTTGGGAATTAGTAACACTAAGTGATTGTTTGGGTGGTGCTGGTCAGCTGTAAGTCAAGACAGGATGTGCCCCTCCATGTTTTATGGCTTCACACTCCTCTTGTGGGTGGAACACTCAGCTGATTTAGAGGGAAGGGGGCAGTGCCTTCCACTTGACTCCAAGCTCAGGAGTATGGCTCACATGATGTTAAGACTCTTCCATCTACAGTACAAGAGATGGAAAAAGAGAACTAGTCACTCACCCACCCCACCTATATCCAAAAGGGAAAGTGCTCATGCATCCTTTGGGAACTGAATAAAGATACACTACAATACAGGCTATACTGGATCCAGAACCTTTGCCTGCAGCTCCCAACCTCTTCAGCTGCTAGCACCCCAATAAAAGAAAGGCAACCCCCCTTTTGATAGTAATGCCTTTTGGGGAAGAAGATAGAAGACCCAGTAGATGGAATGACCAAGGTGACTCATGCAAGGTCCTGGAAAATGAAACAGTTGAGTAGAGTCTCTGTAGGTGATACTCCATATTTGCCTGACTATAGGACCTGGGGATACAGCAGGTTATACATTCTGTATCATACATTGCGTGCCCATTATACATTAAGAGCAGGCACCAAAGGAACTCCAACAGATTTCTCAGAGAAGCCAGGAAGTATAGATCCTATCACTTGTTGAGCTCTATCCCAGATTGATAAGAGGTTGTCATCTTTACCACATGGTTAAATGGTGAAGAACACTGAAGGGTACTCCAATTAAACACAAGGAATAGAATAGATCCACTTACCCAGAACATCTAACTATAATGTTTATGTGCCCAAAGGTTTGAATCAAAGCTGTACTAAATAAATGATAAGTCAATAGAAATGGTATAACTTATAACAAAATATATGGATGTTTTTCTAAATAAGCAACAGAAAAAAACCTAAGCAGACATAGCAGCCAATTTAAAATTTACCTTGAAAAGACAGCACAGAGTTAACTGTTGATCCTTCCACATAGTTGTCAGGCATAGGTGACCAAAGAAATGTGTAATAATCTCGTGCAGTACTCCAACCAACCTAAAGTAAAATGCAGCCTTATCACAATATAATTATGCGCAATTCTTTGTAAAAATTAACTTTCAGATCATCCAAGAAAAGTATTCATTTAAAAATCCAATTAACCACTGCTGTGTATATTTATATGCTTAATGTAGATTTGTCTCAACACTGTATAATTGTCTCAACAATGCAGTTTCTCAATAATTTAGCCACTGATAATGCTCCAATATGGTCTTAGGCACAAAAAGGGGGGGCCATGAGACACACTGAACCCTCCATAATGTGTGTTCACAGCTTTGAGACTCTTAATAAAGTAGGACTAGAGTTTCTGCACTAGCTTCAAAGCTTTCCCTTCACTTACACAGGCTACAGATACACTTTGGCAACAGCTATTTTAATACCTAATCTTACCCCCTCCCCCAAATTTTTGTGCTTGTTCTACAGTGAGGATAAACATCAAAACTATTACCTCTAGAATAATTTCATCATAGGTTTCACTCCAATTGTATGCTACCCGTGCATTCAGTTTGTTTTTTCGCCCAACCCCACCGTTTCCCTTTGTTATAAAAGGATGTTTGATCAGGAAGTTGGTAAAAAAAATACTTCTGCCACCTGCACCAGGATATAAACTAATTGCAGTAAGCCCAGAAACAAAAGTTAAAAAGTGGAAATTTATCCTACTTACATTAGTCTAAGAGTTAACACTAGTCAGACAGCCACCACACTGTTAACTTTAAAACTGGCTGGCAACAGGGCCATTTTCAGGTTTCGTTGCTAGTAAATGAGTGCTTCATTTGAAAGATACTCCCTTGTGAATAGTTTGGATTCCTAAGAGTCTGCTATCTGAAGACCAACACAGATCTGCCTACAAGTGGATCTACCAGCAAGGAGGGGACATGAGATGTTCCAGTCTGACATTGCTACTTTTCTATCCTTCACTTCCTCCAAGTAGCTCAAGTAGCAAGGTACCCTCCCGATTTTATATTCACCACACCCCAGTAAGCTGGGGTGGGGGCAACTGGCCCAAACTCACCTAGGAAACTTTATGGCTTAATGGAGATATGAACCTGAGGCTCTCCAATCAGAGCCTGAAACAAGCCACTACAGTACGCTAGCTCTCAAATAAAGAATGGCAGACCACAATCATTCCTAGCAAGTAGGTCTTCTCATGACGATAGTCTTCAGCATGTCTTGGCTTTGCCAAGCAGCAAGTTTGGGTCTTTAACTGGAACTTACTTGCAAGTAATTCTTATACTTACAATGCCACAGTTTGAATGCTTAAACATGAAAGGGAGGGAAGAACTATGTGTGCAGTTACTGTACAACCAATCAATAATCCTCGAGAATTAATTTACATGGTTTTTAGGTACGTATATGGAAACTTCTTATACAGCACCCCTCTTCAAGACTTGCTGAACCCCCACCATGAAGTCAGCAGAAAGTTGCATGTCTGCCATCGGAACCTATATAACAGTACTGACAACAGCAGGAACTAGCACAACCAAGATGCTAACTCAGACTGCATTAATTGTTCTGAGCCAGTGCATAAGCAAGCTTAACAAACCCAGTCTAAGATTCAAATTCTGCTGTGTGCCAAGGTTAATATGAAGCCTTCATAGGGAGTTTGGAGTTGTAAATATACATTCCTTGACCTAGCTTTCTTCCATGTTGACCCCTTGACCCTAATGGAACAAACAGGCGTTGTGCAACCTTTTTCCATATCTGTGAATCTCAGATAAGAGCATGCAAACCACCAACTTCTTGTGCAACACTGACATTTGCTCCAACACTGGTATGAGACTAGAGATCAGGCTGAAAGATTTTCACAAACTGCGTACTCCACAAAGGCTATGCACAAGGTAATAATTTCCAGGTTCCATTTTTTTCTTATATCTTGTAGAACACTGTTTGCATTTTCTTGCCTCATCAATTCACAGGTACAGTAAGGCATTCTATAACTCAAAGAGGTTAACATGAAATCTTCTTTACAATACCGGCTTCTCTTAATATGTGTATGATCATTAGATTTATTTCCAAGTATGATCACTGAACACAGCACGACTCACTTCCAAGTAAACATGCACAGGAAAATTATTTTAGTAAAGGTATAGAAAAGAGTAAAATCACAACAAAAAAAGGGAAGAATGTTTAAATTGAAGAGTACAGCTAGTAGGAAATATTTGTTTTCATAAATATGTATAGCAAAAATGACTAACCCTTATTGAGTCATTATAAAGTACAGTGGTGCCCCGCAAGACGAATGCCTCGCAAGACGGAAAAACCGCTAGACGAAAGGGTTTTCCGTTTTGAAGTTGCTTCGCAGGACGAATTCCCCTATGGGCTTGCTTCGCAAGACGAAAATATCTTGCGAGTCTAGAGATTTTTTCCGCTTTCCCCCCCCTTTATCTAATCTGCTAAGCCTTTAATAGCCTTTAATAGCCTTTTAGCAGCTAATCCCCTAAGCCTTTAAGCCTTTAATAGCCGCTAAACCGCTAATAGCGCTAATAGCGCTAATCCGTCAATGGGCTTGCTTCGCAAGACGAAAAAACCGCTAGACGAAGACTCTCGCGGAACGGATTAATTTCGTCTTGCGAGGCACCACTGTACCTGATATTTTAAAACATCTATTAAAAATATAATCAAATCATTAAAATAATTTAAAGAACAAAAGAAGCAGTAGGTAAAATATAACCACCAACATACTAGGTAGATTAAAATATAATAACCCAAAGAATCAAATACCTACTGGAAAGAAAGAAAAATTCACAAAAGCTGAAGGCAATCAGAGAGATGAGCCTCTAGGTATGGCCAAAGGGAATGCCTTTCTCTGCATCCCAATCAAACACAACTCAGATGGTGGGATGAAGAGCAGAGAAAATCTCTACAAAGTGGACAGGTTCATATTCTGTGATTAAATTATGTAGATTAAATTGTAAGGGAGAGGGTACATGGTTCCGCCTTAGCGGGAGGTGTAAGTGTAAGTAATTTATTGGTACCTTCCCACCGCACAAATGGTGATATGGCCTCAAAAGCAGCAGAAATTCATCTATGATGATGTTGCCATAAACTCATTTGTATTTCTAAAGCAAAACACATTCCTAACCATTTTATCCCATTTTCATGTGTATCTTCTAATTAACAGAAGTGAAACCTTACCATATATTAAAACATGCTACAAACTTGCTTACCTTGAAAATACCAACCCAATCTTTTTGGTGAGGGCGTATATAGGGAGTCAGAGTGTAATGGCACTCAAGGTGCACATTTGGAAGGTAACTTTTTGCTACATTCTGAAAGATGACATGTGCAAAATTTGAAGTCTGCAGGGCACTGTTTGAAGATGGAACTTCTTGAAAGGATGACATAGTTGCTCTGTAAAATAATGTTAAAATTCCTATTAAAACAGTAATTTGTATGATTCCAAGTTTTAAAGGTACAGACAACCTAAATTTCTTAACCACCCTTCATAAAAGATTGCAGGAAAGCATGCAAAAGTATGAATAAAATTGAGTCAAACATACAAATATAAATTAAAGCCAATAGGCAAAAAATGTAAGAAAAATGCGAAACAAAAAACCACAGCCCCCTAAAAATAGAACACAATCCCAAAAGTTATTTAAATTATAAAACTTAGGAAAGGAACTTAAACAAGAAAAAGATGGCTAATTTGTTTGTGGTATTCTCATTCCCATTTTAAAGACTCATTTAACACACAGTACCTAACCACTGGGTCAGCAGGATGAGAGTGCCTCCACACATCGTACCATCCACTAAATTAGCTTTATCCGCACAACATGCTAAGAGGATCTAAACATATATTACGTAGCTAAAGCAGGGTCACACTCCCCTGCTTCGTTCCCATGAAGGTCATCCATCAGGGCTGCCAATGCTTTCCCCCCAACCTGGTGCCCTCCAGATTTTTGGACTCCAACTTCCATCATCCTGACTACTGGCATGCCAAGTGGGACTGATGTGAATTGGAATTCAACAAGATCTAGATAATCCATTTCATCCAGAAGTGGCTGGAGCTGAACTGCCACCACCTTTCTGAAAAGAGGATATTTACAGCTGGGCAATATAGGTAACCGGTTTAGGCGTATCTGAAATTTCACAACCACGAACGCATGCACAGTGTCAAACATATAAATGACTAAAAAAGGTCCCAAAAAGGGGTGGAATTCGGCAGGCTTATGGAATGTAATTGACCACTGCCTGTAGTCATTACAAATCGTCAGGTTTTCAAGTGAGCTTCTTAAGGCATAGACACACAACCTCTCACAAGGAGACACCACCTTCTTGATGCACTATTCCTGAGTCAACAGACTCATACTTGAGAGACTTACACCATCTATGGACCAACTTGTCTCCCCATTTGTTTCAAGGTAAACCAAGGAACCAAACACCTCTGCAGTGCCTGAGAGGCAACGATTTCAAAATGACAGCAGAAACTAAAAAAAGAGTGTTAGTCACATCAGCTTGAAATTCCTCAAAAGCATTCAGGAATTTTATTGGATTCCATGTGTCTCCAAAAGCAGACCAACTTAATGGATCCACCATCCCTGCAGAGGAAAACTGCCAGTATCAATCTAAATCTCACCCAGAAGTGAAGTGACCATAACAGGACTGCAGTAAACCCTTTTATTTCCAGGCAAGCCTCCTGTCTGGTCCAAAATATCATATTCATTGCATGCCTTCCAGAATCTGTCAGGCCAATAATACATTTAAACAGCACCATTAAGGTTCTGAAGTCCCAAAGTTGGCCTCTTTAAGATGGATATAGCATGAATACTGAAATTTCCAGTCCAGCATCCTTTTTCTAACCCCATGTTTCCTTGTGTTTATCCATCAGGGATGGGGAATGTGCAGCACTCAAGATGTAGTACTGTAACTTCCATCATTGCTGCAGGTTCCCCTGCCCTGTCTAAAATGATTTGAAGTTAAAACTAAACAGATAAAGTGCCAATTAGCAAATGGCATCCAATTATTCAGGAAGGTAAAAGCAGCTTGTAAAGAGTTCCAAAAAGCTATTTGTAAATTAGGTGAATGGACCCACAAAATGGCAAAAATGCTAAAGCAAAATAAGCATAATGCATACTGGAGCAAAAAAATGCCAAGTTCACAAAGTCTGAACTGGCAGTGACTAATTAGGAGAGAGATATTTGGGCCACAATTAATAGCTTACTGAAAACATCAGCTCTCTCTGCAGCACAGAAGAAAGAAATTCCCATGCTAGCTATTATAAGAAAAGGGGCTAAAATTAAACTGTCTATACATAAATGCCTCATATAAATTGAATGTGCAACTTCACATTTGGTCATGCCACCTTGAGGAGATAAAAAAGGCACATGATAGCCAAAATCATCAAGTGATTGGAACAATTTTCTTAAGAGAAAAAGCTGAACTATTTTATACTGAACTAGAAAAATACAAGATTTTTAAAATGTATGCATGGGTAAGAATAGACAAGATTTTCTGCCTCTAATATTAGTGCTCTTGTCTCTCAATAAAATTAACTGGCAGTAGATTCAGGACAGACAGAATAATACAATTGCAGAGTTGGAAGGGATCCAGGGGTCAGCTAATCTAAGCCCCTGTAATGCAGGAATCCTGCCCACACCTGTCCCTGGGTGGGCTCAAACCACCAACCTTCTGGCTAACAGCCAGATGCATTGCCTAACACTAGAACACTGATGTGGATTTTGTGGGAAAGGTTCAAATGGGGGGAGGGAGAATCCTAGGCAAATTTTGCACAGGGTAGTTTGCATTGCAAAATGCTCCACTGACTTTGAGAACATTTATATTACTTGTATTTAGTAAACAAAGATAAACACTTTGAAACTACCAAACTTATCTAATATAATATTTGCAATTGGCATCCATTCATTATTACTAACAAACTGATGAAATTGATAAAGTTTCCACAAAAGATACTGCTAGAAAATTTTCAGTTTTAGAAAATTTTCTGTGCCACATCACTGCATGATGGAATTTGCTGTCAAAGAATGTGGTCTTGATCACTAGTATAGGTAAAGGACCGCTGACAATTAAGTCCAGTTGCGTACGACTCTGGGGTTGTGGCGCTCATCTCACTTTACTGGCCGAGGGAGCCGGCGTACAGCATGACTAAGCCGCTTCTGGCGAACCAGAGCAGCGCACGGAAACACTGTTTACCTTCCCGCAGGAGCGGTACCTGTTTATCTACTTGCACTTTGACATGCTTTTGAACTGCTAGGTTGGCAGGAGCTGGGACTGAGCAACGGGAGCTCAACCCGTCACGGAGATTTAAACTGCCAACCTTCCAATTGGCAAGCCCTAGGCTCAGTGTTTTTTTGGATGGGAAACTTTGTGGTCATTCCAATGTTGTTTAACTGATCCAAACTTTCATCAGCCTAGACCCAAAGGTAGTTTGCCAATGAACGCCTGTTGCTGGGAAGACACCTGCTTTACCTTCTAACTCTGACTGTAAGCTTCTTGGTGGCAGGTGAGTAGCCAATGTGGGAATCAGGATGAGGACTACATTTGTTCTGATCCAGGCATAGCCAAGGTGATGTCTTCCAGACACTATGGCCTGCAATTCTCATGAGCCCCAGCCAGCAAGGCCTATTTTCAGGCATTATAGGCACTGTAGTCTGCACTGCCAAGAGCACCACATTGGCTATCCAGTCTGATCCAAGAGATTCTTATGTTCACTCCCTCCATCTTGTTCCTCATTAAAGGCAAATGCACATAATGACTTAATGCAAAGTTATCTCTTCCAATACAGTTTTTATAGTGAAAACCTCATTACAAAAGCATGACTTAGGAGTGAAGTGGATGCTACTCTATGCTAGCAACTGTGGGATAAAGAACATTAGACTGCATAACTTAGCCAACTGTTGTGTACAGGAATATTCACAAGGTTACTAAGGTAATGTGCACTCCTGAGTTGAGTCAATACGTAACGGGAAGCTTATTTTAAAAACAGTTTTTAATAAGACTCCTTTCTGATAGTCACAAAAACAGATTGTGTTTATCACCATGTCTAGGCAAACATCATTAGTGGATAGTATTGTTGCCACAATCTCAGCTATGCAGAACATGAGACCACAAAAAGCATCCAAAACACATCTGAATCATCATATTCACACTGACAAAGGAAGGGAGTTTATCATGACCTAACTGGTCTACATATACAAGAGGCTGAAAAGCAACTCTTCACCATGTTTACTGGTCACTATCCTCAGACTCCACTGAGGAATGACACAAAAATTCCAATAGCTTCATAAAGTTATGTATCTGCAGGAGCAAATCTATATTTGGACAGACATGCCTGCAGAGCTTTGACCAGAGGCCTTCTATTTACTATGCAAAAGGCTCAAATCCACTTTAGGGGGGATTTTCCCCCTTCCACTACATTAACAACAAAATCCTGTACCAGTATACTCAGAAGTCAGTCACATCAAGCACAATAGAGTATAGTCACAAGATTCAGGCATCAGGATTGCAACTTCATTGGCATCACAAAACTAGGGACCTTCTGTTAACTCACTGTTATGACTGATCAGTGATTATCCTGTTTCATTAGAATATTTAAATAAGAATGAAACACCCTTTGCATTTTATGGCTTTTAGGCCTTGGTAATTAGAATTCTCTTCAGACACATGTGTAGTTCAAATGGAGATTATATTTCATGTGCTTGATGAAAAGGGTTCTGCTCAGTGGTAGTTTATACTACAACAAATCTGTTCTTTGATGCCATAAAACTTGTTTTATGGGATCGTAGTGCAAAAAAGGCAGGTAAATAGTTTTTTTATGAATGTTCTTCTTAATATCAGAATTTCCTATAAAGGACATAAAGCTGAACATGTTTTAATTCTGTGTTAAAGAAAGATATGGTTTATAATTAGTTTTTGTATTTCCAGAAATACATCCATTGTGTTTTTATCCCAGCATATTTGTAAAACTTGAGTCCCTAGCCCAAGGCAATAATCTAACCTGATTAACTCCACAATAATTTCTCTCATTCTCTTAAGAACAATCTGCAAACAAGGGTTTAATACCATGCCTTCAATAAGAAACATTTTTTGTACCTTTTGAAGAATTCTTGCAGCATCCAGCTTTAGGAAGGTTTTTGGCATACTTCAGAAGCTTGCATATTAAATTGGAAATGGTAGTTTCATCATTGTCACTTTGGTCTGGAGGGAATAGTATGCCTCAGCATTAATACTTATTTGCCATAGTATTCCACACACCGTGGACTGTGACTATCCTCCTAAGAGTTACTGTTTAAAGCACTCGATGTCCTCTTTAATAGAGCAGCATCAACAGTGCAACCTACTATCTATTATCTATTCAAGAACCACCTTTTTTTGTTTCCATTACAAACAGGAACACTGAAAATGAATGTTTTTCAAGCTCATTCAAGACCAGCTTTCTAAAGGCAATAAATTACCCCAAACATTTAAGTCAATATTTAAGAATTCGTATTTTTTATTTTTTTATTTTTTAAAAAACCCTTCAATAGCTGCTTACTCCAAGGGTAAACAACCACTGTGATACACAGTAGCAATCCTACCTTAAAGATACAACGCCCTCACCACCTCATGCAACTCGCAGTTTAAAATGTATTCCAACAAGCAAAGGTGGCTACTCTGTCTGGAAAAGTCATCTAGAGCAGCAGTATTTCTACCTGTCATTAAACAGTAGTCAAAACTGATGTGTTAAGTACAAAAATCCCGCAGGAGTTTGCAAGCAGCTGCACGTCAAAGCTGGCAAAAGCGAAAGCTGCTCGGAACCTTAAGCGGCCGCTTGTTTACACAGATCACAATGAGTGGATCTGATGGGAGGAGCTGAACTGGAGCCAAGAGAATAGTGCTAACAAACAGAAGCAGAACGTACTGGGGTTTTATTTCCTGATAGAGATAATTGCATATTATTGCCTCCATCGCCTGGCGAATTTAACCTGACCTTTGCCCCTCTCAAAGCTATTCCACCTGCAGGCGGGATGGAACGGAATGCAAAAGCGCTTGACACGCCCTTCCCCCAACCCTCCCCCCCCCCCAGTTGCGCAGCAACACTATTACTTCGAAACGGGGCTGCCCCCTACCTAACTCCCAAATAGGTCCACCTGCTCAACTTCTTGCGCTGCTGCTATTTTCCCTTCTCTGCAAGCCTAACCTGGCCAAGCCGGCGCTCCTTCCCTTAAGCCCCTCGGCGCTTACGTAACACGCGCCACAGACATCAGATTAAGCAAAAGTGGAATTTCGACGCGGTTCTTGCACAAGCCCCGCATCCCGAACGAATCGCGCGGCGCCGCATTCGCCACCTTCCCTCGTCCTCTTACCCTCGTCCTATCTCAGCGTAACCTTGGAACCCGGCGCAGACACGTTCACACGACCATATCCCCGCCGTCGCGCTGCAGCCGGCGGTACACTCGCCCCCGCGGCCTACGGCCCACCGCCCGCCCCGTAAGCAAGGGACCCCGCCCCCAAATCACCTCCACAAGGGCGACCGCGCGCTCCCCCACACAAACACGCAACCTCGCCTTCGCTGTAACGCGGACCAACGGACGACACCGCCCCCGCCCGCCCCCCGCGAGTGTCACTGTGACGGAGGATACCGAGAGCAGGTAACTTTACCCCCTTTCGCGCAACACGGCCAGGAAAGGAGTTCGCCGCGGACGCGGGGAAGACTAGGCCCCTCACCTATCAGAGACGCTGGAGGCTTCAACAACACAGACGCACGGCCGCCATTACTGCCTCAAGAGTCCGGCCCCCTTCGCGCGCGTCACTTCCGGTCTCCGCGCGTCCGAGCGCCTCTCGCGCTCTCCTCACACGTGACAGCCTCGAATCCTAGTGCGCACCTGCCGCGTCATCCTTTTAGTCTATCTGGCTGATAGCCAGTTCTCACAGCCCACCGAACGTGCCGCCCAGTCTTGTCTCCTGAGCGGATTCAGGAAGACCAGTTAGCTCATACTGTATATGAGTTGTGGAATTGGAAGGGAGCCCCAAGGATCATCTAGTCCAGTGATGGCGAACCTTTTAGAGACCGAGTGCCCAATCTGCAACCCACTTATTTCTCGCAAAGTGCCAGCATGGCAATTTAACCTGAAAACTGAAGTTTTAGTTTAGAAAAAACAACTCCTACATTAACATCTTTTGTCCTAAAAGAAAAACAATAGCAGAGCTTTCAATGATACAAATAACTTGTAATTGAAAGGCAAAAGTTTGCATTATCCTTGTTTGGGAAATAATGAAAAAGGTAATTGCTGTCAGACAACATGGCCGTTTTGATAATTTCCCTTCAAGAAACTCTTCTTTGGGAAATTTCAAAGTAGAAGCTGAATGGCCATCTGCCATGGATGCTGTAGTTGAGAAGAGTCAACTTGAGATCATCATTGGGGGGTTGGACTTAGATGACCCTTTCCCCTTAGGTTACCTTCCAAGTCCCAACAATCCTGTGATTCGATGGCTAGCCCGTTAGGTTGCACTTCTAAAGCCCACTCGTGCTGGAGGGAACAAAATGCTGCCCGGCTTACTGGCAGTTCTGCACCAGTGGAATGGAGCATTCATGTTTCTGCTGCAGCCCACAGGTGGCAAACTGGCTATTCGCGCATGCGCGGCTTTACTCTGCACTCACACTGCCCCTACAAACTCGTGCCCCTACAAACTGTGCTTGGGTGACGGGACGCGTGCCCACATAGAGAGTTCTGAGTGCTGTTCGCCATCACTGATCTAGTCCAACCCCTGCTGCGATACAAGAATTTCAACACCGGACCAGACCCTGCAAGTGCACACCCTCCAACATTTCTCCGATGAAAATAAGGATGCCCTATTCTATAATAATAATAATAATAATAATAATAATAATTTTATTATTTATACCCAACTGGGTTGCCTAACCACTCTGGGCATCTTCCAACATATAGCAAACACATAATAAAACATTTCAACATCTGCCTTCAGGTATCTTCAAAAGGTTGTATAGTAACGTATCTCCTTGGCTTGGGGGCTGCATTAACTCCATATCTTCCAACATTTATCTGATGACAATTGGGGCGTCCTAAGGAAAAGCGGGACATTCCAAGATCAAATCAGAAATGGGGACGGCATCTGTAAATCCGGGGCTGTTTCTGGAAAATAAGGACACTTGGAGGGTGTGCAAGCGTGCTTGCCATTACTGTGGGGGCTGCAATCCTGGGCCTGCAGAACCATCCTGAGGGGAATGGTTCCGGGGGCCATATCAGGCCCACAGAATCGTGAGCGAGCTCTTCAGTATACCTGAAGGAGCATCTCCAACCCCATCATTCAGCCTGGACACTGAGGTCCAGCTCCGAGGGCCTTCTGGCAGTTCCCTTACCGCGAGAAGTGAGGTAACAGGGAACCAGGCAGAGGGCCTTCTCGGTAGTGGCACCCGCCCTGTGGAACGCCCTCCTATCAGATGTCAAGGAAATAAACAACTATCTGACTTTTAGAAAACAATTGAAAGCAGCCCTTTTTAGGGAAGTTTTTAATGTTTGATGTATTTATCGTGGTTTTAATATTCTATTGGGAGCTGCCCAGAGTTGCTGGGGAAACCCAGCCAGATGGGTGAGGTATGTTTGTTTGTTTGTTTATTTATTTATTTAGAGTCTGTCAGGCCAGTGGCAGACCTTGGGGTCTCAAATTTCAACAGCATCCTCTACTTTGAGACAACCCTATGGGCTGCGCTACCTAACTCCAAGTAGGTCCACGTGCTCAACTTCCTCGCTTCCTGCACTGCAATTTCCCCTCTCTACAGGCTAGCCTCACCAAGTCACGTTTCTTTCATTCAACAAGGGGGCAAAGTAGGACTTGTGAGGGATGTGGCTGCAGAGAAGGTGTAACCTGGGGAGAGTGCCAAGAGCTAAACAGAGATGCCTGAAGAGCCAGGTTTGGACGTAAGATGCCCCACCCCTCTACTATAGATACTAAGGATATTGACAGTCTTTGAGTTGCTGATACGGTGTTTGAGCCTTTTCCATAACCTTTCTTATTCTTTATTTTCACTAGCTTTTAAGAGCCAGTATGTGAAAACTTTTGTGAAAACAAATTTATTTTGCCACAGAGAGTGTTGTTTAGTTTGGGATGTGTATTTTTCTGAAGGATTTTGTTAATTACTTCTTTATGGTTCTCAGCTCTTCATCAGCAGACAGCACCTGTTGGTTTAACATCCTCAAAGCAGTGAAATGGAATTCAGAAAATGGTGAGGCAGAACAAGAGATCTGCTTGTTAACACTGGAGGAGACAGGCAGGAAAATTGACTGTGACAGCAGGCCAGGTGGAAACGTAGGTGGATGGGAGTCATTACTCTGAATAATCATTCATTATCCTGGAACTGGTAAAACAACAGATCAGAGACAATAACCCTAAATGTTTTGGATGTTACCTGGAACTCCCAGGGCAAGTATAACAGGACTTTAAAAAATCCAGATAACTTAAAACCAAATACTATTGTCGTGGTTTAGTTTCAGTAATGTTTTTTTCTAACTCCATTGGATCAAACAAGCCCAAAGATACAGACATGTCGCAGGGAACTTTCTGATGCAAAATAATGTGGGACACTCTTCTGTTTTTCTGTAGCTAGCTGTATAATGCAATTCCATTCCATATGGCTGGTATTCATTACTAGTCCTACTCACTGAAGTTAATGGTTAAGAGTAACAGGTTTATTAATTTCAATGGGTCTGCTCTGGTTAGGACTTGGGGCTCATCCAGACTCCCGATTGTCCTGTGCTTAGAAAGGATGGGTCCAAGTGGTTTCCCACTTGTCCTTCACTTTCTAGTCATGGATCCAAGAGGTTTTGGCCCTTGTACCCACCACTTTCCCTGGAAAACCCACTCTTTAGCAATCTGGAGAATGTTTGCTCCGATTCACTAGTAGAGATCAGGTGTCCAGGGGGAAAGTGGCAGGACTATGAGCCCTTACCTGAATACCACCCTATGTCTGCATATTGTGAAGCAACCGGAAAAACTCTATGAGAATACAATTTCCAATGCTAAAAACATACAGTGAAATTATGATACTATGTAATGGTACCAATGCAGAGTGGCACAGATCAAGTTGATTTAAATGTTTCATTAACGACGCAGCTGGACTTTTCATTCAAAAGAGCCTGAGGCTACTATGAAATGCAAAAGGTATGTACCAGTCATTGCTTAAATGGGAGCTCATTCTAGTGCTGGCATATGATGTACACGGTACTTTATAAAATAATCTACCGGAAAATTATTACATCACTCTTCGCCTACCTTTTTCTGTTATAAATGATATTCCTGTTATACTTAATTTGGCAGTGTTTGACTCCTAGGCACTCAAACTAATCATGTCACGCATACTTTGAGAGACACGGACGGCATCCCTTTGGACTATATTAGAAATAACTTGTTGGTCGTGTTGCCCATTCAGGAGAAAATCCTGTGTGTATTTTGGATTTCTTTGCCAACCCTTAATTGGAATTGATGAACTAAAACTATTCAAGGGTTGCCAGGTTATTTAAATCGGTACTAGTGAGACTGATGAAAGTTGTGACTTTTCCCATAAGGGGATAGGTGAGAGCAGACACGTTAATTGTGTATATGAGTGTGTGCGGCAGGGTGGAAAGAGAGAAAAGAAAGGACTGGATTCTAAGGTGTGAAATTTGGCAGCTTTGCACTGTACAATGGGCATAAGAAACCACATTTTTCTGTCCATGAGCACATCTGACTTGCTGTTATTTCACAGTTGGATGACTGTATTGTTAAAGTAATGGAATGTTTTTTAATAAATGCAAATCATGAATTAAGTGCTTGAACTGGCTACAGTTGCGCTCTCTGGTGTGTAATTAATGTGTGTGTGTTGGAGACCCATGTCTGCGGGAGTGTTTCATTTATTATTTATAGCACACATTTTCCCCCTTTCTTTTTTCTTTTTTGCTTCTAGCACACCTTCTCACATACACAGAAACAGAGTCCTATACCTGCAGTGTTGACGGTGAAACCCTGCTAACAGATAAGGCTTTAGCCATTGCTACCTCAAACTGCTACCTCCTGCCAACTCAGCAGTTCGAAAGCATGTCAAAGTGCAAGTAGATAAATAGGTACCGCGCTGGTGGGAAGGTAAACGGCGTTTCCGTGCTCTGCTCTGGTTCGCCAGAAGCAGCTTAGTCATGCTGGCCATATGACCCGGAAGCTGTACACTGGCTCCCTCGGCCAATAAAGCGAGATGAGCGCCGCAGCCCCAGAGTCGGCCACGACTGGACCTAATGGTCAGGGGTCGCTTTACCTTTACCTCAAATTGCTATCTGTTAATTCAGTGTTTAATGAGGAAATTTCCCAGTCCAGATAATTGTTGGGCTCCAGATACAACCATGTTCATGGACTCATGACTTCAGCATTTTGTAGTTGCTGTTGGCATCTGTCTGCCTCAAGAGACAGTGGAATGTGCCTCTCAGAGTGAAGTCAAATTGCTGTGTTAGCGGCACTGAAGTGACCTTGGCGCACAAGCCTGGGCAGTGTGTGTGAAGGTCCTGGGCTGCCCAGACAACAAGACCCCCCTTTCAGCCTCGCTGATGGGGTCCAAAGGAAATCAGAGCAATACATGTGGCACCATCATGGCTGCAAGAGTTGCCAGGAGGAGGCATACAAGGCGCTACCCAACTCTCTTAAGGACTCTACTCCAGATTTATGTAAAGTTTACTCCTTAGCAGCTTGGCCCTTTATTCTCCCAAAGATATCCCGCAAGGCAGCGGAGTGTTTTCCTTCTCCTAGATGAGCTACCTTCCCAGGTTGATGAGCCCCATCTGCCCCTCCCTTCCCTCTACAGTACATGTAGAAACCGCCTTCTTAACCACTGGACCCACTATTGGTCTCATCCGCTCAATCCTCCTTCACATGCAGAGGAAGTCCCTAACTCACTGAGGGTTTGAGACCCATCAGCTACCCTCACCTGGTTTAACTGGCCAGTCGAAGCTGTTTCCAGGGTGTGGCTTCTGTCACATGCTGACAGCTTCTAGGAACCACAGGTGAGAGAGCTGAGTGCAGGGTGTGGAGCAATGGTGGACAAACTACTGCAGAAGGAGCACAATGTATCCCCCACCAGAGGTACTACCCATCCCCAACACCCCATAAACCCCATCTGCAGCATCACCACATAGATAATGAAATATACTCAGAGTCGCAAAGTGATTTCATGCTCTTTATTCAGCTCATAGTGGTGAGGAGGAATGAATGAAAGTCCCCTCAAAGTATCTGCTTTATATACATTATTTACACAATGGGCTGCACATGATTGGCTAATTCCGGAATTCTACTGTAAGCCAATCAGGTTGTGGATTCACTTCTATCTGGAGCATGATTAGGTGGTTCCTGCCAACCAATCATACTGCTGCATTGTTCTAGGACCAATCAGACTGCTGCATTCTGAATCCTATTGTTCTAGGACCAATCAGACTGCTGCCTTTTGGATCCTATTGTTCTAGGACCAATCAGACTGCTGCAGTTTGGATCCTATTCAACTCAGTACATAACACCCCTCCAGTGTACTTCTTCATGATGAGAGGCACCGCTTCTTTAAAGTTTCTCCAGAGACCCACTCATTACTTTATCCAGGAAGGTGTGTAAGATACACGGTCCTGTTTGAACACTGTCCTCTCGCGATTATAGACCACTGCATGTTTAATATACTAAAATCAGTTTTACTACTAGATTAACTATTTGCATTTGTAAGGGAGAACAAAGTTCTACAGAAGAAGTTCTCAAACTAAGGCCTACAAATGCCAATCAAGTAGTCTGTGGAAAGATCAGTCTTGGCCCTGCAATTGATTTATCATTTTCCATGACAATAGGAACATCTACTTCCTAAAAGGTAAAGGGACGTGGGTGGCGCTGGGCTTCTTGGGCTTGCCTATCAGAAGGTTGATGGTGATCTGCTTGATGGTGATGAGCTCCCATTGCTTTGTCCCAGCTCCTACCAAACTAGCAGATCAAAAGCACACCAGTGCAAGTAGATAAATAGGTACTGCTGCGGCAGGAAGGTAAATGGCTCTGTCTTCCATCACAGTGTTCCGTTGTGCCAGAAGCGGTTTAGTCATGCCGGCCACATGACCCAGAAAGCTGTCTGTGGACAAACATTGGCTGCCTTGGCCTGAAGCGAGATGACTGGAGTTAACGGTCCAGGAGTCCTTTAAGGTAAAGGGACCCCTAACCATTAGGTCCAGTCATGACCGACTCTGGGGTTGCGGCGTTCATCTCGCTTTATTGGCCGAGGGAGCCGGCATGACATGTGGCCAGCATGACAAAGCCGCTTCTGGTGAACCAGAGCAGCGTACAGAAATGCCATTTACCTTCCCGCCGGAGCGGTACCTATTTATCTACTTGCACTTTGACGTGCTTTCGAACTGCTAGGTTGGCAGGAGCAGGGACTGAGCAATGGGAGCTCACCCCGTCGCGGGGATTCGAACCGCCGACCTTCTGATCGGCAAGACCTAGGCTCTGTGGTTTAACCCACAGCGCCACCCGCGTCCCTTTAGGGGTCCTTTACCTACTTCTTAAAACTGCAAACATAAGCACTTTAGAAAGTCAAGTGCTACATTTATTTTAAAATTGTGTATTTTATTTATTTCATAAAATTTATGCACCACTTGACTGTTAAAAAACAACAACCAACACCTTCAAAATAGTTTACAAAAGATAAAACAGTAAAATTGAGAAAAAAATCACAACCATACTTTAAAACATATGCAAGTTAAAATATAAAATATTAAAATGTGTTACACGTTTGGATTTGTTTTTTGTTTTTGTTTTTTAAAAAACAAGTTTAAATGGTCTGAAATGCACATTAATTTTCCAGTAGTCTGCTGGGGGCAGGCAGAGTTTGCAGATCACTGTTCTGTAGGTTGCAATCTTAGGCTCACCCAAGGCCCACCCTATATTTAGGCTCCAGGCAGCTGCAGACAAGTTTTGGTTATTTAATTCATTATTATATTTTTAATGCCAGGGAGCAGGAACAAGTGCTTGTGGGATTTTCTGCCTTAGATGCCAAACTAGCCTGGCAGCTTTGGGTGTTATGCATCTTGACATGGTGGGAGGGGTGTGTGTTGTCCTCTTGGGAGAAAAACAAGCAAGCCTTAGTGGAACTTCAGTTAATCACAGCCTTATCAAGGGAGTCACTGTCATGTGTCGAGTTGTTGTTGTTTTGTTCTGCTATTTCATGTAGTATCTTGAAACTGCTGTGAATGCAAATGTTATGCTTACTGTACTTTCATCTCTGTCAGAGGAGTGCAGTTGACAAGGCCACAGAAGGAATGTTTCAAACATAGAAGATGCCAATGACTGGGCAAATCACAGCTCTAATCTTGTCAATTGCTCTTCCTGAGATAAGTGCCCACTGCCTTTACCGGTATTTCCTAGCTCCTGAGGTTAATAGCCAGGGGTTACCCACCCATGTTAATTCTGAGCTTAGAAATACTGCAAGTCAAAACAACATGCTTTCTTTGTAATTCCTCATTCCTTACAGAAACATGAAAAAGGAGATTACTTTTAAAGCCTCAGACCTGGGTAATTAAAAAGCCACTTCTTCTCATCTGTAATGGGAATTTTGATGTCTTAGATATATGGTAATGTTCATAACCGCACGTACATAGATCAGCACAGGAAGACCGACCTGAAGCCATTTTGATTTCTAAACTGAGCAAATGTTTCTCTGCATGGTCAAAGTGGAAACCCTCCCCATTGTTTTTTCCTTCACAAATCCTGTCTTAAGGGTATGTCTGTGTTTGAATAGGGTGTGAGCCTGTGACCTGGCCCAGGAACTAAGTATTTATCATTACAAAAGATTGGCCAGGCTCCCCAGGCAATCCAATCAAGTAACTTGCCAGACAGGAGATAAACAAGGACAGGAGAAAAACAACATTCAAATTTTTGTTTTAAGACCGCCTTTGCTGTGATGTAGGTATGATGTATCTGAGGGGTGGTCTTGGGTTACACCCCTTCTGTGATGTATGTATGATGTTTCTGGGGGTGGTCTGGATCTACAGGGTGGCAATTTCAAAAGTCTTTATAAGGCCTTGCACGCCATTTTTCTGGGTCCCTCCTCCTCTCCCGCAGGTGAGGGGAGACCCTGTTGCAACAGATAAATAAAGATCAAGCTTACTAGCTGCTTTGTTTCTCAGTATTCTCTGGTTGGCCTCTGTTATTCTCTCCTACCAATAGGGATCCTATGTCTATATGGGCTCTTGGATACCCCATAATGGGAAAGGGCAATTTTTGTTTACAACAATACCATATATTTGTGATACATACACATACACAAAGACTCATACTTCAATCAATCACAGTCGTTTTCATCATAGCCTCTTCGTTGTGAAATATTTTCACTAAGGCAGAGGTAGGGAACCTGTGGTCCTCCAAATGTCAGCTCCCATCAGCCTCTGCGACTATGACCAATGCTCAGTTGGAGGAGTCCAAATCAAAGAATTGTAAAGTTGGAAGGGACTCTGAGGGTCATTTAGTCCAACACAGAAATCTCAGCTAAAGCATCTATGATAGATGGCCAAGCAACCTCTGCTTAAAACCTACAAGGAAGGAGAGTCCACCACCTCTTGTGGGAGTCTGTTCCACTGTCGGAAAGTTCTTACTGGTGTTTAGTCAGTAAGTCCTTTCTTGTAATTTGAATCCATTGGTTTGGGTCCTAGCCTATGGAGCAGAATAAACAATCTAGCTCCATCCTCCATGTAGCAACCCTTTAGATATTTGAAGATGGCTTTCATGGCTCCTCTTAGTCGCCTCTTTACCAGCTTTAACATACCCAACTCCCTCAATTGTTCCTCATAAGGCTTGGTTTCCAGACCCTTTGTCATCTTGTCACCCTTCTCTGCACACATTCCAGTTTGTCAATGTCCTTCTTAAATTGTGGTGCTCAGAACTGGACACAGTACTCCAGGTATGGTCTGACCAAGGCAGAATAGAGTAGCACTATTACTTCTAATAATAATAATAATAATAATAATAATAATAATTTATTACTTATACCCCACCCATCCAACTGGACACAGTACTCCAGGTATGGTCTGACCAAGGCAGAATAGAGTAGTACTATTACTTCCCTTGATAATAATAAAAAGTTATTACTTATTCTCCACCCATCCAACTGGATTGCTATACTTCTGTTGATGCAGCCTAGAATATCAGTAGCTTTTTCACTGTTGCATCACTGTTTATTCATGTTAAGCTTATAGTCTACTAAGACTCCTAGATCCTTTTCACATGCACTACTGGTAAGCCAGGTGTCCTTCATCTTATATTTGTGCAGCTGGTTGTTCCTGCATAAGTGCAGAACCAGACCTTTGTCCCTATTGAAATTCATTTTCTTAGTTTTGGCCCACTTCTCCAATCTGTTGAGGTCATCTTGAAGCCCACAAGTTCCTCATTGCTTCCCTAAAGAGTCTCACTTGGCTTTCTGGCACCTTTGGTGACATGTTAAGAACAAGCTATTTTAGAACAAGACATGAGTATCGGCACCTCATTTGTTACAAAAAATACAAAAAAAAGCAATACAGTATTCATACTTACTGAAGTATCCAATCTAGCAAAAGATTTGGTTAGTTACCTGTACTTCACTCTCTCATCTCTGCAGTCTTAATATATATTTAAAGATAGCAAATACATTGGTGGTGAGGTAGAGAAAATATGTTCCATATTGTATTTACCAAGGGTTCCCCCCACAAAAAAACCGTTTAACGCTAAAACCATAAAGCTAGTATTATTGCCTTTAAGACACAATGCTCCATTGATTGAAGAATAGCTTTTAAGCCAATTAAAGTTTGGCAGCCATCCTACTACAGGCAAAGTAATGCTTGTTAACAGTTCATTTTTGTTACACAGTTTTCAGTATAATCGTGCATTTCTAAAAAGCCTATTTAATGCTTATGAGTATTTTGAAATCTCATTTTTACAGACATTTTTAGCCTTTGCTTTCATATTGAAAGGTATTTTAAATGTTATGGGCACCCATATATTTAATACAGGGGAGACAAAAATGTTATAGTGTGTAGAAATAAGCTATGCAGTTAACAAGCAGTTAATGCCTGTTTACATTTTAAATATCCTTCAGTTTCTGAAAATATACACAAATCTGTTTGAGTGTCTGTATTATTAATGGCAGCTCTATCAATACTGTGGCTCTATGGACCCCTTTGGAGCATTAAAAAAAAGGCAGTTTAACACAGTAGTAAGCTTTCACAACTGTTGAAACAAAAAAACAGAAAGCCTGCAAAATCTTTATAATTCATTAATACCCAATATGCAATATACTAGGCTTTGTGCTAATTTCTCACACATCATCTTATTACCTGTCAATGCTGAAACAGATTATCATGGGAATTCGAAATAAAATTTAACGAATACCTGATTTGTAGTTGTAATTTGCAAACAACTACAATCAGAAACTTCATTTTCCAGGTCACAAGCACAATATCCTCAAGGAAGCCTGGCTCTGGGAGGAGATAGTTCTTCCTTTCATGGATACAGATGATACATTTCTTTCCATTGTTTGTTATGCAACTTTCTGATAATGTTTTGAATTGTATCCATCTTGTGTGAATATTCTCTGCAAGCCAATGTCCATAGTTTAAAACACTCGGTAGACTAGTGAAGCAATTTTAAAGTTGGAAATACCTACAGCCAGATCCCCTTATCTGGTGCAGCAGTTCTCTAAACTGAACATGGCCACGTTGAGCTAGCGTTACACAAGAAAGCAGGAAAGCATCACTGACGGAATAGGTTTATTCAAACCCGAGGCTGGGAGTAAGTCCCACTGAACTCAACATGACTTAATTCCAAGCATCACCTTGCCAACAAAGGTCTGTATAGTTAAAGCTATAGTTTTCCCGGTAGTGATGTATGGAAGTGAGAGCTGGACCATAAAGAAGGCTGATCGCTGGAGAATTGATGCTTTTGAATTATGGTCCTGGAGGAGACTCTTGAGAGTCCCATGGACTGCATGAAGATCAAACCTCTCCATTCTGAAGGAAATCAGCCCCGAGTGCTCACTGGAATGACAGATCGTGAAGCTGAGGCTCCAATACTTTGGCCACCTCATGAGAAGAGAAGACTCCCTGGAAAAGAACCTGATGTTGGGAAAGATGGAGGGCACAAGGAGAAGGGGACGGCAGAGGATGAGATGGTTGGATAGTGTTCTCGAAGATACCAGCATGAATTTGACCAAACTGCGGGAGGCAGTGGAAGACAGGAGTGCCTGGCGTGCTCTGGTCCATGGGGTCACGAAGAGTCGGACAGGACTAAACAACAACAACAATTATTAGGACAGCGCTGCAAATTCCACACCAGGCGTTACTCCCAAGTTAGCAAGTCACCCGCACTCACCTGGGAGTAAGGCTGCCATCCTACACCCACTAACTATTGAATTCAGTGAGACTCAGCGCCTAGTTTAGGCACACACAGAAAGTGAACCCGGAGAGACCTGCAAATAAACATGCATAGGGGGTTGCAGAAGACCACAAAACGTGTAGCCCCATCTCGTGCACGTCCCGTCGATTTCCACCCCCCAAGTATGTGTTCCTCGAATTGAAATTTGCAGCTGCAAGGGGGGGGGGTCTCCCCTTTTGACTGACAGCTGTCCCAGAGCGAAGCCTCATCTGAAAGGTGGTAGGAGGCAGATCTTGCATCAAAGCAAGGAATCGCTGCCTGCAAAGAGGAGGTTCATCCGGCTAAGGGAGGGATCCAGGCCAGATCCTCCCAGCAGGGCGATCCCTTCCTCTAAGGGGGGCGGGGACTGCTCTGCTGACTCTGCTTGGGTCTGGGTGGGTGTAGCCACGGCGGGTCACAGCCAGGCTCAGCTTGGCTCCGATTGGCGCTCGGCCTCCCGTGGGGCGCGGCGGTTGGCTGGCGAGGCCGCCACTCCCGCCGCCCGCCTCCTCCCGTGCTCGGCGGCCGCGAGTGAGAGGCAAGGGGAGCGGCGGGCGGAGGTGGGCGGCGCCTGGGCTGGAGGTCGCGGCGGCGCGGAGGTGGGCAGGCAGCATGGCAGCGGCTCTGGTGCTGAGAGGCTCCGCCAGTTGGTTGCGCAGGCAGAGGAGGGTCTGCGCGGGCAGCGTGGCGATGGGTAAGGAGCGCCGGGCTGCGGGGATGAGCTCGGCTGAGCTGCTGGCGGATCCTTGCAGAGGAGCAGCAGCAGCAGAAGAAGGGCCTGGCCTCTTCCTAAGGAAGCCCCGAGGGGAGATGGGGCTACTGTTCCCCCCTCTACCCCACAGCCCCTCGCCTTGTCACCAAGTCCAGGGGTCTGACAACCCTTTGCCCAAACTTACTGGCAACTGCATAGGCAGTAAATCAGGTGCAAAGAAATGGTGCGTTAGAAATGCAGTCTTCCTTTACGATGACATCTGGGTCTTGCTTCTCCAGAGCTAGCCTGCTTTTATTTTTGCTTTCCCCCCCCAACCTCCTGGTCTAAAGTTTGCATAGGCTTGCAAGGTGCTGATCAGAAGGAAAGGCAAGGTTGTATGACTTGCATTTTGCGCCCTTTACAAGTATTGTACCCGCGCTGTTAAAACCCACACAAGCTTTAAAATTATATTGGGCTAATATCAGAACGTACGGTCGGCTGAAGAGAAGGCCGGCGTAATAAATACTTTAACGTGTTTACTTAAAATAACGCGCACCGTGTTTAAAACAGGCCACAAAAGTTTATGTGACGCTAGTGACCTAACATATCGAGTTAATGGTATTTATAATCTGCTCACATTTGCTTTTCACATAATACTGATTATTTTTCTCGCAGAGAACTAGGCATTTTATTAATTGCTGTGATCCTGGACAGTTTTATACATACATGTAAAACTTGGTACAGGTGTGGTTAGTGTTGTTGTACCATGTACATTATCCTTTTTGTAAAGTTAGCCATAGCCTTGTGGGTTTGCACAAGCGATATTCATGCTGCAGCAGAAACCAACATCTGAATTCCATGGAGTTTGCTCTGAGATAAGTGTATAGTATCTAGGATTGCAGGTTAGTTTCTCATCTTTAAAGGAGCAAGTTTAATTGAATGCTTTTACTTGTCTGCCCTAGTTAGGTTATTAGTAACGCCAAATAATATAAAAGAAAATGTTTTAAAGCCCTCTCGTTTGCCCTTAATCAATCTCTGTGTGTATTTTTCCATTCTTTTTGATAAGGAGCTCTGTGCTCTCAAAAGGCTTGCATGCTGTCTTACTAGCAAAAGCCTGGCTTTGTATAAACCAGCTTGCTTTATTGGGTGAAACTATTGACATCCAACATACAGTGGTGCTTGTTTAACTTCCCAAATGACTTCAATTCCTAGTGTCTTTGAATAGAACAACATGTGACTGCATAATAGTGAATTTCAATAAATTAAATGGGTTCTCAGTAGAACGTGTATAGAAGTTCTGTATCATTAAAACTGTGCCCTATGAGTGCAAAAGTCCTTAATTCAAAACGCCCCTCTGTCATGAACTCATGCACTGACTTTAGGGAAGACATTTCTCATCCCATCTCCAGATCTGTAATATGATAATACTAAAGCTGGCTTGCTTTACAGGGTTGTTTTACGGATTACCAGGAAAATATACACTGAGCGCTTTGAGCACTTCAAAATTACTGTATAAGCAATGAGTTATAATATCAATGTACATATATATGTATGCTTGCATGTATATTATATATTGTTGCCATCATGTGTCAATAAGTCACATAAGCTCCTCCACATGCAGCTGCTGGGTGACCTTGGGCTAGTCACACTTCTTTGAAGTCTCTCAGCCCCACTCACCTCACAGAGTGTTTGTTGTGGGGGAGGAAGGGAAAGGAGAATGTTAGCCGCTTTGAGACTCCCTAGGGTAGTGATAAAGCGGGATATCAAATCCAAACTCTTCTTCTTCTTCTTTGGTCATGTTAGAATCGTAGAGTTGGAAGGGAACCTGAGGGTAATCTAGTCCAACTCCCTCCTGCAACGCAGGCATCTTTTGCCCCATGTGGGGCTGAAAGCCATGTCCCCGAAAGTCCCATGCTCTACCAACTGAGCTATATACTGTATTTATGCATATATAAATCCACACACTTTACACTTTACACAGTTGCTGGATTGTTCAGCTTATTATGCTTATGGCATTAAAGTTGAAATCCTAAACATGGTTGCTCATGAGCAAGCCCCAAAGAGCACAGTGGTGGTGTTTACTTTTAAGTAAACATGAATAGGATTGGTGCCACACATCATTCATTTCCTAGTGCCTTTATGACATGAAGGTAAATAGACTTCTTGTCTGTGGAAATTAACTCGTTCCTTATGTTTACTGTCCTTTAGTGTTTGTAAGTCACCCTTGGCTGTTCTGTGACTAAGTCCCATAATTACATAAATAATACTACATTTTTTTAAAAATGCGGGAGCCTTCAGTTGCTGTAGCTCAGGGATAGACAGCATGTAAGGGGTCTTAGGCTGAATCTATAGCATCCCTATATAGTGCTAGGAGAGCTGTATGAAATTGTGAAAACCTGCTGCTAGTCACTATAGACAGTGTAGGTTAATGAGACAGGATTTGCACCTGCAGGAGCCATAACAGTTGTTATTCAGCAGGACTTGTTCTTCTCTTTCCCTCTCTAAGACCTTGATATCGACCTCTCCACAAATCACTCCATGTTTGGCACTACTTGATATATTGCAGGGGTAGGGAATCGGTAGCCCTCTAGATGTCTGATTACAATTCCCATTAGTTTTAGTTAGCAAAGGATGATGGAAGATTGTCCCTCAACATCTGGAACAGAGCCTGCATCTCTGTTGTGTATGCCCCTTTGTCTGTATGGCTACTGATTTAACATGTGAAATAGAAGGTTTGGTTTCCTGCTTTTCACTGTCCCGTCCCCATATCTGGGGGGGGGGGGACGGGACGGGACACTTCAGCATCTTTGTGTGACAGGACTGGAAGCCAGATTTCTTGTTTCCCATTTTATCATCGCAAACCCCCTATCGAGCAGGTAGAGAGCATGTGGTCCTCCAGATATAGTTGGACCACAGCTCCCATTAACCCTATCTATTAGCCATACTAGCTGGGACTGATGGAAGTTGGAGTCTAGTAACGTGTGAAGAGCTACAGGTCCCCTATCTGTGTGAAACGAGGTGTGAAATAGAAGCCTTGTGTATTGTTGTTAAACTGTTGTACTCCTATTTATTAAAAATATTTATAATAATACTGCTTCCGGGTAACTTTCTATGGTTAGAGAACAGTTTGTCTCAGCTTGCACATCTTCTGCTGGCTTGATAGTTGTCGGAGGTAACTGGTTAGGACTCTGATCAGGAAGTCTGATACAAGATGTTGGCGTATTAATCATGGCACCAACAATATCGTGTGGAGAGCAGCTGCATCTGTCTTCTAAGCTTAACATCCGAAGACTAATAGCTCTGATGCTACTGATCTAAGAAGGAACACTTCCAATGTACTCTTGTTACTTCCTGATTTTTCAATATGAATGCTATTTTTCTTTAGATACGCTGTTGAGGTTGAGCAGTTTGGTAAATTTCATGAAAGCTTGATATTCATTCATAATGATGCCTGGTATGATTCTACTCCATTTTATTTTGCTTTAAGTCAACGTTTCTTACAATTGGCAGTCAAACTGAGAACAGATGGCATTCAAGCTCTAAGCTAGGATTGTATTCATTTAGAAAAGGAAATTATTGTTTATCCTGTTGCCTAACATTCCCTGTTCATGTATGCCTAGTAGCTTGTGCTTACGTTATGACTGCATGGTGCAATACTGAGAGTTGAGTGCCTCTAAGATTTTTTTCAGTGGGTCTTGAATACACTTTTTCCGAATTACATCTATAACCCATACCAAACTGTAGTGTTACAGGTTCTAATTCTGTTGATGGCTACTCTTGGCATTTGAGTGTCTGTCATTTACGGTACCTAATTTTCATGCATGTTCTACTAACACCAGAGGATAGCTTTCAGACTGCTGGGGAAAGGCATTAAATAACTGTGGTGTGAAAGTTCTCCATTATGCTTTTTTAAAAATGCATCTTTAGTCCATGCAGACAAACTGCCATATGATAGTAGTTTGCACATCTCAACATCTGGTGGACAGCTGTTTGTGTCTTGAATTACAGCTGATACTAACTGGCTGGATTGGCAGTCAGGAAAAGAAAAGGGATCAGCTATGCGTGGAATCTGTACAATTTTCCCTGCCAGTCCATATTAAGGTTGAACTCATTCTCTTTGCCCTGTAACCCAAGAACAATGGGTAACCAAGTGGAATTGTTTTAGAATTACTACATTCACATGACAAAATTTAATTAGAAATGCCCCTGCAACTGAGAGTTAAAGGCAACATGCAAAGCACACCTTAAAATTTTGCATCGCTTTGTTACATGAGATTACTCAAAATGGTAACCATTACAAATTAATATTATTTTTTGGGTGTTCCGAGTTTATAAAGATAAACTAGGATAAACATGTGTTAAAGAATAAGAAAAAAATACTGTGTTTATTAAAGTTTTCTTAAAGATGAAAAAATGGCAAGAACAAGTTCAAGCAAGTTTAAATTCTAACGGAAATACAACATAAATAGATTTTATCTGTGCGTGGTACAGTGGCTATTATAAAACACCGGAATAGTACAGATGTCTTCAATTGCATATTAGTAGCAGATAAAAACTCTTGCCAGGGCAGAGAAGCTGGGTCAAAACATAGCGCTAATAATATATGACATAATAATTAACAGTATGAACTCAGAGATGAACAACAGCATCAAATTGCTACTGTAGATGGTCACAAATAACTGTATAATCTGTTTTTGTTATGGAAATGTATTTCAAGATCATTTACTAATGCTGAAACTCTTGGAACTGTCTTTAGTGTCTTCTAGGGCAATGGCTTCCAAAACTGCTGTTGGATTCATTGGTTTGGGCAACATGGGAAATCCAATGGCGAAAAACCTTGTAAAACATGGGTACCCTGTCATAGCATATGATGTATTTCCAGAAGCGTGTAAAGAATTTCAAGACTTAGGCTCACAGGTATAGTAGTTGGTATCTTATTTTAAGAATCTTACTTCATAAGGGGTGGGGGCTGTGAAATTCCATTAATTCCATCTCAAGATAGGAATTGTTATTAAAAAAAATTCCACTCTGGGTGGCTTCCAACAAGTTAAAACGCAGTAAGACATCAAACATTAAAAACTTCCTTATACAGGGCTGCCTTCAGATGTCTTCTGAAAATTGTAAAATTATTTATCTCCTTGACATCTGCTAGGAGGGTGTTCCACAGGGCAGGCACGACTGGCAAGAAGGCCCTCTTCTCGGTTCCCTGTCACCTCACTTCTCGTAGTGAGGGAACTGCCAGAAAACCTTCAGTGCTGGATCCCAGTGTCTGGGCTGAGTGATATGTGCTTCCTATGTGTTGGATGTGATTGTGCCCTAGTTCAGACATCATGGGCACCCATGGCTAGTTAAAACAAAATTCAGTGGTACCTGGTACTCGGTTCACAAACTTAATCCATTCTGGAAGTCCGTTCTTAAACCGAAACCGTTCTTAAACCGAGGTGCACTTTCCCTAATGAGGCCTCCTGCCGCCGGTGCCCTTCCACCGTTCAGATTCCGTTCTTACACCAAGGTAGAGTTTGCAAACCGGGACACTACTTCCGGTTTTGCAGAGTTCGTAAACCGAATCATTCGTAAACAAGGCTGTTCTTAAACAGAGGTACCACTGTAGACTCAAGCTGTGGTTTGTGAAGTTCAGGTATAATTTCTCAGTTCAAAATAGTAATAGGTCACTCTCCACCCGATGTGCACAAGCAAGAGAGGGATAAAGGCTTGAGTAGGGTCAAGTGGGCCCTGATCCTGACCTGCTTACCCTACGCCTCTAATTGTTGGACTACAGCCCCCATAACCTTTGGTCATTGAGGGTCACAAGCTCCCCACCTTGTGAAAAACCCATTCTTTTTCCTTTTTTGTAACTATATGGATAAGCTATAGTTGACTAGATTGTCTTAAGATGAAATGTATGTGCCTATTTTGGGAAATGGTAATGATGATTTAGTTAACAGTGAAGTAATTAGCATCATGGAACAAATAAAGCAGGCATAGGCAAACTCGGCCCCCCCAGATGTTTTGGTACTACAACTCCCATCATCCCTAGCTAACAGGACCAGTGGTCAGGGATGATGGGAGTTGTAGTCCCAAAACATCCGGAGGGCCGAGTTTGCCTATGCCTGAAATAAAGGGTTCTTACTGTCACTTGTACTCTGCCTGGACCCATGATGCCCTCCTTCTAACCAATCAGCTGTTACATCTTTGTGCTGTCTCTTGTTAAAATTCATAGGAGTGGGAGGATACGGCAAGATTTCACCCTTCCATTGTCGCATCTGATTCTGTGGCTTAGCTACACGGCGCTGTTTCCGTTCTACTGAAGTACTTGTAATACTTGCTTAAAAGGTTGAAACAATAAAACATGAAAGGATAACTTCTGTTTCAATAGGCAACAGAACACTGATCTTTTTCTTACACCCTCTTTCTTGAAAGGTGACAGATTCCCCAGCAGATGTAGCGGACAAAGCTGACAGGATTATTACGATGCTTCCATCTAATGCTAATGCAATAGAAGTCTACGTAGGCTCCAATGGAATTCTGAAGTGAGAATTTCCTCTTATCTTCCCTCCTCTCCCCCATTTCTAAGCCTAATAATAAAATAAAGCATTTTATTCTACATTCTGCCTAGAGTGTTATTTGCATTCATTTTCTACTTGCCTGCTGAATTAAAACGTTGCTAAGCACATAGTGTCTATCAGCTATCCGTGTGTGCAAACAATTCCCTGCTGCACCTATGGCAACAAACTGCATTTGGCAATAGACTTTTACTCCTAGATATGCGTGTGTGATGGTCTGTCCCCAAACTTGAGCACTAATCCCCGTTAGTATATGAATGCAACATCTTGCTGCTCTTGCAGGACTCTGGAAAGAAATAATAGCTAGAAGTCCATTATCTTAATCCTTCATGTGTGTGTTTTTCCCTGTTGAAACTCAAAGGGGAGATTGTAAGGAATTTCTAATAACACAAGTTGATATTTTGATGACTTTGAAGAAAATGGTTCAGAGCCAGGAGTAGCCATCTTAGGCTGCTGCAGCAAAAGCATAGAATTGTCGGATTGGAAGGGACCCAAAGGGTCATCCAGTCCAACCGACTGCAATGCAGGAATCACTGACAGATGGCCATCTGGCCTCTGTTTAAAAACCTCCGGTGAAGGAGAGTCCACCATGTTCTGAGGTTGTCCATTCCACTGTCAAACAGTTCTTACCATCAAAAAGTTTTTCCTAATGGTTAGGCACAACCTCCTTTAGTGTAATTTGAATCCATTGCTTTGGGTCCTGCCCTCCGGAGCAGCAAAAAAACAAGATTGCTCCATCTTCCATGTAATAGTATTTTAGATATTTTTATTTGTTAAATTTGTATACAGTGGTACCTCTGGTTGCGAACAGGATCTGTTCCCGAGGCCCGTTCGCAACATGCCTGCGCAGGTTGCAATTCGCCGCTTCTGCACATGCACGTGATGTCATTTTGTGCGTCTGCGCATGCACGAGCGGTGAAACCCAGAAGTACTTCCGGGTTGCCGCGGGACGCAACCCGAAAAAACGTATCATGAAGCAAATGTAGCCTGAGGTATGACTGTACTGCCCTATTTCTGTAGATCTCAGGGTTGTTCACAAAATATTTTAAGATGTCTATCATCTTGATTCAGGTAGGTAGCCATGTTGGTCTGACGCAGTCGAGATAAAGAAATAAATTGTCCAGTAGCACCTTAGGGACACGAAAGCTTATACGCAGAACAAACTTAGTTGGTCTCTAAGGTGCTACTGGACTTTTTAAAAAATTCTTTTATTTATATCACCTCTCGGTCACATCTTGTACATCAGATGCAAATGTTATCATGGCATAAGCTTTCATATACAGTCATACCTTGGATCCCGAACACCTTGTACTCAGACCTTTTGGCTCCCAAATGCCACAAACCTGGAAGTGAGTGTTCCGGTTTGCGAACGTTCTTTGGAACCCGGATGTCTGATGGGGCTTCCACGGCTTCCAATTGGCTGCAGCCAATCCGCAGCCGTGCTTTCATTTCCGAACATTTTGGAATTCAAACTGACTTCCGGAACGGATTCCCGTTCGACTTCCGAGGTACCACTATACTAGAGTTCATTTCATCAGATGCATGAAGCATAATCCTCAGTTGCAGGTGTATAACACATGGTTATAAAAGAGGAGGAAAGTGTTGTAAACCGTGGACTCAGAAGTGAATGAAATGCAAAGGAAATTAAATGCAGGAAGTGTAGATGGTAAGAATTCAGTTTACACTTAACTTTAAACCATAGTTAAAACTGCCTGATTTAACACGAATGAGCAGTGTGCTGTGCGTGCTGCTCAACAGTCTCTGCTTCACTTATGCTGAATTGGCCATGTCAGGCAGGAAACGAACCATAGGCTGGCTTCCTGTTGTTTGTGAAGCTGCTCTGGTTCACATGTAGCGTGACACCAGCTGCTGGTTTGTTTTGTGCTCATGGCGGGAGGGAGGGAAGGAGGGAGAGAAGTGGGGATGTTTGAGCAGCGCCAGTGTGCTGATCATTCACATTAAACTATAGTTTATAATTAAGTAAAATTTTGTGTGTACCAGGCCAGAAGATATGCAAGAGAAGCACTGGCCCTTCACAACAGCAGTGATAACAGCGTTGCCAAGCTTATTATTTTGATTAACATCTGCAGTGGGAAAGAAAACCATTGTCTCTATTCAGATAGAGTTGACCAACTTGATAAATTGTTATTTAGAAGATTCACACGGGAGCATCTCTTAGAAATTCCTTTGTTCCAAGTATGGGCACCTAAGGTCAGTGGCAGAATGCCCTGGTAAATTGTGTTATAGCCAATTACCAATGTGAATTTATGAAATAGCATATCCGAATTGAAGATCTCATTGATACTTTTTTTTTATATCTGCAATGATCTTCATTTGATTGTGCCAGCTTCTGTACTCAAGCTGTGTTGCCTCTAGGCCAGATGGTATCAGTAAAAAAATTAAGCTAATTTTGTTGACTTTTTTACATATCTACAAAGCTCTCTGTCTTATTCGTCTTTTGCTTCTTCTTTTTCTTCTTCAGGAAAGTGAAGAAAGGTTCTTTGCTAATAGACTCCAGTACTATTGATCCTGCAGTTTCAAAAGATCTAGCTAAAGAAGCTGAAAAAATGGGAGCTGTTTTTATGGATGCCCCTGTTTCTGGTGGTAAGCTTTACCCCCCTAAACTTGTGTTTTCCCTGATGTTGGAGGTTAGGGAAGGCTGGCCTATATACGTACCACTCATTAGGAAAAAATAAAAAAGAACCCTGAATTTTCATATCCAAGATTCATAAAGATATGTAGGCTCATGCAGAGGGGCTCATGCTAGCCGAGTGAAACAATTGCTGTCTCTGTTGACCTGATCACCACATTACAAACTACTTTTAATAGTCCCCTCTGTTTGAAAAGATATTTGCCATGCGGCAAGAGGAGCTGGAATTCACTGAAAACAAGTGTAAATCATCAGATGCATAGGACAAGTTCTGTGGGTCCTCATACTACATATTTTGTATTTTCTCTCCAAATTATCAAGTTGGTAATTTTCTACTTGGTATATTGGAAGCTTGTAAAGTAGAGGGTCAGCAATATGAAACACGGAATTTGAATGTACTATTAAAAAGGATTATTTCTCTAGACTTAAAGGTAAAGGTAAAAGGGACCCCTGACCATTAGGTCCAGTCGTGACCGACGCTGGGGTTACAGTGCTCATCTTGCTTTATTGGCCGAGGGAGCTGGCATACAGCTTCCGGGTCATGTGGCCAGCATGACTAAGCCTCTTCTGGCGAACCAGAGCAGTGCACGGAAACACCGTTTACCTCCCGCTGGAGCGGTACCTATTTATCTACTTGCACTTTGACATGCTTTCGAACTGCTAGGTGGGCAGGAGCAGGGACTGAGCAATGGGAGCTCTCTAGACTTAGAATCCAGCAAATTCAGCAAAAGATTGATGGATTCAACAAAAATTGATGTTTTGGGTATACTGGATTCCTCAAGCTGGAGGTTTAACAATAGAAGTATCTCACTGAGGGTTGTCCAGTGATACCTCCTTTTTGGCTGAAAGTTATTGTCTGTTCATTTTGCCTTGGTGAAACCTTTGATATTTGCAGATGTCAATGTACTTTTGAAATTCTACAGTAAACAAGGTACCACTTTAACTGCTTGTCTTACACAGAAGAGCATAATAGGTCACGCCACTGACCAGGTTGGAAGGCAAATGAACCTATGAAAAGGAGAGTATATGTTCGTAACCAGTGCTTTTGAGCAATTTACTGGCTTTTTGGCTTCACTGTCAAGCCAGCTCTTCTCCTCCACACTTTTTCTTACCCTTCAACTTGAAGAAAAGTTTTGGAACTCTTCTGTTTGTGACATTTTGGTTAGTCCTAGGAATATAGGAAGCTTCTGTATACGTAGAGGCTCAGTATTGGTCCATATAGTATTACCTACTCTGACTTGCAACAGCTCTCCATTATTTCAGATGGGAAATTCCCAACCTAGTACCAGGAATTGAACCAGGGACCCATAGCTCTACCACTGAGCTACGGTTGCCCCTGAATAATTGTCTGACTAAATTTTTAATTTATTCTAATGGAGCAACACAACTTCCCCTGCTTTTTGTGTATCTTAGAGGATACCAAGTTTAGCCATAGATCAGGGGTCACCAAACTTTTTCAGCAGGGGGTCGGTCCACTGTCCCTCAGACCTTTTGGAGGGCCGAGCTATATTTTTTTTTGGGGGGGGTGAACGAATTCCTATGCCCCACAAATAACCCAGAGATGCATTTTAAATAAAAGCACACATTCTACTCATGTAAAAACATGCTGATTCCTGGAGCGTCTGTGGGCCGGATATAGAAGGCGATTGGGCCGGATCCGGCCCCCGGGCCTTACTTTGCCTACCCATGCCACAGATGATATCAAAACCGGAAGATTACTTTCGACCGCCTGAAAATGGGACTTTTATTTTGTGGCAGGTGGGGTGGGGTTACATGGCCTCCCGCTTCTAGATAAACCTCTGCAAGCCGGAAAACTAAATAGCTTGTTTATGGCTTGGTGACATTTTGGTTGGTTCTAATAAAGGTATTTAGCCTAACTGGATTTTAAAAGGATAGTGGAGAAGGTATGGGTATCTGGCTGAACCTGGATTAAGGTCAGAGTATGAACAGGAGTAGAATCAATATAAGAAAATATAGGCTAGCAGCAGTGTGGCAAGCTGCCAACCCAAGTAGCTGATTACAGTAATGGTGGAGAGACAAGAAAGGTACAGGAAAAAGGCATTTATTCAGCGCAAACCTAGAAAAAAGAGAGAGAGGGCAGATAGCCATGTTGTGGCTAAATCTGTAGGAGAAAATCCAGTTTCTTATATTTGCATTTCCCACAATGTAACACTATGCAAATACACTTCATTGACTTGCCCTATTCAAGAGAGAGCTATGTTTGTACGCTGGTCTCCATTATTTCTGTCTTTATTTTCCATTGGTACGTTCTACCATCTTCCCTTGTACAAGCAGCTGACCTCTGTAGGCGAATGTAATTTGAAGTTCTCCATATTGCCTGGATAGGTTCCCCTCCAATTGCATCTCGCCTGCCTGAAGGGAAACTGGAATATGTTAAGTCATTTATTGACGCTGTAGTGACAAGTGTAAACTGAGAACGAAGAAAGTGACTCCTCTATGGCCTTGTATGCATAAGAGCTTCTTTGTACACATCATGTTACTAATGTGGCATTTGCAGCAGTTGCTTGTGTCAAACGAATGTGTCCTTTAAGGAATCTTAAGAGTGTATATATATATATGTGCATGCATGAGTGCATCTGTGTGCATTTTTTTTTTCTCATTGGAGAAAATAACATATGTTGAATAGAGTCGTTTTTACTAACTTGTATAAATGCTTTCTAGAAGATTGAAACAGTAGGCAGCGGAGCTTGTTAAAGACTTCTTATTTTACAAGCTTTAAAGAATTCAGAATATGGCTTGACTCCTTTTTTTTTTAATCGAAACCCTCATATAGACTTCGTTTCAGAGCCAGCATCAAGTCTGTACAGTGCTTGTCTTTTTTAAAAATACAAACATACACTCTTGCTCTTTCTATTTACTGAATCAGAACCCTACTGTTTCCACTGGTGCTGTGTCTAATTTATGACGTGACCACAAAAACTAAAATTATTTATATGTTGGCACAAAACGGCACCACTGTAGTTAAGAGTCTGTTGGCATTTCCATTATAAATCCTCCCTAGGACAAGTTTATAACTTGGCATTTTTACTTTGCTTCAGGCTCTAAACATGCTGTTTTCTGTCCAAGCACAATTGGGGTTTTTTTTATAAAATATATAAAAAATCATTTAAATAAGCTTGGGCCACTTATTTATGTTTCACAACTAGTACTGCAAGCTAGAGTTTTGAGAATGGTATATGGCCCAAACTGTAGTGAAATAAAATAATAGTGGCTTTTAAAGGGACTTTACAAACTCTTTATTATTATTTACTAAATGGCACAAGTATACATGCAACAGTTTTTACGTGCATATTTTTTTTTTGGCATAGTGCTCTACATTCCAATCTTTTCATTGAGAGGTCTTAACAGTCAGCAGCGCACATTTAATAGGATAAATATTTAAAAACCCACAAAAATAGTCTGTGGATGTATGAACCCGTGTTTATCAGACTTACGATTCCTCCTTTTTTAAATCCCAAATTCTCCCTCCCTCCCCGTTTGAAATCAGTTTGTATTTTTCCTCTTCTGTGTCTAAATGAAGGCAGCTTCATTTAGCATTAGTGAACTGGTAGGAAAGGATAGCTCAAGAAAAGGGGACCAGCTAGTAGTTTGTGTGAATTTTTCATTACAGTTACCAGTTCGGACTGCATGTGAGAGTCCAATTGGATGAGAAGCAGTTTTCTGGTCTTGCGTAGTTGCCATGTGAGTTGAATTTTTGGTACTCGCAAAGCTCTTTCACTGGAAGGGCTCACATTGTTCACATTACTCCCCAGTGTGGTGTAGTGGTTAAGAGTGGTAGACTCGTAATCTGGTGAACCGGGTTCGTGTCTCCGCTCCTCCACATGCAGCTGCTGGGTGACCTTGGGCCAGTCACACTTCTCTGAAGTCTCTCAGCCCCACTCACCTCACAGAATGTTTGTTGTGGGGAGGAAGGGAAAGGAGGATGTTAGCTGCTTTGGGACTCCTTAGGGTTGTGATAAAGCGGGATATCAAATCCAAACTCTTCTTCTTGTTGTTGTTGCCTGTCATCTTCCCTTGTCTTTAGTTTGCAAATCCTTGTTTCATTGGTGTGCCTGAGAAAAGAATTCTGTATGTTTAATACAAGGTCAGCTCCAGCTGTGAGGGGACCCTGCATAGAGGTCACCTCTCAACAGGCCACCTCCTCCATCAGTGGGCCCTTGTAAGCTGGTGTAGGCAGCAGCAGTGCCAAACAGTGCTTGTTGGTTGGGTCTAGCTGCCATTTTGGTTGTTTGTGGTGCCCTTGATATTGTGTCATACTGTACTGCGGGGAAAAATTAAGCTGTGACTTGACCCAGCTACTTGATGCTGTTCAGCATGCCGGCCCAGAATAAAAATCTAAAGCAGTGGACACTTCCAGAGGGCAGAAAATTGTCTTCTACCGTGTCAGACCATTGGTCCATCAGTCTTGCTGTTGTCAATACTGATTGGCAGTGACTCCTGGCAAGCCCTACCTACAGAAACCAGACATTGAACCCACAACCTTTTCAATCCAAAGCATGTGCTATGGCCAAGTTCTGAAGCCAGTCCTGACTTGAGATTGAGAGATGCCAGGAAACGATTCAAATTACAATAATACCTCGGGTTACAGATGCTTCAGGTTGCGTTTTTTCAGGTTATGAACCTGCCGAAACCCAGAAGTACTGGAACGGGTTATGCCCGGGTTTGGGGGGTCACGCATGTGCAGAAGTGCTAAATCGCGCTTTGCGCATGCGCAGAAGTGCCAAATTGCAACCCACGTGTGCGGAGATGCGCCGCTGCGGGTTGTGAACGCTGTAGGTTGCGAACGTGCATCCCGCACGGATCACATTCGCAACCCGAGCGTCCACTGTAATTCATTGTGGAATGGAGAAGCAGAAATACTATGATGTTACTGGATGGATTTGTTGAATTTTGAAAAAAGAAAATCGGAGTGATCTCTGTGTGCATTTTTTTGGCGGGGGGGGGGGGAAATATGGTGATGCTGTTTACAGCTCATCGTATCAGACAATTGCTCTTCAGCCATTGGCTTGATTCCAATGTTGATTCCATCAGTTGATTCCCTAGCTGCCCAGCTCACTGATAGAGGCACATTCTTCTGTCCCCACTCTTCCACAGCTGTTTGGGCTGGAGTTGACAACTACTGTTTCCAATGAAAACTCAGTTCTGGAAACAAATGGCATTCTTGACGTTTTATGGTGTTAACAACTTTAAATATCTTTCCCATCCGCTGATAAAAGTGGAAAGGAATACCCCCCCCATTCCATTCTCATGTTGAATATATGCAGTAATAAACAACCCCCTGAAAATATAAGCGTTGTTGCGAGGAGATGAACATTTATCAGCTTCAAGATACTTTTTTTTGGTAGAAACAGGCTAAAATATATCTCAAAATGAGAATGCAGCGTTTTATTGCTTTATGGCTTTGGCCACAGAGCAGAGCTAGAATTCCAGGCGAAAACCTACAAAGGTTAGTCAAAATATTGCATGTTTTGTTCTTAAACCTCATGCTACTGTTTACACAGCTGGTCTTGCATTAGGTTATAGTTAGGGATTTTGCATCTCGTCCCCAGCCTGTGCCACTCATGAGTCACCGGGAACCGTTGTAGAATATAACAGAGCCTTAAAGCTCTTTGCCCCCACTAAGGGTAGGATCCAGCATTCAGCCTCAGATAAGGGCATTCCCTTGCTTCCAGTGAACAAAGTGGGGGTGGGAACAGCATTTGCAAAAGAAAGAGAGGAAGGGTGCAAAGTAGGGCGGAAAGTTGCCATATTCTGAAGAGCAAAAAAAGAATACATTTTCCGACTTCTACTTTTAACTACAGTTCACTATGATGACTCTCATTTTAAATACCCCTACTAGATATGTAGGCAATAGAAGCTGTGATATATTGCTAGTAGCAATGTTCTTAACATTTTAAAAACAAAATAATAACACCCTCCCCTCCATTTTGTACATTACAAGCAGACTTCTCATTAGGAATTAACTCTTGCATAGTGTCAGGGAACTGACATCGGGGCCAGAGGCGGAGGCTAGGCTCCCAAGTGATGCTGGAGAAGGGCCCAGCAGGGAGAGAGGCAGCTCATCAGGTGGGGAAGGAAATCAGCGTAACACCAGGGATAAAGGGGGGCAGATGGGGGAATCGGCGAGGGGGCTCCAGGACTCCTCACCGGAGACCAGCGGGGAGAGCACGGGTCCTCCGCTACCCACACCCTCCCTGCGCAGAAGACTTCCGCGCAGGGAGAGTAGGAGGAGACTTAGCGTCAAACAGCTTTTATGCTGGAAAAGGTTTAAGAGACGCCCACTGACGGATTCTGCTAGCGACTGAGACAGCCATGAAGTGAAGGGCTGTCTGGACAGGAAAGGTTTAACCAGGCAACCTAGCCAGGAGTGGCGGCAACTTACGCACGAGCAACCCCTATTCTTATTACACATAGCTAGCTGGAATGAGGAATGGTTGCAGGGTGTGTTTAAATACTATTTGTTCTGAAGTACAGTGGTATCTCTGGTTACGTACTTAATTCGTTCCGGAGGTCCGTTCTTAACCTGAAACTGTTCTTAAGCCGAAGCACCATTTTAGCTAATGGGGCCTCCCGCTGCTGCCGCGCCATCGCTGTACAATTTCTGTTCTCATCCTGAAGCAAAGTTCTTAACCCGAGGTACTATTTCTGGGTTAGCGGAGTCTGTAACCTGAAGCGTATGTAACCTGAAGCGTATGTAACCTGAGGTACCACTGTACTTATATCCCACAACTCATTTGATTCATTAATATGCCACTTAACTATGATCATCCTTAAGTGGTGTACAATTAATATAACACAGAAAATATTCTTTTGATTGCTGAAATGCATGATTCAGGTGAGAGTGCTATTACAAGATGGAATAGAGGTATCTGCACTTTTAAAATCGAAGGTAGGTAACTTTTTGGTGTTGGCAATAACAGTCATTTAAGCTGAAGCATCTCAGGAAAATTGTGGACAGAATGTAGAGAACGGTAGGCAGAGTTCCATCTGTACAATAGGACTTTCCCGTGCAGCCTCTTGCACAAAAGCCACTGTGGAGAGTAATGTAATGTCAGGTGCTATGATCTTTGAATGGGGGGGGGGGAGGGAATTGGCAAAAACTAGAGACTCCCCCCACCCTCACTTCTGTGAGCAGAAGTGCCATTTGTTCACACAAGGAGGCCCCTGGATCCTGGCCATTGTGTCACTAGGAACAACAACAGCCACATGATTAAAATGTTGTTCAGAGGTAGAAAGTGGCTAGCATCCTCCCTGAGGATTGTGGCAAACTTAGTAACAAATTTGTAGTGTTTTCAATCCATCATAAAGAATGGGTGGCACTTGTATCATTGGGTGTAAATGAATGACCAGAAACTATGTAATTAGCTCTTCAAATGTTTGCGACCTTGTCGCTTCTTGTAGTTACAACTGCGATCCATAATCTTCAACCATGCAGAGTCTTACCCCTAGATTTCACCAGATAGAATATCAACATTTGCTTAAAAGAGCAATGTCAGAGGGCATTTTCAGAGAAGTTGTTTTTAAAAACTGGTTCAAACACAGCTTGCCCTAAGAGAATTCTGGGGATTTCAGCTGTGTGGTTGCTTATAGATTCCTATGAAGAGACTTGTGGTACCTTAAAGACTAACAATAAAAATAATTTATTATTATTTCCCCAGCCACTCTGGCTGGCTCCAAACAGAATATTAAAAACACGATAAAACATCAAACATTAAAAACTTCCCTAGACAGGGCTGCCTTCAGATGTCTTCTAAAAGTCAGATACTGGTAGTTGTTTATTTCCTTGACATCTGATGGGAAGACAAAGGCATAAGCCTTTGTGGATGACAGATCAGATGCAACAGGCCCTAGAAATTACATAGATTCTGGGCCCTCTTGCAGAATAAGTTTACATAAGTTACATATACACTGTAAGATGACATGATTTCCTAGCATAATCCTGACTGGTGAGATCACATCCAACCCTTTGGAGAGCCTAGTTCCCTACCAGTGATTATTTTTAAAAGTAATAATTATGTAGTGGAAAAATTATTTTTCTGAATCTACTCTAAGTCTGCAGTTTATTCCACCCACCTCTTACATTTGAGTGAACTCATTTCCACTATCTCATTTGGTATAATAATGCATGCATTATTACCATCCTAAGCTCTCAGCAGAGAACTTGAACTAATGTAGCTCTTTATAAAAAATGGGGGAAGGACTTGCTTCACATTAAGGTTAAGGTCATTTGATTGTCTGCCAAATAGCTGGTTTAGCAAATGGCAGGAAAATTGCAATTAAGTCAACATTCATATTTCCACAGGAAGACCTGCTATATAAATCAAAATTCTTTTAAAAGCAATAAAATCACACTATAAAATCTAACATCAGCTCTCATCTTGCAAGGTTTTCCAGATTATTAGAATAATTATTTTGCTTCAGGTATTTTAAAAGGTGACAGTTGGCTAGCACTGTAAATTGCACCACAGATCAGAAGAAAAATGGCCAAAAAATCAGCATAAATGCATACTGCACTAACTGTTAACAAGCAACAATGGGGTTTTAAAGCATCAATATCTGAAGCAGAATTTATCCACACATATGGTAGGAACTTCCTGAATGCTGAGGGTTCCTGACTAAGTACACCTGTGACCTCTTTTTTTGGGGGGGGGGTTAAAAGTCTATAGTGAGCCAGTCTCAGAAGGGGCTGCCAAACAGCAGTGCCTATTATTGATCCTTTGTAATGGCGTGTAACTTCCATAATCCAATATTCTACATTTCTGCTCAGAAGGAAGTCCCACTGAGTTTACTTGGAATTAGATGTAGGATTGCAGCGTTCGTAATGTTCAAACATGTGGAACTTGTGGCTTCTGTCACACACTGGGAGAAAAAGAGTGCTTTCCCACTTCTGACTCACTGCATAGTTATTTGCTCTGGAATCCACAGAAATATGTGCAGCAGTACTATGCTTACTGGATGGGTGAGGTTATGTGGTGCCTCTCCAAACTTGACCACAGCCTTGTCTGTTGCTGTAATGAGGCACTTGGGCCAATGGTTTTGGACTAGGTAATCTGAAGGACCTTGTCCTGCATGATCCTGCCAAGGTCACTAGGAAAGGTTCTCTGAGTTCCACCCTCACCAGAATTTCAATTACTGGGTAAACAGCTGAGGGCTTTCTCTACTGCAATACCCAGATTTTGGAACTGTCTGCCCCAGGAGATCCACCTGTCTCCTTTTCTGATGACATTTCATTTCAACAATCATGTGAAGGAGCATCTCCACCCCCATTGTTCAGTCGGGACACTGAGGTCTAGCTCCGAAGGCCTTCTGGCAGTTCCCTCACTGTGAGAAGTGAGGTTACAGGGAACCAGGCAGAGGGCCTTCTCAGTGGTGGCGCCCGCCCTGTGGAATGCCCTCCCATCAGATGTCAAGGAAACAAACAACTATCTGACTTTTAGAAAACAATTGAAAGCAGCCCTTTTTAGGGAAGTTTTTAATGTTTGATGTTTTATCGTGTTTTTAATATTCTGTTGGGAGCCACCCAGAGTGGCTGGGGAAACCAGCCAGATGGGTGGGGTGTGAATAATAATATATGATGATGAACTCATTTGAACATTTTGGACCAGGATCTGCCAGTCCCCTCTGTCCTTTCTGGTTTTATCTTATTTTGCATTGTGTTGCAATTTTAACTATGTTGATTGTAGGCCGCGTTGTTGGCCAGTGGAAAGGTAGGATACAAACTTTTAAATAAATACTAAGGCAGCTAAGAAGTGGTTGACTGATGGCTTCTCACCTGTATCAAAGGGTAGTATCCTGTTCTCTGCCAAGGAGCTCTGAGCATCATAATTGGGTTCCCATCTCTTTGTTTTATCCCTGTAACAACCCGGTGAGGTAGGCTGGTTTAAGAGAGAGAAGGAAAGAGACTCACCCATGACCACCCAATCAGCTTTATGGCCAAGTGTCTCTTTGAACCCAGATCTCTCCAAAGTCCAATACTGTCTACTTCACTTCACCACAGTGGTTGAGTGTTTTTATGGGTATATGCTACTAGTACTTCAGACTGGAAATGGTAAAGCTATACTCTTCAGCATTGACACTGGCCCAAGAGAGATTATAAACCATTCTGAACAAAATTTATTTAACCTATTAAAAAGTCAACCTTAAACTGCAGTTAATTAGTTTACACTATTACCTCACTTCTGCTGAGGACTAAAATTCCCTCAGAGTAAAAGGAGCTCTATCAGGTGAGTTGACTGCTGCCCATATGGAGCTTTAAGATAATGATGAGTTTAAATTTCCTCTTAGAGCTAAGTGAGAATAAAACTGAAGGCAATAAATACTGTTGGCCAAACCCATTAAACCAAAAAGCTGGTAATTCTCCAGTTCTTGACTTAAATTGTTTGTTTATCAGCTGGCGCCTAGTCTGGAGTCAAGAGCTGGAGATTTCTATCTGTGACAGAACTTTGAAACTTTTGCAGGACACTTTCATTTTAACTTAAGGTAACTTGAGTTTATAGCTTTGGCTTTAAAGATTACTAATGATTTACTCATTTCCTTACCATTTAACCAGAGTGGACTTCTTTCCCAGGAAGGGATCTGTGTTTATTTAGGGTCTTTGTCTGCGGAGGGATTAAAAGGCAGCCCACCAGCATTGTGAACTTGATGGTAATAAAGGGTCACCAAAACACGCCATAAAAACATTCTTACTATGGAATTAATTATACAGTGTAATTTTACAAAGCAGTTCAGTAACCCTTCTTTTAAGGCTTCAGCAACATTTTATTCTTCTTCTTCAGAAAGTTGGAACTGGGGGGGGGGGGAGACAAAACAGTTTTTATTTAATGTCAAGAAGCCTGATGTGTACATAAACTGATCCAGGCGTTCAACTTACAAAGACTTGAAACAACTGGGGAAATCCTAGTTTCAGTTTCTGCTATATGTGTAAATTTTAAACACTTTACTAGGTTGTGCACAGAGGATAAAAGTCTTTTTGAAGCTCTGTTAACAGATGCAGCTATAGATACCTAGCACAGGGAAAATTCTTAAGAACGCTGGGTGTTTCCCCCACCTCCCCCAAAACCTTTCAATCTCTTCAAAGGAATCCATTCATTTTCCGCACCACCAGGTGGCATTGCAACCAAGCATGATTTCAAAATAGTTGGCGGCTGCATTTGGAAGTATTTGGGTAGAAGAGTATCATACTTTGTTTTGTTTTTTTAAAGAAAATCTTCCATTTTCAAAACTTCTTTTTTGTTGTTGTTTTATACAGAAAGGTAGTAGCTGCTTAGGATGACTTAGGAAGTCAGATCTTTGAGCTTCAAGAGAGGATGGTACAATATGAAGAGAATAGAAGTGAATGGTTGTTGGAGTGGAAAACGAAATGATCTGTCAAAGTGCTTTGCTATGAAATGATGATTCATCCTTTGTTGATATGAATCAGCTGTATACTGATTTATCTTTTAGTTCAGCCGTGAGAAAGGAATTTTGAAATTTGCTGTTTTATTTATTTGAAACTTTTCCAAAAGGAAGTCTTCAAGGCAGCTTATTCACCCATCTCTTTCAAACTCTTTCACCTAATTTAGCAAGCATTTTAGGCATGGGTAGGCAAACTAAGGCCCAGGGACCGGATGCGGCCCAATCGCCTTCTAAATCCGACCTGCGGACGGTCCGGGAATCAGCGTGTTTTTACATAAGTAGAATGTGTGCTTTTATTTAAAATGCATTTCTGGGTTATTTGTGGGGCATAGGAATTCATTCATCTCCCCCCAAAAAATATAGTCCGGCTCCCCACAAGGTCTGATGGACAGTTCACTGGCCCCCTGCTGAAAAAGTTTGCTGACCCCTGATTTTAGGCATGCAGTGAGGGGGGCAGGGTCTGTGCACCCAGAGCAGTTGTTTCAGGTGCCCCCGGATCCTATTGCAAGCAATGAAGCAAAAGCGGATCCAGAGGAGTCTTCAACTCTGGATGTGGTTAAACTGATGTGTGCAGAAAGAGGTGCCAGTTGGACGGGACTGGATATGGATTGTGTTGAAAACAGTGCGCATGCTAGACATCACTTTGGTCCCCATTGAAATACACAGCACATGCTTGGCAATAATTTCAGCCTGATGCAGGGGTTCCAAACTACGTGATGAGGAGCCTTCATGAGTACTGGAGGCTCATTATTTCACATAGTTGCCCTTGAACCCGTAGTGAGCAATGAAAAGTGCATTTATCACATATTTATTGAACATGGTATCCAGACATGGCTGTGCTGTGAATAATGGCTGTATGACTGTCTCTAGTTGTATGTAACAAGTTATTGCATGCAGCTATCTTTGCATCCTAGCTGGAATAGATGTTTTGAGCGTTGGAAATCCATTACACCGACTGGTTCGGTTGAGAGGGAATCTTTACAATCTCTGTGATGGGTTTTCCCCTACTCCAGCCCATCCCATAGAAACCTGGATAACTAGGTTGGATACAGAGAAACGTCCTCTGAAAAAAGTGCATTTCTCCCACAGAATAAGCCTTTTTTCAGATAATCCAACTCAATGTTTACTCTTCTTATATTTTCTAAAATTAAGATTATTACCCTTTCAAAGTATGGTTATTTCCCCCCAACATGCATTAGGCAGAACATTAGTTCTTAGAATATACTTAGGGAATTTTTATAGAAGAAATTTTAATTTTTTTTTTTTTTAATGCCATCTTCTGAGAAATCAAATCTTACTAAATCAAGCTGGAAAATGGCAACTTAAAGAATTTGTTTCTCCTCGTAATAGTATTTTACCCTTTCCATGTATTATCCTTGCCTAATTCATGGAGGTGATAATTTATCAACAGCTTTATGAAGTGCCATTCATCTTACACCATTACTCTTTCTCTTCAAGTATTTAATGTGTATAATCTGTTGAGAAATGTATATGCTTTCAAAGTGAATGTCTGTGACCTCCCACCTTGTCCTCGGACCGAGTATATATCTTACGGCCTACTTGTTCAAAGAGCAGCTTGAATATTTTATATCTGAAATCCCCAAAGTGTTGAGAAAAAGAGATGTCATGTTATAATTTACATATATGGGTTTTTGAACAGACACATTTATTGGTAAACAGCAGCAGTATACGGTAATTGTGACTTTTGACCCTCCGTGTTACACTTTTAAACTTGATACAACGGTCTGTTTCTAAGCTTTGTTGTTGTGTTCGATGTTGCTACTTATTTAACATCAAAAAGCTGTGGCAGTTTGCCTTTATAGATGGTGCCTGTGCTCTGGAATTGCCTCCTGCTGTCCCTGAAACCTTGCTTGGTTTAATGTGTCAGATTTTCTCACCAGAGCCCTTAATAAGCAAGACTTTAGCTAACACACTAGTCTTTATCAAATCTGATACAGCAGAGACTGTGCTTGAGTAACTGCCCAATTCATTAACACACATAACAGCTTGGGCCTTTTTCTCGGAGCACTTAATGATGTTGTGGAGTAATGACATGCACATGCAGATTTTTACATTGCATGTAATCTTTGTGTTTTCCCACTTTTTTTTTTTAAACAGACATTGCTTTAGGTCTGGAGTAAATGAGTGTTTTTCTGCTAAAGATTCTCAAAGTAAACTGGTCTCATTAAAAATAATGGTCGCTCGGGGGGGGGGGGGGAAATCCCGCAAGTTACAACAAATAAAGCCACTTAAATCATAACTATACAGTAGATTCTCCTCTAGTTCGGTTTGGAATGGCACCTATTACGAGCGCATGTTGCCATGGCAACCTCTGCATAGAGGTGAAAGATAAGTAGGCCTCGGTTAAAGGAAAAATTGAATAATAGCTGTCGGCTTAAATGATCTATTGACATAATGTGTATGTGTTGCAATGGAAGTCTAATAATCTATGTCTTCCGATTTTTTCTGCTCCCTGAGTCTTCCAATATGTTTAAGAATGCTTTTGTCTATCTTTAGTAAATAAATTAAAATGGGGGGGGGTTCCTTAGAACAACGATCAGGTTGTGTTTATTTGAAATTAGCAAGTATTCTTTGTAGTGTGTGTGTGGAAATTACTTTTCAGGTTAACAGTTGTGAGAGGGCTTTAGTAGTTAGATGGGTAGCTGGTGTTCAATAGCTGATGGGATTTTTAATCTTGTCGCCCCATTTGTGGCGTTGGCGGCTTTTTCCTTTTTCAACACCAGGTGAAGATAATTTTATTTGTCTAGGCATTCATGCGTGGGATGTGCATTAGTTACTAAAATAGGTTTTATCCCCACCATTGAATTTTTACACTGATTTTTTTATGCTGCTGTTTTGCATTGTGTCCATTTTATCCGTGAGCTTATATTGACGTTCTTACTGTTCTGTTGTATGCCGCATTGAAAGGTGGTTCTCTGAAACTGTGGGATTTATATGGGATTGTGCAGGTAGGATTCTGCCCTTATTCTTGAAAGTATCATTTCAATATTAATGATTCGATGCTATAGATACACTGTTGTATGGACATTATTTCCCCTTTTATCTGTCAACCTGTATCTGTGACAATGGGGAAACTTAAATACAACTATTAATTGGCAGGATGCTGGCTAACTGGGCTTCCTAATGAGTTTAACTCTAAAGGAGTAATAAGTTGTGTTTCATAGTATCATAGAATTGTAGAGTTGGAAAGGACCATGAGGGGCATCTAGTCTAATACTGGTAATATTTTGCCCAGTGTGGGGCTCAAACCCACAACCTTGAGGTTAAAGTCTCATGCTCTACCAAATGAACTATTAATATACATATATATATTTAAATAAGATTGTTTAGTAGCATAACATATATTTGACATTTAAATTTAGTGCTTGAATTTTTTCCTCTTTTTAGTAAGTGATGCAATGCTCCACCTGTTGAAAGCATCCCTATACATTGCAATAGTTGCAGGGAAACCAACAACATCTAGCATCTCTGGGCAGCCGCCAACGCATCAGCACCCTGGCAGGTCCTGCTGTTGCTGATTGTCCAGGGACCCCCCCCCCCTTAAACAAAATTTCTTGGTCCAGCACTCTGAACACCACTGTGTGGCTGGTGCAGCTGCCAGTTTAATTTCCCACAGTATCCCTGATGTGATCAAGAGTGTTCTGGGAAGTTTAAATCTTGGACTACAGCCACACAGGACAGGTTGGATTGCTACTGCTGCTGCCTACCACTGCTACCAGGTAATTCCACCAGCACCAACGGAGGAAGGAGGACTTACCAGAGCAGGGGTCAGCAAACTTTATCAGCAGGGGGCTGGTCCACTGTCCCTCAGACCTTGTGGGGGGCCGGACAAGATATATATATATTTTGGGGGGGTAATGAACAAATTCCTATGCCCCACAAACAACCCAGAGATGCATTTTAAATAAAAGCACACATTCTACTCATGTAAAAACACCAGGCAGGCCCCACAAATAACCCAGAGATGCATTTTAAATAAAAGGACACATTATACTCATGTAAAAACACACTGATTCCCGGACCGTCCGTGGGCCAGATATAGAAGGCAATTGGGCCGGATCCGGGCCCCAGGCCTTAATTTGCCTACCCATGTACCAGAGGGTGCGTTCTCTTCCACCCCCTCCATCCTGGAGCCCGTTCTGGCAGTGTGAATGCAAACAACCCTAAAGGCCTATATCCACTAACTTGAACCAATGGGGCTTCTCAGTAGACCTACGTGTAGGATTACATTTACTTATATTTATTTATTTTAGTTCATAGGTAGGTCGTCCCCCCAAATAGTCCAAGGTAATCAGATGAGCCCTTTTATAGTAGAGCGGTGAAACTTTTAACCCCTCCTGAAGGACTATATTCCCTTTGTCAAACGGGACTTCTAAGCCTGCGGCCTCTGCATTACCTGTTTTTCAGCCCTGTTGTTGCTCTTTTAAGAAACGCCCAAGGTGTTGTCCTTCTAGTCTTCTGTATCAGCTAAAATAGGCAGGATGAAAGGATGGCAAGTGGGTGAGATAATTCCCCCTGCTGGACCAGAGAGAGGGTGGGGGAAACCATCAGAACCAAGAAGCTCTCATGTCTTGCCTGGGGTGCAGGAAGTGCAACCACCTGAGAGCTTCACGCCCTTACGCAAAGCAAGAAAAATTCAAAAAAATAAGGAAACACCCTCAGCACCTTGTAAGTAAGCAGCAGGGCAAGGTAAACAGAAATTTCTTCCTATTCCTAAAGCAGAATAAGATATAAAAAGCTCCCTGGCTAAGGCGGACACTTGTTTCGGTGATTCTCATTCCCTGTTCTGGAGTATTGTTCTGGACTTTGAATCCACTCTTAATGAAAATAAGAACAAATAGTGCGCTACATTAAAGAGTTGTCATGAAGTTAACAGCCTGTGAGTTATATAGTAGCTGTTGATGGAGTTTATGGGAAAGGTCTGACTTTGCAAACCATGCATATGACTTCCTTTCTGAAACTGATTTTCTGGTTGGTACACATGTAAAGAGGAATGAAACATACGTTTTTTTAAAAAGCCAGTTAACAGAAATACTGCCTGAGGGAAATGAGTTTATCTCTTTTAAAAGCACTGTTTTCCTTCTAACACTGCAGCTGTGGCATGGGTCAAAGACAGAGGGCTTAAATCAGAATTTTCCAATTTTGGGTCTCTAGCTGTTGTTGGACTACAACTCCCATCATCCCTAGCTAGCAGGACCAGTGGTCAGGGGAGATGGGAATTGTAATCCAAAAACAGCTGGAGACCCAAGTTTGGGAAACCCTGGCTTAAATAGATGACCTTCAGTTATGTTCAGTTTGTGATTCTGCTGCTTCAAGAATGTTTTAATAAATCCATGTCCTCCTCAATGTCCTGCAGAAACCATTAACTTTTATCAATTTACCAACAGAATCATATAACCAGACTTGCTCACTTCTGTTTGAAACAGCTTTTGGCTAAGTTTAAGAATTCTCGTCTTGAGTAATAAGCTTTTTACCATTCCCGCATCTCACAAATTCTGAACTGGCATTTTTAAATTTCCTCTGTCAAACCCAAAATTTCATGGAGTCAGACAGTGATTGAATTAATCATTGTACTATCTGATGATGCTCCTGGAAAACCTGCATTCAGGATCAGTGGATTTCAGTAGATGGTGAGCATCTACCCATTGAAGCAGCCAGGTGCCACCTACTTCCCCTAGTCTATGCATGTCAAACGTCTGTAACCCTATTCAGTGGTACCTTGGTTCTCAAACGCCTTGGTACTCAAACAACTTGGAACCCAAGCACTGAAAACCTGGAAGTAAGTGTCCCAGTTTGCGAACATTTTTCAGAAAGCTGAACATGCTCCGTTTTGAGTGTTACGCTGAGGTCTGTCTGCTTTTGCTATTTATTTTGCGTTTTTGTGGCTCTTTTTTGTTTTGTTTTTGTGACTGTGTGGAACCCAGTTCAGCTACTGATTGATTGATTGATTGATTGAGTGACTGCAGTAAGTTGTTTATTGCTTTCATTTTATGGATCAATGAAATTGCTGTTTTAGGGGTTGTTTTTAAAACTCTGAAACGGATTAATCCATTTTGCATTACTTTCTATGGGAAAGCGCGCCTTGGTTTTGGAACACTTTGGTTTTGAAACAGACTTCCGGAACGGATTAAGTTTGAGAACGAAGGTACCACTGTACTGATGTTCAAATGAATCTGTGTGAATCAGGGGATCAACTGAACAGAGCTAGAGAGAGCAGACTAGTTTGTCTGTTTCACATTGTATAAAGACACTATGCCACTGACGTTGAACACCAGCATAAAAATACCACACAAGTAGAAAGGGAATCTAGTTTGAAATTATAGTAGACAAAGGGAGGCCTCAACTTCAAAAACACATTATTGGGGTTTGTCATGAACTTCCTTCTCCCCTTTTATGCTGGATCTTGAAATTCTGGCAACCCTGTGTGGGGCACAACTCAGTTCTATCAGCTGTTGCCAGTTTCCTGTGGACTGTTTGTGTTTTCCTCTTAAAGGCACTAGTTAGCTGCATATCTTTGGCACTGCTTTTTATATTTTAAAACCAGTTATTAAGCTAAGAGACACCTTCCTGAATCCATGGCGGTGCCTGGCTCCTTGAGTAGCATCCAGTTCGATCGCAGGTGGAATGGGATACTACTTTGAGATAATTTGATGTTAACAAGCCCTGGTGGTCAGTCGGATTGTGTAAATAATTTTATCAAGATTAAATACACTTATTATGTAGGTAGGATAGAAAGGGGCTTCATTTCTACTGACTTCGAGGGCTTAAATGGTTGGCCTAAATGATCCAGGACCAGGATAGTTGAAGGACTGCCTCTTCCACACACATCTGCCTGCCTGCTTTTTTTATCATTGGATTCCCTACTTGCCTCTTGTTGCCTTCAGAGGTACATTTGAATATTCCCTGTCCAATGTCCCAGCTAGTGGTGGTACCCAGTTTGTGGGAACGCCATCCTCTTTTTTTCTTTTATTTTTGGGTTACATACTCATTTAATAACGGACGCGGGTGGCGCTGTGGGTAAAACCTCAGCGCCTAGGACTTGCCGATCGTATGGTCGGCGGTTCAAATCCCCGCGGCGGGGTGAGCTCCCGTCTTTCGGTCCCAGCTCCTGCCCACCTAGCAGTTCGAAAGCACGTCAAAGTGCAAGTAGATAAATAGGTACCGCTTTATAGCGGGAAGGTAAACGGCATTTCCGTGTGCTGCGCTGGTGCTGGCTCACCCCAGAGCAGCTTTGTCACGCTGGCCATGTGACCCGGAAGTGTCTCCGGACAGCGCTGGCCCCCGGCCTCTTAAGTGAGATGGGCGCACAACCCTAGAGTCGGACACGACTGGCCCGTACGGGCAGGGGTACCTTTACCTTTTACTCATTTAATAATTGCAGCTAAAACCATGTTCACAGCAGGTTAATTTTACATTAATTTACCCTCAATGCCACCCAGAAAATTATGGCCTACTTAAACATCAGGTGAGAAGGTAAACCTGTTTCTAGGGTATATCGCCTCAGACATGGGGACTCACATATCTGAATATTCTTCCATACCAAAAAGTCATAGAATCATAGAATTGTAAGGGACCGCGAGGGTCATCTAGTCCAGCCCCAGCAGGAATATTTTGCCCAACATGGGGCTCGAACCCATGATCTTGAGATTAAGTGTTTCATGCTCTACCAACTCAGCTACTCTCACTCACTTTAGTTACTGAAATTTAGACATACTAGTTTCCGTATGTTGTGTTTGCCACTGTATTTTTCTTCATATTATTTCCTGCGTTTGTCTTTAAAAGTTTGAGGAACGCTTTCAGTAGGCAAAGGCAAAGGTTTACAAGACTACTGGGAAGTAGTCATCTCAGATTTCCATGTTCACAAGTTACTAGTGTAGTAAATATTGCATGCTTTTATAAAGAGGTTGACTATTGCCTCATAGCTTTGGGTGGAACAGCTCATTTTGTTTCCCTAGATTAGGAACGGCGTTTTGTTAATGTTTTATCCTTTAGTGGGGACTTTTGTTCTGTGACTGATTTCCTTCTTTCTATCGAATGCTTATAAAGCAAATGAATAAAAGTGAGTATCCTTGTCTATATATTTTCAAACATAAAAGGGCTGCTGTCATTTCACAGGAGATGACTCGAGATTAGGTGGGTATTTGAAATATTCACATAATGTTTTCTTTCAATCTTTTAAAAAATAAAAAAACTTGTTAGGCCGGTCGGTTGTGATTTCAAGTCCACATTTTTAACAATAAAATGATACTGGAGACTGTGTTGATATAAAGTCTCTGTTAAGATAAGATGTGCTGGGTTTTTTTAAAAAAAATATTTTTCCCCCCTCAAAGCTTTTTCTCGTAAGTGAACCATTGTCCACTTGCAGAGAGGTTACAGTGCTGTGGACTTTGTTCTGCATTATTAATACAAGTGAACAGTTGAGCAGGAATAAATGAGGTACTTTGGGTAAGTAAAAATGTGAGCCGACTGTCAGTGTGAGATTGGTTCAAGGAGCAGTTAGCCAGCAGTAATGGGGTACACTTGAGTAATTGAATTTGCATAACAAGGCTTGCTGAAAAGATCTGACAGGCGTAGAGATTTGTCTGGCTGGAGCTCTCCAGATGGATGTGACCACGCAGCAGCTGGGTGGCACGTTGCTCAGCATGGTCAGCAATGCCCAGGCTGTCAGCTGCCCCATGCAATTGCAAAGCCCTGGCAGGCCAGCTGGTGGCTTCCAACAGACTAGGTCCCTGTTAGCTGAGTTTTCACATTGCTTGTCAGCCCACTGGACCTGCAGGGACTTGCTGGCAGCAAACATAACAAGTCGCCTCTGAGAATAGTTAAAAAGCTTTAGAAATCTGCTTTGGCTATGTGGATGCTGCTTTGCTTTGGAGGCACTCAGCCTCCCAGGAATGCTTGCAGCTCTAGAACAAAGGTGATGAAAACCTTTCTGTGTTTGTGTGCTAAGTATGGGTCGTGGTTTATCGTGAACCCTATGTTTCGAAATCTATTCCCCCTACATCTGAACCAAGGGAATTAAATTTGTTCCAAACACTGCATCATTTCGTCTTTCTCCTTTTGATGATGATACTGAAGATTGCAGGCTGACTGGATAGGTATGAAATCAGAGGCTTTTTTTAAATAAAAAAAAAATGAGCACTACACTTATTAAGTTTGCCAACAGAAAGTTGATCTATATATTTATACAGAATGAACTGGTAGAATTCTGAGTTGTACCACTTCAGACTGCGTGCTAAGGGTCAAGCTTTTCTTAAAATGGAAGCCCTTACGTATAAAGTGAAAATTTATATGGGTCTTCTCTCCCCATGAGTTGAGGCTTATTCTCTCATATATAAGACTTCAGCATTGTTAAAGAGCAGGGCTTTTTTCCCCAGCCACAACTCACCTGAACATGTCAGAAGTATTACCTAGGAGAACACTTTTGTAGAATCTTTTATATCTCTTATTTCAACAAAGATTGATTGACCAACTAGCTTATAAAGAAACATATCATCAACAGGATGCAACTGGTTTTAGAATCTGTGTTTGCAATTTATGCATTAAAAAAATGAATAATTTTTGTGTGCCATTCCAGTTGCAAGAAAAGGACATCCAAGTGGTTGAAACAATTCCCTTATGGGGAAAGGCTACAAGACTTGAGGCTTTTTACATTAGAAAAAAGGTGTGTGAGTAGGAGGGTGCAAGATAGAAATGTATGGAATTAAGCATGGTTTGGAGAATGTGGACAGACACAGGATTTCCCCCCTCTCTTGTCATGAAGTTGAATGTTGGAAGAGTCAGGACAGGCAAATAAAGAACTCCACACCACCACCAAGCTATACTATGGAATTTGCCCCCTACGAAGTAGCAATGGCCACACATTTGGATGACCGTAAAAGTGCGGGTGGCACTGTGGTCTAAACCACTGAGCCTCTTCATAATGATGGCTGACTGGGAACAGTTATGGACCACAGGTATGAAGTTTACGGCATGCAATGCCTTAAGAGAGAATATTATGAAAATGATATACAGGTGGTACATAACCCCAGTCAAGCTTGTAAAAATCTACCATTTGCCCGATAACAAATGTTGGAAATGTAAAGAAACTGAAGGTACATTCTTTCACCTTTGGTGGACGTGCCCAAGGATTAAGGTTTTCTGGGAGATGATTTATAATGAATTAAAAAAGGTATTTAAATATACCTTCTTGAAGAAACCAGAGGCCTTTCTCCTGGGCATAGTCGGTGTTAAAGAAGGACAGAACTTTCTTTATGTATGCTACAACAGCAGCAAGAATACTTATTGCAAAGTATTGGAAGACACAAGACCTACCCACTCTGGAAGAATGGCAGATGAAAATGATGGACTACATGGAACTGGCGGAAATGACTGGCAGAATCCGAGACCAGGGAGAAGAGTCGGTGGAAGAAGATTGGAAGAAATTTAAAGACTATTTACAGAAATATTGCAAAATTAATGAATGTTAGAATGATGTTGGATTGAAGTTAAGTGGTTTCTAGCTGTAATGGTATAAAAGAATATGGAAAAATTGGATTTTTAATAGGTAAAAATTTAATGCTATAATATATTAAGATTAAAGATCAGGATAAAATAAGGAGGGAAAGGAATTGCTGAACTAATAAATTGAACTGGAATACAAAAAAGGGAGGCATGAGGAGGTCCAGGAAACAAGTAAATGAAAGATAAGTGATGAAAAGATGGAATTGTTTTTAACTGTTTTTTTTCTTTTTTATTATGTAATATTGTGAAAACTTTAATAAATATTTATGAAAAAAAAAATAAACCACTGAGCCTCTTGGGCTTGCTGATCAGAAGGTTGGCAGTTCAAATCCCTGCTACGGGGTGAGCTCCCGTTGCTCTGTTCCAGCTCCTGCCAACCTAGCAGTTCGAAAGCACATCAAAGTGCAAGTAGATAAATAGGTACCGCTCTGGCGGGAAGGTAAATAGCGTTTCTGTGCACTGCTCTGGTCCGCCAGAAGCGGCTTAGTCATGCTGGCCACATGACCTGGAAAAACTGTCTGCGGAGAAATGCCGGCTCCCTCGGCCAGTAAAGCGAGATGAGCGCCGCAACCCCAGATGCGCCCGCGACTGGACTTAATGGTCAGGGATGCCTTTACCTTTACCTTAAAAGAGGATTAGACAGATTCATGGAGGAGAAGGATATCAACTGCTACCGGCCACGATGGCTATGTGCTACCTCCACTGTAGGAGACAGCATGCCTCTGAATACCTGTTGCTGAGAGTCGCAGGTATGGAGGGCACTGTTGTGCTCAGGTCCTGCTTTGTCCCAAGGGCATCTGGTTGACCACTGCAAGAACAGGAGGCCAGACTAGATGGGTCTTTGGTCTGATCCAGGAGGGCTTTTCTTATACAGTGGTACCTCAGGTTACATACGCTTCAGGTTACAGACTCCGCTAACCCAGAAATAGTACCTTGGGTTAAGAACTTTGCTTCAGGCTGAGAACAGAAATCACGTGGTGGTGGCGCGGCAGCAGCAGGAGGCCCCATTAGCTAAAGTGGTGCTTCAGGTGAAGAACAGTTTCAGGTTAAGAACAGACCTCACCTCCGGAACGAATTAAGTACTTAACCCGAGGTACCACGGTATTCTTGGTTTGCACATAAATGCATATGAATTAGAGAGCATAGTGGGGAGCCTTTTTTCCCCCATTGGGGGCCACATGTTGACAGTGGATGAGCCTTAAGCCCTTTCCCCCTGCCACCTCATTTCCCCCCATTTTTTCTTTCCTTGTCATCCACGTAAATTTAAGTCAGTGGCCCTATGTGGGCAGCCTGTGGCTCATCCCTGTATTGGATTATCTAACAGCATATTGATAAAATAAATAAAGAATAAACATGTTTATTATGACCATGTAGCACTTTGGAGATTAGTTACATCCAGTGCTCCCCCCCCCAAATGAATGTTTAGGGGTACAGTGGTACCTTGGGTTAAGTACTTAATTCGTTCCGGAGGTCCATACTTAACCTGAAACTGTTCTTAACCTGAAGCACCATTTTAGCTAATGGGGCCTGCTGCTGCTGCTGCACCGCTGGAGCATGATTTCTGTTCTCATCCTGAAGCAAAGTTCTTAACCTGAAGCGCTATTTCTGCGTTAGCGGAGTCTGTAACCTGAAGCGTATGTAACCTGAAGTGTATGTAACCCGAGGTACCACTGTACTCTCATTTTCCTACTCATATTGAAATACTGCCCCTTAATGAGGCCTTAATGAGCTTAACTTCGATTCACAAAATGTTTAGGGGTCTGCGTACCCCCAGAAAAAAAGCACTGGTTACATCAGTATTTTGGTGCGTTTATGGAGAGAGTCAGCAACTGGATAAGAAACATTTTCAAAATGTATACTTTTTAAAAACTATTTACAAAACTGATTGCACCTTACTTCATGAGAATTTAATATTTAAAATACTTTAAGGCACACACACAAAAAAGGGACACGGGTGGCGCTGTGGGTTAAACCACAGAGCCTAGGACTTGCCGATCAGAAGGTCGGCAGTTCGAATCCCCACGACGGGGTGAGCTCCTGTTGCTCGGTCCCTGCTCCTGCCAACCTAGCAGTTCAAAAGCACGTCAAAGTGCAAGTAGATAAATAGGTACCGCTCCGGCGGGAAGATAAACGGCGTTTCCGTGCACTGCTCTGGTTCGCCAGAAGCGGCTTAGTCATGCTGGCCACATGACCCGGAAGCTGTACGCCAGCTCCCTCGGCCAATAAAGCAAGATGAGCGCCGCAACCCCAGAGTTGGTCATGACTGGACCTAATGGTCAGGGGTCCCTTTACCTTTAAGGCACAAAATATGCCCTTTGATGTCACACATTTGCCCATTTTGAAATGAGTAAGTTCTATCTGCTTAACTGTTTTGACAAGCAGCAGTCCTAACAAATCTCTACCGGTTTTTATACCTTTATTGCGGCAGTATGTATTCCTAGGAGGAACAATGTATTGCAGTCTTGTGTGTTAGCATTTGAAATATTTACATTAGCTAGTCCTAAAACCTATTCCCAGAAGGAGTGTTCAATATTCTTGATACACATAATGTTTTCACTTTTAGTTAATACTCTGGCAGTGTATTTATATTGTGAGACAAGCTAAATTATATCATCTCGGTTTTCTCATGCATTGCATTTTTCTCCAAAACTGCTTATTAGATGGTAATGTGGAAGTAGTATAATAGGTTCCATCAAAGCAAAAATTTATACCACTTTCTATAAAATTACAGGTAATAGGACTGCTGCTTGCATAAATTATTATCCCATTCCATTCATCAACTTCCAAATGGAAGTTAAGCACTTTCAACCCATTTATCTTTATGATTAACTTTTAAAATGTTTCCCAAACTACATAAACTTCCATAAATTTTACCTGTAATCCTCTTCCTCTTGGAATTATATATGCACCAGTAGTTTTTAGTTTCTTTTCTATTGCAAAATTGTTTTTAAAAATCCTGAAGATATACTGCATAAGAAAGTCAAGGAGATTCCTTCTGTTTTTATTACAACCTTATGATACTAATGCGCTTTTGGAATATATTATATAGTTTAAGATTCACAACTTGAATAATATGTTAATATATGTGCTTGCTCTCCCTCCCTCCCCCCCCCAACACACTTTTAAACCATTTCTGTTAATTCTCCAGTAACTAGTGTTGGTTTACAGTTCCGGATTATGAAAATCCAAAATTTAGTGTAGCCTTGTTGAAGAACATAGTTCCACAATTCTCAGACCACCAGAATCTGTACATAGGTACATAGGTACTCTGTTACTTTTAATCTTCATTCCAGCCTACATTTTTGTTTTAAGTCTGCTCTTCAATAATATCATTTTAAATATTTGATTGAACTTTTTTTTTTTCTAAAAGCAACTCTAAACCTTTTTTTTCCTTTTGACTCAGGTTTTTAAAGGCCCATAAAAATTGAAATTGGTGTTCTTTTCTAGCTTTCTGAAAAGATCTTAAGAATTTTTATAGGGAGCATATAAAACAATTAGAGAACTCTCAAAGTAAGTTCATGCCTACGGCATATGGTCTCCCTAAGCATATTCTTCAAAATGGTTCTCCAGTTTCTGTGATGACTTTTGGAAACTGTTGTACGTAGGAAAGAAAACTTTGTATGTTATTCATCTTCAGTGGCATAATGGAAGTATTATTATTATTATTATTATTTCATTTGATAGCACAACTCAAGCAGTTTCTGCCATACCAGATGTAGGTATGAGTGTGTTCAGGCAATTGTGCTATTTCTTGCAAAGCTGACACAGACCAAAACCGTACCCATATTCAGATCCATCTGGGTTCAGGCCTCGCAATGGGACTGAGTTGGTGTCAGTCACCATGACTTCTGCTTCTTCCCAAAAGACTAAGCTGAGAGTAGCATTGGGAGAGTGCTTTTTGGCCCTCTGGTGGTTACATTATGGGGTGTTTCAGGGTACTCTCTTATCCCTGATGCTATTTAATATGTATATGAAGCTATTGGGAGTGGTCATTAGGAGTTTGGGGGCAAGAGCTCTATTTCTCTGTAACATCCAAATCAGGAGAAGCCACGTAGGCGCCTCGACCAATGCCTGGACTCAATGGTGTGATTGACAAGGGGAAATAAGTTGAGCCTGAAACTGGCAAGATGGAGGCATTGTGGGTTAGTGGTTCCCATTTCTAAGAAACTGGTCAATTCCCTGTCTTAGGTGGCATTACATTTCCTTCTAAGGAGCAGGTACATAGTCTGGGACTGCTTCTGGATCCAGCTTTGTCACTGGAAACCCAGGTAACATCAGTGGCTAGAACTTATTTTTCCAGTTGTGCTTGGTATGGCAGCTTTGATGGTTCCTGGACTGGGAGACCTTGACCACAGTAATTCAGGGATTGGTGTCTTTGAGATTTGATTGCTGCAATGTTGGCCTTCCCTTGTACTTGACTCAGAATCTGTAGTTATGGCAGAAGATCCCAGGGTGGTTAAAATGTACATCGCCTCCCTTACATAACAAAACACTGCGTTTTGTGCCGTTCAGGGTGGGGGTGTGGAAACCAATTTCTGTATGGTTTCCATTTGCTGCCAAATGTTTAATTCACTTATTTATGTACAGCCATCTGGCTCTAAACCACTTTGTGGCATTTAAATGGCTTGGAGGCGGCCAGTCAGATGTTCTCTAAAGCATTCAGCATCTGTTTTTACACCTTTTGTATACTACGGTTTTGCTAAGCTAACCAGTGCTAGCTTACTCTGTGTCTCAGTTATATATACAGTGGTACCTCGGGTTACAGATGCTTCAGGTTACATACGCTTCAGGTTACAGACTCCGCTAACCCAGAAATAGTACCTCGGGTTAAGAACTTTGCTTCAGGAAGAGAACAGAAATCGTGTTCTGGCAGCACAGAGGCAGCAGGAGGCCCCATTAGCTAAAGTGGTGCTTCAGGTTAAGAACAGTTTCAGGTTAAGAACGGACCTCCAGAACGAATTAAGTTCTTAACCCGAGGTACCACTGTATAAAAAAGGCCAAGTCACCTCAGCCTCTCTCTCATAAAAGCCTGTTCATGTGAACCAGTGTGTGTTCAGCTCCTTCCCTTCCCTGCCTCCATGCTCCAGTTAGCCACTACTCTTCCCTGCATTGAAAGCCAAGCTAGAAGTATGTACAAGAAATGCTTCCTTGTAGAGCAGTGCCATTGCATAGAGTGGAAGCAAATTTTGGACCTTATTTATTCAAAACCCGTTCCTAAATTATGCCTGCAAGAGGCAAGGTATTTTCCCCACCTCCTTTTGCTTCAAAGGTTGTGTGATGGAAGAACATATTTTGCCCTGTAAATTCTGTAAATTGGGTACAGAATACAAATACAAATACAGACTTGAGAATACATAATATCGTATTGGACATAGCGTTCCTAGCACTGGTAAAAGGTGCTGTCCATGATTCCTAACAAGTTTTCCTTTGGGCTATCAATGCCTGAATCCATGTTCTTACGTACAAGGGGAGCATTTTGGTCTTGTCATATATTTGCAGCTGTTTTAGTTATTCAGTGAAACCACTCTTGTGTTTGTGGCAAGTCCATATGAATATGAACTGCCAATATTTTATTAGTTGGTTGTGCTAATAAAAGCAAATCTAGGAAATACCTGTCCTGCTGCAGCTAATTGAGTATTGCGATTAAAATCTTACGATGATATGGAAGTAAAGGGAAGACTATTTCTTACTCCATCTTTCCCCCTGTCCTGGTTTTATTGTACCACTTCGTATTCTGTACCCAAATGAGCTATATAGCCTGGAATGTCTTTCTTTTAGGAGTCATAGAGAATAATTTTCATAGCTCTCCTTAAATATCATCTTGGTTCTTATATCCTATGAGGGAATAATTACACTTTGCTGAACAGAAGGTCTGAATTTTAGGATAGACCATAAATTTCTGCTGTGTCTGGAGACTGAAGTGTATATCAACGCAACTTCATTTACCTGACATCTAAAGATCTTTCTAGTTATCATCTACAACCACAGTCTTGTTTGTTTTAAAATTTAATTTTTAGTGTTCTAATTCCTGAACTCATTGTTAATGATGCAATACCCTGTTTGTCCCCTAGTAAGAACAGAAATGCTTATTGCCCAAGAGACATACAACTCTGTTTTTGTTCTTTACTTTAACTTTTGATAGCTATGCAGCACTGCAGAGAAGTATGCACAGTCCGAGGAAACACACTTTGTGTTTAACATGTGCTCGAATGTGCCAAACTAACAGTGCGTCTATTTTATGATGACATCTTCTGGAACACCTCTAATGGAAAGGAGCTTTTGAGATCTTTGGTGAGACATTAATGTACCACCACATATTTGATTCACTCAACTGTGAAAAAAACAAAATCTTAATATTTACAACATACAGTGGTACCTCTGGTTACGAACGCTTCAGGTTACGAGCTCCGCTAACCTGGAAGTAGCTGCTCCTGGTTGCGAACTTTGCCCCAGGATGCGAACAGAAATTTCGTGCCGGACGTGCGCACGCAACGGGAGGCCCCATTAGTGAAAGCGCGCCTCAGGATAAGAACGGTTTCAGCTTAAGGACGGACCTCCGGAATGAATTAAGTTTGTAACCAGAGGTACCACTGTATAGTCATTTTACAAAAGTGACGTATATGTTTTTCTCCTTTCTGAGGGCAGCATTTAGTGTTCACCTTTTTTTAAATGAACAACAATTCTAAAACGACTGTTTGATCAGATACTATATATTACACCCAACATACACCTAGCATATGCTATCAGATGACTTTACAGGTTTTTAAGAAAACACTGAAACTGAAGCAGTAGATTTCCAAAAATTCCCTTTTGCGTGTATTGGTTTGTTTTTGGATAGCTACTTCATTGGTTTTTAGATGTGTAAGAGACGCAGGCAAAAATTAAAGCCAAGCAAACATTAGCAGCAGTATTCGGACAGCCGGGTTGCTTTCCTTCTCTGAGGTCAGCTTCACTGAGATGAGATTAATCAGGTTGACATTTCGTGCTGGTGGGTCATGAACTGATGATAATAGCATTAAATGGTGATTCACTTGCTGTGGAAAGCACAGCTCATTATTCAGTCGGCATATTAAATCATCACCACAAACAACTGGTACTTTTACATGTCGCTTTGCTCGCATGCAAAGTGGATAAGTCTCTCTTCACATCCTATATTTAGCTCTACCCTTAAGTGTTCCCTGGTTCTAATAGAATATAAATATATTTGCTGATAAAGGAATGGTAGGAATGCCCTTAGTTCAAGAACCTGCTTTTATCTCTGTTTTTATGATAACGTTTTACTTTTTTATTTGGATTTGGATTTTCTACATATCACTTAGATTTTTCTGTAAAGAAAAATGAAGTGCCAGCTTCTCAGCTGGCCTCATGCTTGTGTTGAAAACAATGGGGAATATAATCTGAAAATGCAAAGTGGGGTCTTGATATTTTTATAAGCTAGATTTTGAAATGTAGCTTGCTGTTTTAAAATATACACAGGAATCCCTTGGCCCTTTAAAAGTCCAATCTCATATATGTATGTTTTGCAGAAGTGAATCAGTAAGGCCATTGAATTCAAAGGGGCTTACTTGCAGGAGTTGCAGGGTTGCAGTTTAAATTCTGCAAGTAAAAGAAGCTTTGTAGCAAACTACCAAAGTAGCTTAAACCACAAATCAGATACAGAACTTTTTGTGTAAAACATTACGGTGTATTTTTAGTCTCAGGTGGAATTGTGCAATTCTAACTTAGTCAATGTGCTATTTTATGTTCACTTGTATTTCTGAGTTGTACTTGACACTTTGTGTGGTTGTGATGTAGAAATCAGGAACTGACCTCAGTGGTTGGCAGAAAAATACAAATTTAACTCTTAATGTTGACGGACTCTGAGGTTAAAACCTAGGCAGCTCCATGCTGTCTGTCTGTAAAGGAAAGCAAGCTGGTAGGAGAGACTCCTATGCCACTAGAGGTCAGTCTTTGGTAATCAACCTTTAATGAACCAGAACTGTCAGGAAAGCTAATAAATTACACTGTGGACTTTTCTAATTATGAATTCCTATTTAATCATTCACTGACAAGTTAACTGAGGCAGTAGTTCTATGTACTTTGCATACACAGTTATGCTCATGTATTATTATATTTCTTGAGATGCAGGTCTTCCATCATAAGAACAGGTCATTACCAAAGACTCTCTTATCTAATCATAATTACTTATTATGGGAAATAATTAACTTTGTTACCCTCTTGATGCTACTCACAGCAAAAGAAAATTCATACTACCACCAAAAGGCATTTTACATAAAAGGCACATTCTGATTTCTGTGTAATGGAGAATGTTCAAATAAAAAAATACAGAGGATCAGATGTGTTTGATTTCAGATAGTGAGTTATACTATGCGTTAATACTATGACTGCAATAGTAGAGAGACTATAACCAAAGTAACTAGAGAAAAGATGCTGCATGAGAATAGGTGTTCAAGGAGTATGTATAAGTAATTTAAGCTATTTAAATCAATGTTAAGGGTGAAATCCAACAGACCTTTGCCTTTGCAAATGGGATTTGCCATTCCTTCCCTCCAACCTACAGCCTTCACCCACCCAAAAAAATTTGCTGTGGAGGATTGAGGGAGTGTGGGGGCAGGACAGGAATGGGAATCTGATTGTGTCTGCTGCTGCTGCAATTTGGATCTTGCTATAAGTAAATATTTCAGTAATGTGCAACTATGTGAATTAATTGTTTCACTTTGGATTTCTTTGCAATCAGCCTTTTTAGGCGAAACCTCACAAGGCATTCTCACATGTCGGAGAACATTTTTAAAATAAGTGCAGAGTAAGGTAACTGTGTGTCCTGCTTTACAGAGTATAATTCTCAATTTGAAGAAGATGTCCGTTTGGTTTCAGTGTGGCTTAAACAGTGTGGCTTTAACACCTGTCCTGAAAGACCTACATTGGCTCCCAGTACATTTCCAAGCACAATTCAAAGTGTTGGGTGCTGACCTTTAAAGCCCTAAATGGCTTCGGCCCAGTATACCTGAAGGAACATCTCCACTTCCATCGTTCAACTGAGGTCCGGCTCTGAGGGCCTTCTGGCAGTTCCCTCGCTGTGATAAGTGAAATTACAGGGAACCAGGCAGAGGGCCTTCTTGGTAGTGGCACCCTTCCTGTGTAGGGATGCCATATTTCAAAAAGTAAAATTCTGGACACCTGCAGAGTTATTGAGCTTTTTTAAGGAAGATTCCATAATTGTTGAGCTTTTTTGGGTAAACCTTTCCCCAAAGCTATGTATCATGTTGCCATACATCCAGGTTTTCCCTGATATTTTGCCAATTTGGCAACCCCCCCCGACATGTGGCAAGCCAGTTCCTGTGGAACGCCTTCCCATCAGATATCAAGGAGATGAGTAACTTTATAATCTTTAGAAGACATGTGAAGGCCGCCCTGCATAGGGAAGTTTTAATGTTTAATGTTTTATTATGTTTTTGTATATGCCGGTAGCCTCCCATAGTGATTTGGGCAACCCAGTCAGATGGCTGAGGTGCAAATAATAAAATTATTACTATTATTATTATTATCCTCAAGAGCCATAAGAAGTGAGACTTTGGGTCTTGAAGTTGCCTGCCAGCAGCTAGTACCTGGACAGCAGACTGAGCAGGTGCACAGGTCACCTTGTCACAAACCTTCCTACTGTGGCATTTCATCTTAAATTATAATAATAGTTTCTAAGTGTACATCTATACCATATATATTAGCATATAAGTGTGTGTCCTCTTTTGACCTCTTTGGCGAAGCATGACCTCCTTTTGTCAATGCTGGTGCAGAGCAAGTGCGAACCCTTCGCCAGCTACAAAAATAAACCCTTAACTAAATAATTGCTTTACTGTAGCTTTATTAGGTAGAATGCTGTCATGTTTGGATTTTTCAAAAATAATAATAATCAAAAATCCATACCTTTATTTTATCAAATCAGTTCTCTAATTAGGAGTTAGATAGCAAAATAAGTTACCATTTCAATATCTTTGAACAAGTGCATTGATTTCTAAAGCAACTTCTGAGTTATAGTATGACCAGGCATTCTGTTCTGCATGTTAAAATGTAGGAATTAAGCATTGCATTAAAATGGTTATCATGATGGTAACTGATCAGTTTATGTGTAATCAAAGGAAAGGAACTGTTTACTGTCATTAAATGGACATCAGTTGAGATGATAGCCTAGTTTAATTTTTAAAATATAATATTCCTCAAGGATAACTTTTCAGGGCTGAAAAGCAATATATAGTTTTTATATATATAAAAAAAACCACCGTGAGTTTTTATAAATCTGCTTACAGATTTTATTGACTGCCCTTCAGTTTGGGATTGGATGCTGTTTGACTAAACAGAGAGGAACCTTCCATAATTATACTGATAGTAAAAGTTGCACAGTTTAGACAAAAGTCTCTTACTCCATTTCCCTAAACATGGGGCTGTTCTGGCCAGTTTAGGTTTTGTGAGATCTCTTAAGTAGCTGGAGTCTTAATGTTAGGCTCAGAGTAGAAGATTCTGGGGTTTTGCCACAGACTCTTGCAAAGGACCAGTTCTCACAATTCTGTTCGCCCTGTGGTGGCTTGGTTGAGTGAAACAGGTATACCAGATCAATTGTTATGGATACAACATTGTATCTGCCAATAACCTATCAAGTTAATGACATTGATTCATAACTGCCAGGTCACCTGGCCAAATGTGAATTGATTGTTCTGTTCTGCAAATTGAAGGGTGCCATTTAGCTGTTTTCCCAAATGTGATTTGTAAAAGTACCCAAATAATAGCTAAAAAGCAAAACTGTGAAGCATTCGTGTACACAAGCTTTCTTTGCTCTGAAATCCACACCTTTTTTTTTTAAACAACCTCACACACATTTTAAAATATAAAATACTGCATGGGTGGAAAACTGACAAATGACCAGCAATGTAGAGTATATGTGTACAAGTCATCCTATTAAGAGTCTTGATTTAATAGCCAGCCATCATTTCTGGTTGTCCTCCTAATCTTTTCCTCAAGACCTCTGATACTACACATAGAGAGTATTCAGGAGTAGGAACCGAAGTGGTTTTCTCATTTTGTGACAAGCCTTGGAGATGCCTGGAATGTTTCCAATGCCTGGTGCAAACTGGGAGTGATTGCTCCCATCAGATCTTTGTGTTGATATGTTTTAACTTGCTCTTGGATTGTCTTTTGCATTTATATGATTTATATTGTGGTGGATGTTGGCTACAAACAATAACAACCTGACTGATGGCTTGAGATCTCTGTGTATGCCAGAGGAATTGCAGGGTACAAGTGAGTGTTGTCTTCTCTACCTGACACGTGAAGAGTCTATGCTCCCTTCTGAGTTTATTGCACTGTGTAGAGAATTTACAGGTCAGGACGGATATCTCGCTTTCTGGTAACAGAAGGGTTACTAAAAAAGAAAGTTTATTGTTCCCAGTTCCATTGACCACCTAGCAGCCACATTTCTGATCCCCCGTCCTGTGGCCTGAGATTGCAATTGAACAAATGTGATATGTGTGCACCATTCTGGAACTTGTTGAAGGGCAGGATGTAAAATAAACACTTGCTTCCTAAAGTTTTCCTAGGTAGCCCTTTAAAAGCAGTCAATTTCCCTTGAAAAGCAGTTGGGGAGAGGGGCTACACCACTGAAAGAAATGCACATTGTGAAAGCATCAGCTTGGGGGTGTCTGGATCACTGTGCATGTTTATAAAAAATACATTAGCCTCAATATTTGCCACCATTTTATTTGTGGGAAATAGTTTTAACAGAACCTTGGGAGATGTGTTCAGTTTTCCATGTGCCTCTGGAATCATGCCCCAATCCCAGTTTTGGTGTATATTTTAAGAGAGACTTTTGACATTGGGGAGTGGACAGGATCTAAACACTAAGAGAGGCATCTCATGCTAGGCAGGCAGATTTTTCCTTTGCTATGTCATTGTAATTTACACACTTGCCTGCCACTGTAGGTTTGGCCTTTCTCGCCCTACCTGGTAACTTTTCAAGTGCTGTCATATTTCTTTGCATAGAGTGACCAGCATAGAGCATCATGCTTTATAAATTGCATCATGCTATCCTTAATCTTGCTGGATTGGTTTTTCCTGGTGCTAGAATACCTTGTTGCTTTATATTCTTTTTTCGTAATCTTTTGGTGCCTACAGACATGCATGGTGTGTATTAACGACTTTTAAACATCTTTGTCCCTATTGGCCAAACTTTTTTTTATTACATTTACTAGACTTGTTTTCTGTCTCTAGGATATATCTAACTTCCTCTGCAGTTTTACTGTTTGTTTTCTCCCACTCATGTCCATGGTCAAGTTCAAGCACTTTAATCCTTATAGCCACTCAGCACCTTCTTTTGAAGCATAAATCCTTTCATTATTGTTCTGTTCGGGTCAGGCAGTTTCCTTGAGTCTCCTGTATGAGCTGCCTTGAATGGCAAGTTTTACTTCTTAGTTTGTTTTTTTCTGGGCACACTGAAACAATGACTGCAAGGCAAATTCCCTGATTCTTTGAAGTGTGTCATAATTATCCCGTATTTTTTCCATAGAGTGAAAAAAGTAAATGAAACCTATGCTGAGTCACATCACTATAAAAAATAATAATAATTAGTAGGCTTCTAGCTGCAGCAGGAATGTCCCTCAACCCTAAGCAGTATACTTCGTTGTTTCTGAAGCCTGCATTTGGATTGTGTACAGCTTTGGAAAATTCTAGAACTCTCTTTCTCTGATTCTTCTTCCTCATCCCTCTGAACAAGGGATGACAGAGCATCTTGCGGCTACTACAAAAGCAACATCTTGGGAATCTTTTTCTTTTCCGCTCAGCCTTGTCAAAAGTCTATTGTCTGTGTCTCAGAATACGTGGAAATGATAACTGGATTTAGAGCAGTGGACCTCAGAATCTCTACTTCAGAGACCCAGGAATGAAACATTGACCTGTGGGCCATATGCAACTTACGTTTACATCTCCTCCCAACAACTTGGTGTCTACAAAGCATCCTTAGCACTGAGAAATGGATGGTTCGCAGCACACAGTTTGGCCCCTAACAGGCTACAGAGTGAACAACAGCCAGAGAAGCTGACAACAAAAATGTTCCGCTTCTATAGTAAATGTTTTAGTACAACTTATTTGTAATAGAGATGTATACTGCCTCTATAATGATCAAGCTCTGAATGGAAATATTTGTAAGGTGAGCTAATTTCCTGAAAGCATATGAGTGCACAAACCCTACCGTACAATTCTTCTTCTTATGTAATAATATTATGCAAATATTTGTGGGGGGTTTTTTGTAGGTCCCTCTGGTGACACACTCTCAGTTTGATTTGTGTCCCCACTGGGTAGGGAGATCATTATTCTAGTGACATGAGCACAAAGAGAGGGCTCTGATAATGCAATGGAAGATTATGATCTTCGAGATTAAACAAAATAAAGGAGATAAATAGGATGAGAGGCTAATCTGTTTTAATTCTGGAATGATCTTTAAAATATGCCTTTTTCAAAGAAAATAGAACTGTGTGTGTGTGTGTGTGTGTGTGTGTGTGTATATATATATATGAATGAAAACAATAAAAGTGTCAGTAAGTTGTGCTTTAAAATATATCCCAGAGTAAAAAAAAAAGGCTGATGCAAAAATCTTTTCAGAAACAGAGCCTTTGGTGGTGGGAAGCCTGATGTTCACAAATCCTTATTAATATACAAGTATATTTTTAAATATGCTTGCATAGCACAGTTCTTTCTACTTCCTCTCCGTATGGGTAGTTCTAAAGTCAGATCAGCTCATCTTTTACGGTATTCTGTTGCTCTTTCAGCAGAAGTTGGGCCATTGTGATATTTATCTGAATTCAAACAAGGCTAATTAAAAGAGCTGCTGACAGTTGTTGTGATCCGACTTTGACTGCAGCTTGATGGTCATTATGGGTAAATAATGAACCAGGTCTGCAAATGTAGCAGCTGCCAACTCGGGATAGAAGAACAGCTATTGCTACCAATTTAAAGATCTATCGACCGCTTTCTTTTCTCCCTACAGATCTTCTGCAGAAATCTAGTGTTTTCTGCTGCTGTGTTTTTGTCATTTTAGCTATTGTAAAACTACCCTATAATTTCCTCCTTAATATTTAACTTAGTCCATGATTAGCTTTCAGAGTTAACTTTTCCAGTTAAAAGCTTACTTTGTTTCTTTTTAGGAATTAGATTCAGTTATAATTCCTTGCTATTTAAATGTTTTGCATATTTCAGTGCCATCTTTTAATTTGTGTGTTCAGCTAGCTCTCCTTTTCTTTGCTTAAACAGTCAGTAACAAAGTAATTATTTTCTAAACGTTTCCCACTGATTGTCGTACACTGAGTTGCAGTAATGAGTGGCTGTTCTTTATGATGCATTCCCACAGCACTGAGACAAACCTGCTTTTTGTTTATGTTTTGTTTTGATTGCATTGCTAAGGTAAGAAATAATCTGATCTGGAGCTCTGCTTGTCAGTGCTGACTGAGAAACACAGACTTGTTCATTAAGATGCACTTCTGAATACATTGTCACTTCATCATGTTTTGCCTTGTCCCATTAGCAAGCAGAAAACCTGCAGTAAAGGAAATAAAGATAGATCGTAATCGTAGATGAATCTAACTTTCTTACAGAATCCCCCATTATAAATGTATCTCAGAAATGTGTAAAAGTCCCATTGTAGTTTCAGATATGTGCCTGTACTAAGAAAAGCCACACAACATTTATTTCAGCTGCCATTATTAAAGGCAATGCACACAGGTAAAATGTAGGAGTTTGCTTGTGCATAATGCAGCAGAACCAGAAATCTTGCTGTGAGGAAATGATCCTAACGTGCCCCTAAAAGGAAAGACTTTCCTTGAGAAATAATGGTGAAAAATGGTTCATTTCAGTGTCTCTTTGTGTTTCAGAAGAAGATTAAACTTTATTTTGTTTTCTGCAGAGCCCTCTTGCTTGCTTGTTTGTGGAAATACGTGTGTGTGTGCGCGCACACACATATGCTGCTGTTTTCCCTTCTAGGTGAAACCAGCAATATGTTAACAAGAGGTTATGTTATGCTACTTTATGTTAAACCAGATCACCCCTGAAACATGTGTAGAGCCATTCATCTGTGTCACCAAAACCCAAGAGAACAGCTGACATCGACTCTAAAACCGAAACAGTGATCACTTACAAATCAAACATGGCACGCTCTAAACCGATTGTGCACGGCAATCTTTTCTCTAGAAAGGGCAACTAATTGAACATGATAAAGTGTAAAGTTAATTAACACTCTTAAATTTGTTGATTACTTTTCACGGGATTATATTGTTCTGTTGAGTAGCAGCTTTCTGTCCCAGCTGTCGCCTTTTTAGCACGAATGTCTCTGGTAAACAATAGAGACACCATGACAAGTCGTAAATGGTCCCTGTGACAGCAGACCCTTGTGAGGCTACATCTGTAGAAAATGATTAAAACAATTGTATTTTAAAGACAGTTCACATAGCAGCCTGGTCCCCTCGGTCCTCTTCTTTATCTCATTTGATGGTAGACTGGTTAAAACATTTAAGTGCATTTTAGTAAATTAAGTGATTTACTGGTTTCAGTGGAATTAACCGTAAATGCTGTTTTAAGGTGCTGTTCTGCTGAAATGTATGCGTATGCTAGATTCAAGAAGATTTATATCTCTTGAACACACATTTGGTTCAGTTGTAAATGGAATAAAGTTAATGTTTGCATATCATAGTTTGCAAATACATAGGAAATAATTCAATCACTAACTTTGAACTTTAGCAACTAGCATGTTACATCTTAGTGTTTATTTGTTTTTAATATTCATTTTACAATTTGGTTTCCTTAAGCAAATGGTAAAAATATTTCTTGTGATGCAGCAGGAATTTCAAGGGGGGAAATGTTCCAGGCTTTAAAGTCACATAAGAACAATTGCCAAAAACAACGAGGTGATAGTAGCAAACTACAATGGGTGCTAATCCCTTAAAATGCCTATTTGCAAAAAAACCCAAAAAACCCTCCATTTTCTTCCACTTCCAGAGGCACTGCAGGAAGAGCTTTAATTTCCTTAATAAAAAGTCAAGGATGTAAAATTGGAGAGGGTTGAAACTTTGACCTCCTTTTCCTTGGTGATCTTGTTCAAACAACAAATTATGTTCAAAACTGTAGTGATTGGTGCAATGTGTTTGTAATGAAGTATTTGCAAAGCAAGATTGTAACTGCTAGCTATTCTCTAGGAATCAAATATAAGGTAGAGCTTTATGCATTCATAATCTCTTTCCAAGGTAGATTCAAGATAAACATAATTTGAGACATCTGCAAATTTCTCCCAAGCCAGAGTCAAAGGAAAACTTTGGGGGCTCACCAAGCTTGCTAATAAAAGAGGTGAGATTTCAAACTCTGGAATCCTTTTCTGGGTTGCAATGGAAGGATGGAGGTTGGAGGGGAGAAACCTCCCTACTTCCTTCTTCCCAGCACTGTACTTGCTGCTGCTGCTGCCAACACCACCATGTTCTTTGAGTTAAAAGGAAGATGGCAGAGTATTAGGGGGTGCAGAATTCTTCCGAACCTTCAGAATAGCTTGGGAAATCTTTCTAAGCTTTTCTAGATTTAGTTATTATTTATTCCCTTATTATTAGGTTGGAGGCAGACAAACTGTGCTGAACTTAAGTCCCACTCATTTCAACAGAAACTAAGTCATGACTAACTTGGCCCACTGAGACCCAAAAGGACACAACGTCCATGAACTTAGTCTGGATCCAGTTTATTCCCCCCCCCCCCGCCCCCCGCTCCGAACTGAGAAAATTCCCTGGCTAATTCTTGAGAAATAGCCTTGGAGAATTCTCCTGTCTCTCTAACTAATCAGTTTTGTTGTTGTTTAGTTGTTTAGTCGTGTCTGACTCTTCGTGACCCCATGGACCAGAGCACGCCAGGCACTCCTGCCTTCCACTGCCTCCTGCAGTTTGGTCAGACTCATGTTAGTAACTTCGAGAACACTGTCCAACCATCTCGTCCTCTGTCGTCCCCTTCTCCTTGTGCCCCCCATCTTTCCCAACATCAGGGTCTTTTCCAGGGAGTCTTCTCTTCTCATGAGGTGGCCAAAGTATTGGAGCCTCAGCTTCAGGATCAGTCCTTCCAGTGAGCACTCAGGGCTGATTTCCTTCAGAATGGATAGGTTTGATCTTCTTGCAGGCCATGGGACTCTCAAGAGTCTCCTCCAGCACCATGGGGGCATGTCTTTTGTTAGGGTGCAGAACCTGTTTGTTATGTATTTTTGTTTATTTTTATTGATTGGGTGGGGGCGGCTGCCCTTCCCTGCCTCCCCCCCTTGGCTATGCCCAGGTATACCTTTTTCAACCGTGGTGCCCTCCCTTACAGAACACCCTCTCAGTGGTGCCATACTTAAGCACCAGGTTGAAGTTATCGGTCTTTTCCTGACTTCTTTGTGTCGCACCTTTTTCAGATTTCATTAAGCTGTTTTTGTTTTGTTTCCTATTATGTTGTTTCTATCCTGTTTGTCAATGTTTATGAGCCACCTTCAAGTTCCTTTTTTTTAATTGGGAAGTGAGATATGAATATTTTAAGTAAAGAAACAAAATTGCAAATATATATATATATATATATAGATACAAAACCACTCATATAAAAAGCAATTTCTATCAGCTTTTTGGTCCTTAAAAAAAAAAAAAAGCTCACCCCAAAAAGCATCATCAACTAAAACTTTTTAGAAAATCGAAAGGAAAAAACGAGAAAAGTGTTAAACAACAGGGGTACCCAGAATGCTACTCTGCATCAGGTTCTCTCCTTCCCACAAAAAGAACTAGTGGTGTGAGGTGAATTTTTTTGTGGGGAACAGTTAGGGCCACACAAAACATTTGAAAAGCTTGCTGAAACATTAAAACCAGTAAGAACATTAGAAGAGTCCTGCTAGATCAGACCACAAGGCTCACCTGGTCCAGCATTCTGTTCTTAGGCTAGCCAACAAGATACTCCAGGAAGTCCACACAGGTAGATCATAAGCACAATAACAGCTCTCCTCTCTCATGATTCTCAGCAGCTGGTGGTATTCAGAGGCACACACCAGTTTAGTTTTACTCAGGGTAGATCTATTCAAATCAAAGGATGTAAATAAGTCATGCTCTTTAGTTTTAATGAGTCTAATCCAAACACAACATTGGATGCAAACCACTTTGTCTGATGGTAGAAATAGTAGAAATTTGCAATCAGTAGCCATTAATAGCCTTTTCTTCCACCATTGGTGGTAGGCCCAAGAGCCTACTACCTGAGGACTACCTGAGGACCCCGGTGGCACTGCGGTCTAAACCACTGAGCTTCTTGGGCTTGCTGATCAGAAGGTTGGCGGTTTGAATCCCCTTAACGGAGTGAGCTCCTGTTGCTCTGTCCCAGCTCCCACCAACCTAGCAGTTTGAAAGCACACCAGTGCAAGTAGATAAATAGTTACCACTGCGGTGGGAAGGTAAACGGCGTTTCCATGCACTCTGGTTTCCATCACGGTGTTCCGTTGTGCCAGAAGCGGTTTAGTCATGCTGGTCACATGATCGGGAAAACTAACTGTGAATAAACGCCGGCTTCCTCGGCCTGAAAAGGAGTTGAGTGCCACAACCCCATAATTGCCTTTGACTGGACTTAGCCATCCAGGGATCCTTTACCTTTACCTGAGGACCCCAGTCAATACAACATCCGACCAAGCTGGCTTAACAGTGAGCGTTATGTGTACTTTATGTGTATTTTTATGAACTGAATATAGACACCGAGGCTTGGAGAGTGTGTGTATGAACTTAACAGTGCTTAGCTTATTTTTTGTTGCCATTTTTTTAATGTTGTTAATATTGCTTTATAGATTATAAATGCCATATGGATTTGTTAATCCTATAATATGACTTTTGCTGCAATAGTGATGTTTAGCTTATTTTTCGACTGCTGTTTTCTTAATAAATTGTAATTATTTTATTGGTGGTTTGTTAATTATTTTATACGATTTATGCTGCATTTGTGATATTCTTTTTTTTTTTAATGGTTTGTAAGTGGCTTTGAGGTTCCTTTGAATGAAAAGCCGCATAGAAATACAATAAATCGAATCAGTGCCTTTGTACTTGTTGCATTGAACTCCACAGCATTACAGTGGTACCTCAGGTTAAGTACTTAATTCGTTCCGGAGGTCCGTTCTTAACCTGAAACTGTTCTTAAACTGAAGCACCACTTGAGCTAATGGGGCCTCCTGCTGCCGCCGCGCCGCCGGAGCACAATTTCTGTTCCCATCCTGAAGCAAAGTTCTTAACCTGAAGCACTATTTCTGGGTTAGTGGAGTCTGTAACCTGAAGCATATGTAACCTGAAGTGTATGTAACCCGAGGTACCACTGTGCTTCTGTGTCTTCACGTTCTTGCATCATTAAGTAGTTGCGAATAGAGTGACCTGAAAAGAAGCTAAATTCCATTATGTGTTGCTGTTTTGAACTTTAGGTGTTGGAGCTGCCCGAGCAGGAAACCTTACCTTCATGGTTGGAGGAGTAGAGCAAGAGTTTGATGCTGCAAAGGAGCTGCTTACATGTATGGGTTCCAATGTGGTCTACTGTGGAGAGGTTGGAACTGGACAGGTACAGACTGAAAAAAAATCCTAGACATTTCTTGCCATCTTTCCACAGACAGGCTTAGACTATCTTTTTCCTTGTTTAGGGAAGTTTTTAATGTTTTATTCTGTTTAATATTCTGTTGGGAGCCGCCCAGGGTGGCTGGGGAAACTCAGCCAGATGGGCGGGCTATAAATAAGTTATTGTTGTTGTTTCAATGTGTCCTTGGTTACTAAGTTGTCATATTGCCTTTTCATCCTGTCGCGTTTGTGATTATTTTGGGGGGAGTGGTGGTGGTAGGGTTTTATGGTTTATTTGACCTTATTCTCTATATCAGGCTTCCTCAAACTGGGCCCTCCAGATGTTTTTGGCCTACAACTCCCATAATCCTTAGCTAGCAGGACCAGTGGTCAGAGATGGTGGGAACTGAAGTCTCAAAACATCTGGAGGGCTGAGTTTGAGGAAGCCTGCTCTATATCAACATTGAACTGGGAAATGGTATAGAAGACTTTAAGATAACCAGTTAAGGATGAAGATGCCTGGAATACTTCTTAGATCAATTTGTATATCACAGAATAAGCAAAGGTCTAATTCCTGGGATGCGGGTGGGACACGGGTGGCACTGTGGGTTAAACACAGAGCCTAGGACTTGCCGATCAGAAGGTCGACGGTTCGAATCCCCGCGATGGGGTCAACCTAGCAGTTCGAAAGTACATCAGAGTGCAAGTAGATAAATAGGTACCGCTCCGGCAGGAAGGTAAACGGCATTTCCGTGCACTGCTCTGGTTCGCCAGAAGTGGCTTAGTCATGCTGGCCACATGACCCGGAAGCTGTACGCCGGCTTCCTCAGCGAGATGAGCACCGCAACCCCAGAGTCGGCCATGACTGGACCTAATGGTCAGGGGTCCCTTTACCTTAAGTCCTGGGATGCATGTATTGGTTTACAGTGGAAGATAAACCAAGATGAATAACTATACAACCTTTAGAAGTTGTACGGAGGCAGCCCCTGTATAGGAACGTTTTAAATGTTTAATGTTTTATTACGTTTTTGTAAATGCTGGAAGCTGCCGAAAGTGGCTGGGGTAACCCAGTCAGATGGGTGGGGTACAAATATTCTTGTTTACTTCTCACTTTGTTAACTGAATAATAAACGTATCGTGATTGGTGGCGCATAAAACAGAATATGTACCTACCATCTTTTCAGTCCATTCTATGGCGGTTTCTGCTTACACATCCAAACCTATAAGCACTTATTTGTTGCAGTTTGCTAACTCTACTTCTCTGGTTGGTTACTAGACAGTGGCATCAACAGATTGTCAACAAGAACAAATATTTATACAGTTCTTTTAAAAGTGCAATAATGCAGATGACTGTTAATGTCTGAGGCATACCAAATCAAATTACTGTGCAAGTGTGCCAAAAATTGTTTTGCAGCTTTTGATATCATTGCCCTTGAAAACATGTTGCTGTCTGTTCTAGGGACTGGCTGTGGAGCAAATGCATTCATAATAGAATTTGAGTTCCTGTTGGATAGTTATCTGGATAGCAGAAATTCATGGGGTGTTGAATTTCTTTTCAGGCTGCAAAAATCTGCAACAACATGTTATTAGCCATTAGTATGATTGGAACTGCTGAGGCCATGAATCTTGGAATCAGGTATGTTTGCATTTTATGATATCCTTTTTATATCGGTTTGTGTTTATGTGTTTTTCTGACTGACTCCTCTATGGGGGAAGAATGATGTTTCAGAAATGTAGATTAACAGCTGTTTGCAGCATAAGTGTAGTATTTCATTATTGCAATGCTTCCCCCCCCCCCCACGAAAAAAACCCCAACCCCGACAACCTTGTTTGTTAATCTAGGCTAGGATTTCAGGAAGAAGGAACATTATTTATAAAGACCATAAAATGAAGTTACATTTTGATATTGATATATATAGGAGCTCTTTTTCTTATTTTCAGACGAAACATGAAACAGATAAAGAATAATGGGTGCAACTACTTGCAAAAGACAAAGGGTTTTAAAATTATTATTCACACAATTATGTGATCTAGAAGTTTGCAGTTGTGTGAACTCCCCCGTATGCAGCGTTGACATTCAACTGCCACATTTTGAAACATGCTTTGTGGCATCATGTCCTGTATCTACTAACTGCTGAGCATGCACTTACTAAGCTGGCAAGGTTTCTGGGAAGCCCCAGACATGGGAATTCCTGTCTTACTTTCTTTCTACTTGATCCTTGACTCTGAAAACCGCAATAGATATTAAATAATAGTTGCATCCCTGTGATTATAAACCGCAGCAAACCCAGGTTTGTTCCCAACATAGCATTAGTGTTGCTTTTGTTGCTTTTTATTAAAGTGGTACCTCAGGTTACGACCACCTCAGGTTACAATCATTTCGGGTTACAGACTCCGCTAACCTGGAAGTAGTACCTCGGGTTAAGAACTTTACCTCAGGATGAGAACAGAAATCGCACGCCAGTGGCGTGCCAACAGCAGGAGGGCCCGTTAGCTAAAGTGATACCTCAGGTTAAGAATGGTTGCAGGTTAAGAACGGACCTCCGGAACGAATTAAGTTCGTAACCAAAACTTGAACACTGCAAACCCAGAAGTAAATGCTTCCGTTTTCGAACGTGCCTCGGAAGTCAAACATCTTCCGCTGCGTGTTTCTCACTTTTCTGATTTGAATTTGCAGACTGCCATTTGTGCCTTGGTTTTCGAACATTTCGGAACTCGAACGGTTTTCCGGAATGGATTACATTCGAAAACCGAGATACCACTGTATTTATAAAACTGCCTCCAGTACACTGGCTGCTGTACATTAGTCAGAGGACTAATGGTCACTGTGAAGTTGCATCTTCATGACAAGAGCAAAACAAACCTGGACCCATCAATTGGCCTGAGAAGGAGAAACTGTAGGGAAGTTGGTCTAAAGGCTGCTGAGTTGGGAGAGGGAGGGTTGCTTTATGTTACTTCAGTCTGTCACAAGCCATTTTGAGGATCATTGGATTGACAGGTGGGTTATAAATTTTCTAAATATTCTTCCATATTCTGACACAATAGCAAATAGCCACAGTGCTTCCCTGTCTCAAATCTGCACCCAGTTCTGTTTTATGTGAAAAATGGAAAAATTGCTGCTGCTGTTGATTCCTTGTTTTTTAATATTTTGACAAGTGTAGATCACAGTCCATTCTGGTGGCTCCTATGTATAGAGAAGTACAGATAAGGATCTCAGTCAGTAAGAATCTTGCCTTGAGATATAGGAGTCTGTTTCTCCTTGCAGAAAATCTATCTCACCACAGCATGATTGATCATGTAAAAAGTCCAGAGACAGAGGTTGTTTACATTCTAGCCATTTTCTTTAGAATTAATGCCATTCATTCACTAGTTGGAGAGTCTGGATGAAGTCATTGTCATACCATTGCAATCTAGTCTTTTCCCCTGCTGTCTTCCCCTATTTTTAAAAACCTGCTTTGACTGGACAGACTGTCCAGTATGGACTGGTTAAGTACCACTGAAACATTTCTCTGATACTGGGCCTTTAATAATGTCCTGATAGTTGCTGGCCACAGCAATCATTCCCATAGTTAACTGTTTTCTACTTATAACCTGAACAATACCATTGTTTAGGATAGTAAAAAACAAAATTAAGAAAATTATCACAAAGGTCATTCTACAAATAAGAAGCATGACTTTTTTAAATAACTAAACAGCATGACATTTGTGCCCTCAGCTATCTGGAAATAACATATATTAAGATCATGGCCATGGGCAAGATGCATTAAGGGATTTTTATGGAGATTATAGTGTCATCTTAAGTCTCATGCGGAAACAATGCATTTTGTTTTCCTTTAAAAAGAATCTGCATCTAATTGATTGCAGAAGTGCCTCGGTTTTGTTAAAGGGCTGTACTGTGGGAGAAGATCCATGTGTTGGTAGATCAGTGTGGAAGTTTTAGAAAAGTAGGGACATCACTGGCACCATGAACTATGGGATGTGTAGACCTACAGCAACATATATGAGCATTAATGTAAGCTGTGAGTTGACGAAAGGCTTTGAGAACAAATAACTGACCCTCCATATTCCTATGCCTTAATGCAAAGGTAGGCAATTGCATGTTATCCAATCATCCTTGGCCACCATGCTGGCAAGGGTTGGTGGGAGTTGTAGTTGGACAACATCTGGAGAACACTATGTTAGCTATTCCTGCATCAATGTATGGAATGCCCTATCAGTTTAATTCCCCACTCCAAGAATGAGCTTCCTCCCTCTTCTGTGAAGCATATTCTCTATGACTAGGCTAGAAACCGACCGATGGGACTTTCTGTTGACTTCTCTCATTGTCTTATTTTATCTTGGCTCATTTAAAATGTGACGTCCTGAAATACATGCTACAAAACACTTTAATAAAAAACCTCACACACCATGAAAAGGAGGCTAGCAATTAGACTACAAGTAAGGTATTGCTAATTCAGCACTCAGGAAATGTAATTGCTCGGTTTGCTTACTTTAGCTGAATCAAAAGTGTGGAGAACACTGCCGCCACTGAAACAATGTCCAAGCTCTGCTGTTACATAGTCTTCCGCCTGAGCCCTGCATGGAGCTGTCCAGGGTGCCGCTGAAGCCTCACCTGGAACATGCCGGGTCCATTGCTCAAAAGAGAACAATGGTTTTCCATCCCCCACCACCACACAATTTTGTCAGTCAGCGTTCGGTGTGTACTGAGCATGCTCAGTTTTCATTGAACTTTTTTTTGTGTGGGAGAGAGGTTTCCAAGGGGAGAGTTGGGAGATGTTGGGTAAGTACAATGGGTGCCCAGTTCAAGCTACAACAAGATATTTCATTTCTCCCTTGATTGCTATAGCAAGCTCTCACTTCCATTACAGTACTTCTTAATGTGGACCAGGAAAAGGCCTATACAGACACTGGAATGGTTCTCTCTACCCTTTTTATATCTATTTCCCCCCTCCATCCTCTGTTCCCAAGTTACTCCATTCTATTCCTCCTCTCCCCAGTGTGGTGTAGTGGTTAAGAGTGTTAGACTCGTAATCTGGTGAACCCAGTTTGGGTCTCTGCTCCTCCACATGCAGCTGCTGGGTGACCTTGGGCTAGTCACACTTCTCTGAAGTCTCTCAGCCTCACTCACCTCACAGAGTGTGTGTTGTGGGGGAGGAAGGGAAAGGAGAATGTTAGCCGCTTTGAGACTCCTTCAGGTAGTGATAAAGCAGGATATCAAATCCAAACTCTTCTTCTTCTTCACTCCTTTTTTGTTTTTGTTTTCTCTTGCTAACCATTCAACTTTCCATGGGCATGGGGGGATGCAGATGGCACTGTGCTCTAAACCACTGATCCTCTTGGGCTTGCCAATCAGGAGGTCGGCCATTCAAATCCCCGTGACAGGGTGAGCTCATGTTGTTCTGTCCCAGCTCCTGCCAACCTAGCAGTTTGAAAGCACACCACTGCAAGTAGATAAATAGGTACTGCTGCAGCAGGAAGGTAAACAGTGTTTTTGTGTGCTCTGGTTTCCATCACGGTGTTCCATTGCGCCAGAAGCAGTTTAGTCATGCTGGCCACATGACACAGAAAGCTGTCTGCGGACAAATGCCAGCTCCCTTGGCCTGAAAGTGAGATGAGCACCACACCCCATAGTTGCCTTTGACTGGACTTAACTGTCCAGGGGTCCTTTCCCTTTCCCTTTTACCTTTTACCTTTTCCATGGGCATTAAGCATATTAAGCACTCCTTGGCCCATTTGCAATGGAGAGTTCTCTCACCTTTCCCCCAGGTTTCCCCCTTAGGATTTGCAAACTCTGAACTGCATAGCTGTTGCTATTTGGGATACAAAAACAAGGACACTCAAAAAATTGAATTGGAACAAGGATAAGGGATGGTTTAAAGCAATTTATACTTATGTTCAATGTCTATCCTGCAGTTTCGTTTTGTTCTTTAAAAAAATTTTTTTTAATTGTGTTTAACTATTTTTCTAGCCATGTATTCCAGATCTTATAGTTTGCATACCGTTAAGCATAACTCCCTCCTGTAGTGAGCCATTAGCTATTCCTTGGACCATCTAGCCAATCCTCTTAAACTCGATTTTGCCAGCTAATTCAGTTCTCAGTTCTCAAACCTTCATTGGCATATATACAAGATTCCAGTAAGGTTCAGTACAATCAAATCACTCGGCAAAATCTGCATCTAACACTTAAGTTAATGTTGTATAGCATTCACGCGTGTTGCATAAACCTGGCTACTAGAGTCGTACCTTGGTTGACAAACACCTTAGCAGTCGAATGTTTTGGCTCTCAAACGCCGCAAACCTGGAAGTGAGTGTTCCAGTTTGCGAATGTTCTTTTGGAAGCCGAATGTCCGCCGTGAATGTCCGCCATGTCTTAGTTTTCGAACCATTTTGGGAGTCAAACAGACTTCTGGAACAGATTAAATTAGAGAACCAAGGTATGACTGTATCTCCATTTTATCCCTGTCCTGAGTAAAGATGAGGAAGGCTATCTTACATTTCAACTGCTTCTACCAGTTCACTAAGGAAGGTGGGTAGGCACTGGGGTGGATAGTACAGCGGCAAGATCTCTGTTCTGCTTCTGCCACCCATCACTTAAGTACAAACCCTCGCATCCAGCTCCCACATGGAATGACGTTTATTAATTAAACTGAGAGAGATTATTGTTGTTAAGAGATTGATTCCCTGTCAACATATTTATGATTTTCTGCTCTACATGTCGTATGTAGTGATGTGCTTCCTTATGAACAGTATACATTTAATTTAACTTTGCAGTCTTTGACCGTTTTGTTCCTATATATTGCGAGGGTTTCAGTAATGTTGACCACATTGTTTTATATTTGTCGTTTCAGTTGCTCTCTAGGACCTGTGTACCCTGTAAATACTTGTGGGTCCTGATCCTAAATAATAAATTCCTGTTTTGATATTGGCGAAGATAATAAGAAACACATGAGTGTATGCAAAGCTGTATATATATATAAATGTATATTAACACATGCACACACATGTACCCAAAAGGCAGGATAATGGATTCACATTTCCTCTTAATTACCATATCAAGATGCAGTTGTTTTATTGAATTGCCCTTGTCTCAGATGTTAGACTATCTTGACCTATTAAGTTGTCATGTTGTAATTGAGATAAAAGAGGAATTTGCTTTGCATCAGTGCTAATTGGTTTATCAATATCCTCTACCATTTACATTTTAAAATTGAGCATCTGTAAGATAGGGAAGCGTATCTTTAACAAGCCATAATAAAACCCATAAGGTGGTATAGTGCTGTTGTAATTGAGGATTGTAAAGCTGTATCATAGTCAGTTTTAAGTCATGGTTTGCTTAATGAAAAATCAATCACCTATGACTTCATTGTATTTAGTTCAAGTAGAAACTCACATTTTCTGTTATAAAAAATATTCAGTAGCCTGCAGTATCTGGCACCATAATGCTATGCAACCCTAATTGGTTTTTGCAGCCACTGTAGCGTGCAAGTATCTCTGGGTTTTCATATTCCAGGTTAAGGTTTGTGGTGCAAATTTGGATTCTGTTTAGGTTCTGACTGCTTTGATTGATGCCAGGTTTAAGGAATTCTATGAGTCTTAGCCCACATCATTAGCAATGCAGCATTGTCTGCAGTCTAAATTATCTGCCTCTCCTGAGCATAAGTCTGCCCCTATTGCCAGGTTGCATAAAGAGAAAGCATTTCTATCTTGAAGAAAATGAAATGGTGGAAAGAGACTTCTCGAGGCAACAACATTCCCAGTCATGGTGAGTGTGACACTCTCGCCTATGTGTCTTTCTCCTGCCCCCAGAGCGGAGAACTAGACTAGTCCATAAGCTATGCTTCCAAGTCTATAACACAGGATAAATGGCCCTGCTTCTTACCTTTCCCTGCTATCTCCCCCGCCCTACCTACTATGTGTATACAAATCTAAGAGGATCTGAGCAGAGAAATATTGCTGGTATTTGTTACTTCCTACGTGTAGAGAAGGAGGTCATGCATATAATCAGCCTGGGGTGTGTGTGTTTGTGTGTGTGTGTGTGTGTGTGTGTGTGTGTGTGTATATATATATATATAAATAGAGATAGAGAGAGAGAGTGTGTGTTGTTGTTTAGTCGTCTTAGTTGTGTTCGACTCTCCGTGACCCCATGAACCAGAGCATGCCTTGGAGAAACTCACTTTCTTCTCAAAGCTTCTCCTTTTTTATGTCCATGGAGTTTTCTTGGCAAAATACTGGAGTGGTTTGTCAGTTCCTTCGCCAGGTGGGTCACATTTAGTCTAAACTCTTGGCTATGACCTGTCCATCTTGAGCAGCCCTGCCTGGCATAGCTCATAGCTTCTCGTAGTCGTTCAAGCCCCTTCACCACAAGGCAGTGATCCATGAAGGGTGTGTGTGTGTGTGTGTGTGTATTCACACACAATTAGTGAATTGATGCAACTGCTAATAGAACAGATCTGTGTGAGCAAAGTCTTACAGAAAGCATTGAGATTTGGTTTAAGTTTCATTTTATGCAGATATAAATGACTTTGACTTCTAGGAATGTAGGAAGATGCTTTATTGTGAGTCAGACCATTGGTCCATCTAGGTCAGTTTTATCTGCTCAAGTGTGGCGAGCCCTTGTGGCCAACCCTCTGGTGGGGAGGGGGCATGTCAGCGGCACTTAGGACCAAACCAAAAGCAGGTGGGGACATCCTATGTGCACCATGCACGCATACACACACAATCCTGTGATCTGGCAAAAGAGGAGAACAATCTCTTTATCCATGGGTTGCAGTTTTGAAAATAGCTCTTTCTCAGCATGCAGCACAGGAACACTACAATCCGCCCAAGGAGACTCTTCCTTCTTGGGCAAGTCATAACATAGAAGCCAGAAGATGCATGGGGGCTGAGGAGAGGCTGTTGGGCTGCTACAAAAGGCCATCACATGGGTCAACTTCCCTGCCTCTCATTTGCACTGAATAGCACTGACCTTTAAAGCCCTAAATGGCCTCGGTCCAGTATACCTGAAGGAGCGTCTCCACCCCCATCGTTCTGCCCGGACACTGAGGTCCAGCTCCAAGGGCCTTCTGGTGGTTTCCTTGCTGCAAGAAACCAAGCTACAGGGAACCAGGCAGAGGCCCTTCTCGGTAGTGGCACCCTCCCTGTGGAACGCTCTCCCACCAGATGTCAAAGAGAAAAACAACTACATTTAGAAGACATCTGAAGGCAGCCCTGTTTAGGGAAGCTTTTAATGTTTAATAGGTTGTTGTATTTTAATATTCTGTTGGAAGCCGCCCAGAGTGGCTGGGGAAACCCAGCCAGATGGGCGGGGTATAAATAATAAATTATTATTATAGCAGGGGCTTTCCAGGATTACAGACAGGAATATTTCCGAGGCTTATCTAAAGATGGCAGGATTGAACTGGGTTGGGGTTTTTTTCCCCACGTAGGCATATTTTCTACCACTGAACATGGCTCTTTCCATTTTACAAGAAGGCACACGAGTTTTCTTCCTCCAGAAAACGTTTGACCCAAATCTGTTTAGTCTTCAAACAGTGTCTTTCTTTCAGTTTTATTTTCTGTTCTAAAACATTTTACAAATGTGGGTGCGGCTGGATCTCACGGTTGGCCAATCTGCATGTGAAAACCATTTCCTAGCCAACAGTGGTCAAGTTATTCTAATCATAAATACTCACCGGATTTTGGGCATTGTCCTTTGGAACTATTAGCGGGTTGAATTAGTAACTAGTCCAAGATGGTGCATGTTTCCTTCTAACCTTGGCTGCTAAACCATGGAGTCATTTCACCATCTGCTGTGCCCATTTGCATGTATGTTCAGAAACGGTGGTCCACTGTCTTGTAGCAAAGCTGCACAATGAAGCGTAACGGTTGGGAACACTTGGCAATCCATCTTGCTCTTTAGAAGTTCTCATGCCTGTTAATGAAAGTTGATATTGCTGGGTGGGTGGGGGGTTATTTTAAAAAATCCTGTAAAGTGTTATGAACTTTGAATGCTGGTTTCTTGCCTAAGGAACAATAAATGCAAAAATTAGGCTAGTTGCGAAGGATACTGGAATACAGCTCTTCACACCCATTGAAGGATCACTAATGTGTGCATGAGATCAGAAAATGCACAGAAGTGATGCTAGATTGTGAAGGATTGGCTCCCACCCACAGTATCAGGTAATAGCACATCCATTCTCCTATTACAAAATACATGAGTGTGTGCCTGTGTATATGAAACAGTGACTTGGGCTGGAGAACTCAAGCATCTGTCCTGCATTAATTTTTCTTCTCCTTTTACGACTCCATTACACTCTTCGCCGTTTCTACTACTGATGGGTCAGGATAGTATGTTATACTGAAACATTATTTTCTCATTTACTATAAACCTCACTGTACGTTGAAAGTGTTTTCAGATTCTCAGTTGTTTTTTTAAAAAGGAAACTGTTCTGCATGACAGGGAACTCAACCATCCTCAAAACAGCATGGGAAAAATATGCACGCTGAATCTTCAGCTCTGATTGACTTTTCTTCTAACTTTTGGAAATTGCCATAGTCTTAAATTTGCAGCAGTGTCCGCCTACTAGCAAAATCAAAGCAGCATAGTTCTGTGCATGTGAATAGCTGCGAGTAAGCACTTACCAACATTCTTCAAGTAGCTTAGAACCACTAAAAATGAACGTTGTCTGCTATCAATTTCTTTGGGGCTGACAAGTGTGTTTTTCGAAGTGACAGAATTGTTCTCTAATAAAATACACACCGTGTTTGCAATTTATAGAGCTTTTGCTAGGTTGGAAAAGAAAATTGTTTCAGCAACTAGAAATCCCTCTGTAGTAAATTCTCCCCTGAAGAATACATTATCATGATGGGAACGCATTGTTATTCTGCTTATGTCACTAGAACACTTAATTAAAGCGTAAGGCTAGTTTTGTAGGATTCTTCATTCCGAACACCGGAGAAGCAGATTATTCAAGCCGAAGACGGACTTGTGAACTGTTTTCACATGTATGTGTGCAGATCTTACTTTCCGTGGCTTCTGCTTTTAAGAGCAAAGAAGAGGGGATGAAAAGGGATATGTACTTTGGACAACATAAAGTACATAGGAATAAAATATGGTGGGAAGGACTCAACAAACACAGAGGGTACAAGTAGGAAGTGCCTCCATGTGCCCTTGAGGGTGGGGTGTATGGAGTGAAGCTGCTGTTGCCCATTGGACGAGGGGAGGTTATTCAGAAGAGGAAAGGCATTGCTGGCGCTGGAAGCAGGAATGGGAACGTCTCCAGCATAAAATGGTGACACTGCTTATGTGCTTTGAATCTCAGCATTTACCTGGGAGTTATCCACACTCAATTCAGTTGGACTGACTTCTGAGTAAACATGCAGTAGGCTTGTGCTACATGAAGGCTAGCTTTCAAATCAAAAAGATTTCTCTTAAAAATAAACACCCTGAAATATTTATGAATGTCGGCATGTTGCTGTTATTCTGAAACTGGCCATTTTACAGAATGATGTGCAAAACCTGTCTTAATACCTCTGTACAATGCAACATTTTAGATATTTCTGTCTACTTAGGTAGTAATGTCAATTTTTTCTTTATATAGCACATCCAAGTAGAAAGGAAACTTACGACTCGGCCAAAATTAATCAATTTGGGTTTCTCAAATTGGTTGCATATAGTCTGAAAAGCATTTTTTAAAAGTTTGGGATTAGATCTTTATCATCCCACTGAAAGATTGGCAGCAAATTAAACTACGCTAGTAATGTTGGTCTGGTTTAAACGATTGCCTCGTTATTTGTGCATTGTTTATTCCTGATAGCACCCCTAAATCTGAGAGAGCTCAACACTATCTTTCAATATTTCAGCTACTTCGGTCCCAGTTAAGTACCTTGAAGTATTGTTTCTTTTTATTCCAGGCCAAAATGTTTTAACTATGGTAATGAGTTGTATAACCCCTAGTTTTATCTTGGGTGTGGGATTGCGGAGGAAATGAAACTTCAAATTATAAGGTAGGTTAATTAATGGGCCAAAGTTACCCTGTGGGCTGAGCAGGGATTTAAACCTCAGTATCCCCTGTCCTAGTCCCAAACTCCAACCCCAGGGTAGCCAATGTGGAGTCCAAATGTGACTGGACTCCCAACTCTCATCAGTCCCAACCCGCATGGCCCTATGAATGGTTGGAATTGTAGTCCAACATCATCTAGAGAGCATCACATTGGCTACCCCTATCCCAACCCCTAACCCACATTGGCTGTAGAGTTTCAGTTAACTCCTTCAGAAGTTATGATGTAGTGGTTAGAGTGCCTGAGCTGGGTTCAAATCTCCACTCATCCATGAAGTTCACTGGATGACCTTGGGCTGCTCATCATTTCTTAGCCTAACATACCCTCCATAGAGTTGTTGTGAGGACGAAACTAGGAGGAGGGAAACCTTGAGCTCTGCAGGAAAGGTAGAATAGAAAAGTAACACTGCATTTTTTTTACAGTTTTTTGAAATGTTGAAAGTGCTTATCCAGCAACTTCCAATTTCTTTGTTCCTTTTGATGTATCTCAAGAGGAGGTGAGATGAAGTGGTGAGAGAAGCTAGGAAAGGGTTCTCAAATGAAAGGTCTCTTCCAACCATAAACCTTTCTTTTCACTCTACCTCTATTCTACTAAGAAATTCATGCCTTGTAAGTTACAAGGCAATTCTCCATAGTCTATATCAGGCATGTCCAAGTGGTTGATCACGGGTCATCCGTGGTCGATCGGAGTCGATTGCGTAATCCTGATTGATTGCCCCCCAAAACACACGTGAAGGCTCCCCGCTCCAATGGGTAGATCACTGCCAGTTTTTCTTATAGTGGGAGTAGATCACAGTCTCTTGGGAGTTGGACATGCCCGATCTATATACATTGTTGGATCAAGTAGTCCTTTAAAATGCACATGAAGAAGTTGCCACTGTCACTGCTCCTAGCTGGGATGAGATAACAAAAACTAACCTAGGAATGTGGCTGCTATTTAAACTTGCTTCAGACTATAGACCCAGTGGCGTAGCAGCAGTTGCCGGTGCCCAGGGTGCACGTGTGTGCCGGTCAGGGGCGCCAGCCCAGCCCCTGCCACCAAAGCAACCCCACTCCCTCCAGAGCAAAACTCGGCCGTGCTGAGCTGCCTGCAGGGGGGAGTCTGGCCGGCCAACAAGGCCCTTGGCAGTGGTGAGGAGCACTGCGCTGGGCTGGGGTTGCCTGCATGGAGCGCCTGGTTTGTGCCCCCTCAAAAATTGTGCACCTGGCCACACCATGCCCCCAGCACCTCCCACGCTATTGTTAGTATTTCATTCCTCCAATGCTGCAAATGAGATTGTTGTAAATCACATACCTGTCTGAGAAGAGCGTGAGAAGCTGAAGACAGTCTTATTTCTTCCGCTGTAATATACCGTATTTTTTGCTCTATAAGACTCACTTTTTCCCTCCTAAAAAGTAAGGGGAAATGTGTGTGCGTCTTATGGAGCGAATGCAGGCTGCACAACTATCACAGAAGCCAGAACAGCAAGAGGGATTGCTGCTTTCACTGTGAAACGATCCCTCTTGCTGTTCTGGCTTCTGAGATTCAGCATATTTTTTTTCTTGTTTTCCTCCTCCAAAAACTAGGTGTGTCTTGTGTTCTGGTGCGTCTTATAGAGCAAAAAATACGGTACTTTCACTTTAATAATAATAATAATTTATTATTTATACCCCGCCCATCCGGCTGGGCTTCCCCAGCCACTCTGGGCGGCTTCCAAAAAATATTAAAATACTGTAATACATCAAACATTAAAAGCTTCCCTAAACAGGGCTGCCTTCAGATGTCTTCTAAAAGTTTGGTAGTTGTTGTTCTCTTTGACATCTGGTGGGAGGGCGTTCCACAGGGAGGGCACCACTACCGAGAAGGCCCTCTGCCTGGTTCCCTGTAACTTGGCTTCTCGCAATGAAGGAACCGCCAGAAGGCCCTCGGTGCTGGACCTCAGTGTCCGGGTAGAATGATGGGGGTAGAGATGCTCCTTCAGGTATACTGGACTGAGGCCGTTTAGGGTTTTAAAGGTCAGCACCAACACTTTGAATTGTGCTCGGAAACGTACTGGGAGCCAGTGTAGGTCTTTCAAGACCGGTGTTATATGGTCTCGGCGGCCGCTCCCAGTCACCAGTCTAGCTGCCGCGTTCTGGATTAGTTGTAGTTTCCAGGTCACCTTCAAAGGTAGCCCCACGTTTTACTTGTCCTGTTTGTTCTCTCGGAGCTGGAGAGGACAGACGCCATTATGTTTCTGTCTGTACATAGTGTGTAAATAAATAGTAGATTAGCTCTACGATGTCTCAAGCTACTTGCTGTGTTAAGCTAGAAGATTAGTGTGCATAATACCAACTGGTTTATGTCACTGAGTGCACTGGAGATGAAGGAAGAATGCCTTCTCTGGAGCTGTGCATACTTGAGGACACTCGGAGTTCCAGGGGCTTGCAGGCTCACCCCCCAGGGCATTTTCCAACAGCTATGCCCCTGAATAGACCAAGCGTGAACCAGAAGTCGGTTACCATTGAGGTTGCAATTGCATAATAAAATCTACAAGATTTAGCTAGTCAGATAACTAAAGTTTCAAACTTACCTTTAACAAACAAAACTAGACGTGTTATGCACTTCAGTAGACCTGAACTCCCTGCTAGCTTTTGAAGACTTTTAAGTATTTCCGTGTGGATTATCTGCTGCAATTATTGACGGGATGCTGCACAAACAATGTGGTACTTTTCTCTCTCTCTCTCCTCACCCCCTGCCCAAAATGTGGAACACCTTTGCAATTGTAAATGCATGTGTGCGTTGCACATCCTCTCGCTATGTCCGGTGGCAAGTTATTATGGGGACTGACAGACTGTCATCGTTTTGATAGCTTGAGCAGTATATCTCTTGAACAGCAATAGAGCTCTTATGCAGAAAGTATCATATGTTCCAAGCCAATTTACAGGGAAACAGCAATAACATTTTATCATGGTTGAGAGCCCAGTAGCTGCTTCCTATTAAACTTGCCCTTTCAGATACCTGTCTTGGATTAATTTGTTGATTTCAAATGGAAACTCAGTCTTCTCCACTGAAGCATGACTTTCTAGGATAGACTCTTACTGAATGACAATTACTGTATATTCTACCCGCTTTCAGACCATTACAAGCTTTGGGCGCAGTGGAAGACAGAGGACTTCTTCAGTAACTGATTTTAATACGTGTCTAATTTTAGCTGTCAGTTATCTACGCACCAGTAGACGAATCTTCGGAAAGATGAAATGCAAAACACCTCTAACTTGCTCCTTTTAATGATATACTTGCTGCAAGGGATAAAAAGGGAAGGATCAGGGAAAGGAGTCGCTTGAAGAACACCACATGGTGTGTGAGAACACATCATTTTGAACATTGGGCTTTCTGGGGTTTTTTTTTTAGTTTTCTTTTAAAATTGAGTGGTGTGAATGCATTGGAGTTTTTTTAGAACAGGGGTAGCCAACGTGGTACCTCCATATGTTGTGGACTAGAACTTCCATCATCCTTGCCATTGGCTATGCCAGCTGAGGGAGTTGTTGAGGGCACCAGGACTTGTCCAGGATTGCCTTCCTCCAAATGATGCTGATGGATACATTCCATCAGTGGATGTCATGGACTGGCTGGATGCAGACGAGTGGTGGGAGACACCAGCTGGGGCTCAGAGTGGTGGGATGATGATGAGCGGTCGGAGGTATGAAGAGGGTGGAGCAAAGACAGACAAGGCGGAGAAGTATCTGGTTGCTTGGGATGGACTTGGGAGAGGAAGAGACTTAGAGAATGGTGGGCAGGCAGGGACCCTCAGTCTTCGCAACTGCGTCATTGGGGCAAAAACTACTGGGAAGAGGTGCTCTGCTCACTAGGACTGAGCTGTTTTGTTTCTTTGAACAAGGAGTTAACTTCACTGACACCTTGTGAGTTATTGCAATACACCTCCTTGGCTGGTTGGTAAATTTCAAATATGCAATATGCCCATTTTTATATAACAGAGGGAAGTTCTGTTCTGGAAGTGGTATAATGTCAAAGTATCTAAATCCTGAATTTGGTAACAAGAGTTTTGAGTGAATCAAACCCTCGTTAATGAGAGCCAGTGTGGTGTAGTGGTTAAGAGTGGTAGACTCGTAATCTGGTGAACTGGGTTCGCGTCTCTGCTCCTCCACATGCAGCTGCTGGGTGACCTTGGACTAGTCACACTTCTTTGAAGTCTCTCAGCCCCACTCACCTCACAGAGTGTTTGTTGTGGGGGAGGAAGGGAAAGGAGAATGTTAGCTGCTTTGAGACTCCTTTGGGTAGTGATAAAGCGGAATATCAAATCCAAACTCTTCTTCATCTTCTTCTCATGGTACTTAATAATTTTCAGTGGAGCCTTAACTAACATTCCAGTATATGGTCCACTGACTTGTCTATAACCATGGCGGTATGGGTTACCTTAGTGAGTTGCTGGAAGTGTACCTATGTGGGGAGTGCATTGAAAATTAAACATATGCACGAAATGTTGTCAAGTGAGTCTCCTGTATTAAAATGGGAAAGATGGACGAGGTACCCTTCACATGATTGAGGATCAGTCTTTAGACTGGAGGTTAGTTTAGCGGCGCCAGGGGTGGTTTTAAGAGTAGCGCAACCATTGTGGCCGCACCGGGTGCTGCCCTGCCAAATACGTCAAAATAATGCTGTAGAACAGAGCACAAGAGGCGGGTGGGGAGGAATTTTAGTGTCGCACAGGTCACCGCTGAAATTTGGGAGCCCAGAGCCCACCACTGCAGGGGCTGAACATCAGGACATCTTGCCTGTGCTGACAGAGGGTTGCTGGCTAACGGTCTGTTTCCAAGCGCGATTCAGAGGGCTGTCACTTACCTTTTAAAGCTGTACGTGGTTTTGAGATAGGAGAAGGAATTTCTGCTCCCTGTGCGCTGAAGTCATCTTCAGAAACCTTTCTCTGATTACCCCCAGTATATGATGTGAGGTAAGGTGGATGGCAACTGTGAAGAGGGTCTGTTGTGAAACCTCATCTATGAAATTCTCTCCCCAGGAGGCCTCGCCTGGTGCCTTTTCAGCACCAAGGGATAGCCTTTTCTTCCTCCCAGACTTTGTACTATCTGAAGGAGCTTTTATGATTATTATTTTTTACTGCTGCTTTTATTCCACTGCTTTTGCCAATTTTAGGTGGCTGGGGTTGTCTTCTTGGGGGGGGGGTACTTCTATATATTTTTTAACATTTTGTATACCACCTCAATCATTTTTGTAAGGAAGAGTGATGTAAAATCCTAATGCAGTCAAACCTCGGTTGTCGAACGTAATCGTTCGACAACTGAGGCGCAGCTTCCAATTGGGTGCAAGAGCTTCTAGCACTCAAGCAGAAGCTGTGTCAGAAGTTTGGGTTCGAAAAACGTTCGAAAACCAGAGCATTTACTTCCGGGCTTTCGGTGTTAGGGAGCCGAAACGTTTGAAAATGGAGCTGTTCGAGAACCGAGGTTTGACTGTAATATGAGGATGACTGTTAATCAGGACCACTGTGATAAATTATTTAAAATATATAAATATTGAATTTCTAGAAGGATTTTGGAAAATTGCATCAGAGCCTGTAGATTTATAATGCAAAGAAATACATAATGTGTTGTGTGGATGGATGGGGACTGAATTGCTTTAGTACTTGAGCTTTCGTGTTTCTTAAATGGCATACTACAGACAAGAATAGCTGATTGCTTTCACTGTTTGTTGTACCACGGAAAACAATTCTGGTTTTTTTTGCCTAGTATAGTTTTCAAACAAGAGTCCTTGAGAAATGCTGTTAACAAAAGCAGTAACTCCTGTGAGGTTTTCATTTTCAGGGGGTTAATGTTATAAAAAGTTCTGTTCCTCTTTCTCTTATTAACTTAACTTCTAGTTTTAAAACTACAAAGTGTGGGTGTTTTGCTTTCCTAGAACCATTACTTTTCTTTCTCTTGTTAACCAAATCTCTGTAAGTCTCTCCTTTTTACATACCTAGCATTTATGTGAAACTAACTTTTAACAGCTTTTGTTTCTGATTATACCTGCTAGTATAACTGCTATAAAATCACACTTTGCAGCTTGACGGCAACAACCACAGGAACATACCAGATTTTATTTTTTTAAAAAACAAAAACCAACCAGTGTGCAGTATTAAAATATTTTCCACTATGTTTTAAAGACTACCCTCCACTGCATAGTGGTTTGTTCTTTCAACTCAGTGATGGCGATAGAACAAATGATGTTTCTGCTTGGACAAGCTTTGTTTTATCAGGATCAGTAACCTTCTCAGCAATTGACCCAGAACTATAATGCATGTCTCTGAATAGATAGAGAGCATATGTCACAGTGTTGTGTAGACTTGCCTCTTGAGCAAGAGAGTGTAATAAAGATTTTATAAAAAGAAAGATAATAATAAGGAGAAGTTCTTAGTCTTATTACTGATACAGCAGTGTGTATAGCAGCCATGCTTCTAACTTGGCAGTTGATGGTTCACCTCATTTCCAAGAATATCACTTGAATTTTAAGGATATAATATTATCTTCTAGGGAGCCTCTGGCTCTGAAGCGCCTGTTTTTTTATTATTATTCCTACTTTCACCTCACAATTTGCATGCAAAAAGTGTATGGACGATTGATGACCTTTAATTTAAGGAAGGGTCTCCCCTCTCTTCATATCAGTGCTCCAGATCATTTTTCAAGTCTTGGAATAAAGGTAGAGAAATGACAACACGGGCCTCGCATATAAAAATAAGTCACCCATAACATGTGCATTTTGACACGAACACTTCTCTTCTTTTGACCTTTGACAGGTTAGGGCTTGACCCAAAGCTGCTGGCCAAAATCCTAAATATGAGCTCAGGCCGTTGTTGGTCAAGCGATACTTACAACCCAGTGCCAGGAGTAATGGATGGCGTCCCTTCTGCTAACAATTATCAAGGTGGCTTTGGAACGACCCTCATGGCCAAGGTACGTATATAGAAAAAAAACAACATAAATGTGCTCATATAGAAAAGTTACTTGTCCTTCTTGCTGGACAGAATAAATGTTTTCTTTCAGTACCTTCTCCTGCTCATGACTTTTAGCAGCACATCGTATTATTGTGTAAAGATTTTCCTGCATTTCACAGAAAAAGACAAAATCAGTTCAAAGCAGCATCCATCTAAATCATTGGTAGGCAAAGTAAGGCCTGGGGGCCGGATCCGGCCCGCGGATGGTCCGGGAATCAGCGTGTTTTTACATGAGTAGAATGTGTCCTTTTATTTAAAATGCATCTCTGGGTTATTTGTGGGGCCTGCCTGGTGTTTTTACATGAGTAGAATGCGTGCTTTTATTTAAAATGCATCTCTGGGTTATTTGTGGGGCATAGGAATTCGTTCATATATATTTTTCAAAATATAGTCCGCCCCTGCCCCCAAGGTCTGACACACAGTGCACCGACTCCCTGCAGAAAAAGTTTGCTAACCCCTGATCTAAATCCTAAGGGGTTGGGAAAGCTAATGTCACATGGAAAAACACATTAAACCAACCAATTAAGATGTAATGCATAAAAATGTGTGTTATAAAACATAGGCTGGTTCTTGGATGGATGAAGGAAAATAAGCTGAGCTGGACTCCTGGAGGCACTGTGGGTGAGTGGTTCCCAAGTCCAAGAAACGGACCCATCGCCCACCTTGCATGGGGTTACAGTCCACCTGAAGAGACGCAGTCTCAGGGAGCTTCTGGATCCAGCTTTTTTACCAGAGGCCTAGCTGGCCTCAGTGGCTAGAAGTGCCTTCTACCAGTCATGACTGGTACCCATACCTGCACCAGCTGATGCAAAGAGAAGACGATCCTGCTTGCTCCAGACAGTAGCGTAGCATGGGGAGGCCACAGGGGTGGTTGCCCCAGGTGCAAAATTGTTAGGGGGCACAAAATTTCTTTCTTTATATTTTATTGATTTTTCCAGGATTTTAAACAAATTATCACCAGATTAGTACAAATTAATACAAATTTAAAAGCTGACTACTCCCCACCCCCCAGTTGTTTGTTCTTTTTTCCTCCCTCTGTTGCTGTTCCAAGTACAATAGTTTTTTCCAACTTTCATTTGGGGTCTGTGCGCAAAATTTCAACACCCGACGTTGCCTCAATACGGTTGCATGCTTCTGTCACTGGGCTCCGTCGTAAACAGTTTCTCCATGCGAACCAGGAAGTGACCTCTCCACATGACGGAACTGCTCTTCCTTTTCTTATATCTGTGGTTGCGATCACCTGTGTGACACGGATGCCACTACTAGGCAGTTGAATGCGAATGTGTATTCTGTCCGTTTCTCTCCCACTCACCGGTGCCTCCGTGCTGGCAACCCATGCTCTGCCACTGGCTCCAGGTGTGCGAGAGAGCCTTCTGCGGGGAGTTTTCATGTGCACCCAAAACCAGCGCTAAGCAGGATTCCCCCCTACCACACTCCTTCCCAGAAGAATGTTTGGTTTCTGAACACAGCTGATTGTTCTGACAAGCCAGATTCTGTGTACAGTGGTACCTCAGGTTAAGTACTTAATTGGTTCCGGAAGTCTGTTCTTAACCTGAAGTGTTCTTAACCTGAAGCGGACTTTCCCATTGAAAGTAATGGAAAGTGGATTGATCCATTCCAGACGATGAAAAACACCCCCTAAAACAGCAATTTAACACGAATTTTACTGTTTCACGAGACCATTGATCCATAAAATGAAGGCAATAATCAATGTACTATACTATAAAATAAATAAGACAGTATTTTAGATGAAAAAAAATAACGTTTCTTTTCTTACGTGCACTCACTGTTTGGAGGCGGCTCAGGGTCCTCTTCCACAATCACAATCAGCTTGGCTTCTGGCATTCGTGGAGGTCTCAGAGAGCTCCTGCGGCTGGAGCCCAGTTGCAGAGCCTCTGCAGGCCCCATGGACGTTGGGGCTTGGCTCCCGGCATTCACAGAGCCGCTCTAGGCACCGTGGACGTCGGGGCTTGGTTCCCGGCATTCACAGAGCCGCTCTAGGCACCGTGGACGTCGGGGCTTGGTTCCCGGCATTCGCGGAGCCGCTCTAGGCGCCGCGGACGTTGGGGCTTGCTTCCCTGCATTTGCGGAGGCCTCCGAGAGCTCCGTAGGCCCCGTCGATGTCCGGGTTTGCCTCCAGGCAGCAGCGAGGCCTCCGAGAGCTTGGACAACTTACTTCTGGGTTACAATCGTTTGTAACCCGAGAAAACGTAAGTTGAAGCATTCGTAACCCGAGGTACCACTGTATAAGCTGTATAATAAAAACGACAATCAGATTTTAATTCTTGTTTTACTTTCTTCCTTTTTTTGCTCCGCTTCCCCCAATTCTGTTTTGTTTTTCAGGATCTTGGCTTGGCCCAGGTTTCCGCTACCAACACTAAGACGCCAGTCCTTCTGGGCTCTCTAGCCCATCAAGTCTACAGGGTCATGTGTGCCAAGGGCTATTCCCAGAAAGACTTCTCGTCTGTGTTCCAGTTCCTACGTGAAGAGGAGACCTTGTGAAATCTCTTTGGACAACGGACACTGTTAACAACCAAACTGTCTTTGGAGCCTTCTTGCTGATTACTCATCAAATACATGGGTTTAATCGAAGGTCATGAATCATGATCTCACCCACCTCTAATTTGCTGGGCTACAGCAGATGCCAGGATTTATTTTGAAATATTATAAAGAGAAAGGGTTTTGGTGTGTGCTTTAGCTTTACGGTACATAACTGACTTAATTAAAGACCTGTAATCAGGTTTAAATAAAATTCAGTATCCTTGTATACAAAATGACTTTAGCGTGGTTCTAAACTGTGCAAATGTAACTGTGATTTAAGGGACTGATTCTGAGCTTCCTATCTAAGTAACAAACCATTTCATCTTTTAAAAAAAAGTTATTCCCATGAAGAATTTTCCTGATATTTTTTACATCTCGCTTTGGCCTAATTATAAATGCTGGTGGAAAGTTATATTAGAAGAGGTTTGTGAGTTTATTGAAAGGCTGCTGCTTATACGGTTTTAAATGGTAGACATAGTTAAAATAACACTGTGTGTGATTAATCTTTGCTAATCTGATTTTATATATATATATTTTTACCCTTTTCACATATTTTCGAAAGGTTCATGTCTACTAACCTCACTGTTACACATTTACTTTAGGTATATCCTGCATTATTATAAATCTAAATAAATAAACCCCATGCCTTCGAAGGCAAATAAAAACCAAGATAGTGAATGATCACTAAATGTGGTTTTTTGTGTGTGATTACATTTGTTTTCCTGCCATAATTATAGGACTCTGGGTGTACAAATATATGTATTTGTATAAAATCTGTGTAAAACTCTATAGACGACTACATTCTTTAAAGTTTCCCTCGTTTTTCACTGCAGTCCATATGTATTAACATTGAGGACTACAGTCCAGAGCAATAAGACCTGTTAGTCTTTCTACATAATAAATGTAGCACGTGAGTATACTTTTTATTTTGCACACGAAGGAACCCTCTGAACCTATTCATGAGGAGAAGTAAATTGTTAATGAGAGCTGGCAATTTCCACAGCTTTTGGCCGGGGATGGGTAGGAGAAAAACTACCCATGCATAAGACCTAACAATCATTGTGTAATTTTGCTGTGCTCTTTAAGTATACCCATCTCTGCTTAATGGTGGGGACCAAGTAAAGATTTACTATTGGTTTCAGTAAGCTATGGGCCATTGTGTGTGTAGGAATCCCTAATACATGCTTATCCTGGATGATGCAGCACCATTGAATAGGGACAATTGTATGTAAGTAATTGTTTGAATAAGGTCAATTTTTTTCTTTGTTTCCATCAACGCATTCACATTGCAATCCAATACATGTCTACTCAGAAAGGGGCTTTATTGAGTTCATCGGGGCTTTCTCCCAGTCTTTACATCTCAAGCCCCAAGATGTGATGTGGAGGAAAGTCCCACAGAAAGAAAATTTTGGATACAGGTGTTTAAATTTTGCTGTTTAAATAAATCAAGTGTTTGGGGAAGTGGCATTCCAACAGCTGTACCTAGGAAGACATCACAGAACACATTTCATAGTTCTCTCATTAATGGCAGGAGAGCTTTGTGGAATGATAACTGTAGCACAAACATTTGCTATTACGGAGTACTCATTCGCACATTATTTTTTACTTCTGCTTTTCTTCTCCAGCAGCTCCCACTGTTGAAATCTCCTGGTTTTCTTTTATAAAAGCAGTTTGTGGATATATGGCATGGGAGCAGCTTAAAAAGAAACACAGGAGGAAATACAGTGTGTTTCCCTAACCTACAAACCATCCTGTTGCACAACAGCTGATAGCACTCAGAAAAATTAGAAGTGTGTGTATGTTTATGGACCATGGACCATGATGTAGACTACAGTGGGAAGTCCTGAAGAAACTTTGTTGAGTTGATGGCACAGACACATAAATGGTTATCTGCTAATGGAAGTCAGGTTGGAAAATGAGTTAAGAAACCGACATGTTCAAATCACGAGTCCTGCATAAAATAGACTTGATATATATATTTTTATTTTTAAACCTACTAACTGGCTTTTGTGCTTTTTGAGAGTGTTTATTATTTTAAGATTCTCTCCCCCTTTTAAGTTAAACTTGAATTGTGATGTTGGCACTTAAATATCCATCACTCAGTAAAATCTGGGTATTTCTCTGACAGTGTTGACAAATCCTAATGAAGGCACACTTTCCTTTTTAAAGAAAAGATAAACACATTGATGGCAGGGGGGGATTGGCCTCTACAATTTCTTGAGTCAATGGTATTTATTTTAATATCACAGGTTAAAATCTGCATATTTTTGCGAACAAATTTTGAATGGAACCCCTCTGTAGATAGAGATAAAGAGAAGACTGGGGCTGCTGTTCCTCATTCTCCTTAACCGTGACCTAGAGTCTTCCTTCTCCTTAGGGGTCGGAGGTAATTAGTTATGTCTGCTTGTTAAATGTTGAGGTTTGCTGAGCCAAGTTCCCAGGAAGACAAGGCTGTTAGTGTGGTAACTATATAGTCTATTAGTCACCAGGCTTTACCCTTGAGTTGGAAATAAATGAGTATACATGATCTTTCATTTTATGTGGCAGATCCCATAGCATTTGCAAAATTTATCTGATTGCACAACAGATAAAGGTCACCAACTGCTGAATCACAGCATGTTATTTAGCAGCAAATAGAAATGGTTCTACAGTACTTTTTGAGGGTAGACCAGCCCTTTGCAGATTCCATTTTCCACTCCCCTCTGCATAGGTATGTGTGGAGGGCGGGTCACAATGGCAGCAATGGGTTCTCCTCCCTCTGTGTACCCAATTGGATATAACCTCTGCATGTAGGTGCAAATTGTCTGATCAAAACTCCCTATTTTTTAAAAAATTAGGAACACAAAGATCATGTAAATTTTTGTGTACACAAACATGTCCATACAGCCTTGAGTATGCTCAGCGGACACATGAAACTGACATGGTTGTTAGGGAGGGGAACTGAATGCAGTTACTGGAACACTAAACCGAAACACTCACTGCGTGCTGCAACCAGTTTGTTGCACTAGTATTGTGCATTTTCATTCTTAAAAGCTGGATCAACTGGAGAACTGTTTGGGTATGATAGATTGTGGCTGTGTTCGAGGCTAAACGAACTTAAATTGAAATACACTTCTACATACAATATTTTATACAATGTATTTCATGCCATTTACCATGGAGAGTGGAATATCTGGATCAGCTATCTGAAATAATAATAATAATAATAATAATAATACAGTAATAATTTTATTATTTGTACCCCGCCCATCTGTTTGGGTTGCTCCAGCCACTCTGGGTAGCTTCCAGAGTTATTTAAATTTATTAAACCATTCTTTCCCACTTGATTGTAATAAAACCTCAAAGCAGTTTAATAAATTTATGTCCTGCTTTCACTGTAGGTCCAAAAGTCACAAGGTAGCTTATCTGCAGCATGCTATAGTTACCAATATAGATGCACACACACACATACACCCCATAAAACTCTTTTTTTTCCTTTTTCTTTTTTGTCCTTGCCCACAATTCAGTGGCCATTGCTGGGAGAAGAGTAATATTTTTGTTTGTTGCAAGTGGGATGTATGGTAACGGACGTCACTTTTGCTCACCTTGCTTTTTGTAGGCTAAACCAATAGAAGTGCTAGCAACCCAAACTTGAAGATTGAGAAACTTCACAGCTCTGCAAAGAGCTTTGACTATTGACAGAGCTTGTTTAGATGTCGGAAAGACAGAAGCTACCTCCTACTAAAACAGAAGCCTGTGCGATAAAGGCCATGCCAAAATGTCTTGCCTCTCCAGAGGCCCCTGGAGGCTATTGCTTTGGCAGCAGTGCCTGATTCTTTCGCTCTGGTTGCCAGGAGCCTGGTGCCTTGCTAACATCCCGCTTTTGTTTATGACCTAATGTAGCGCTAGGTTTCCAGCTTGGATTGAATTAAGCTTTTTAGATCTTACTGTTTTGCATATGTACACAACCGAGCTGACAAGTGTATATTTAATATGTTGCCCTGACTCTAAGAGTAATGGTGGATATTCAATCTGCTGTAAGCCGAAGCGATGGGAGGGGGCAGTGGTGTGTCTGCCAAGGCTTGTATGAGAGACTCCAGCAAAAGGAAAAACGAGGGGGGGAGCGGAGCATGGGAACACTTTATGCATTGCTGCAAACGCAGGATTTAATTTCTCCTTTTTACAAAGTAATTTACAAATAGATTAGGATATCATCAAGCAAAATAAATTCCACGTAATTAATGGGCATCGTGCACACATATATTTACAATCTGCTTTTAACTAACACCGTGAATTGGCGATTTTCATAACATCTTTTCAAGCTTATTAAAAACGTGCTCCACATGCACCGCAATAGTGGGGAAACAAACCACAATATTTTCAGAACTTGCTCTCTCTTTCCTTTGTTCTTTAATGATTCCTGTAAAGCCTAGATATTTAAATGCTTGGGTGTACAAATGTACTTGGTATGTGTTATGCGGCCCATGAGCCAAGGCGATGAGTAACTATACAACCATTTAGAAGACATCTGAAGGCAGCCCTGTATAGGGAAGGTTTTATGTTTATTTTTTATGTTTTTATATATGTTGGAAGCTGTCCAGAGTGACTGAGGCCACCCAGTCCAATGGGTGGGGTGCAAATAATAAAATTATTATTATTATTATTATTATTATTATTATTATTATTATTATTATTGAATAGGATGTCCCTATTTTCACTGGAGAAATGTTGGAAGGTATGTGTGCCTTTTACATGCATTGAAAGATAGAGATGTGCCTTATTCTGTGTAAGCTTAATTTTAAGACACTGTTAGACACCAGCAGGTGGTGTTTCCAGAAGCATTTTTTAAAAAACTTCATACCCACAGAGGCAGTTTTAGGGTTCAGCCGCACGGGGTGCCACGCTGCAGAATGATGTAGAATGGAGAGCAAGAGACAAGGTGGCACCAGATTTTAGTGTCACACTGGGGGCTGCTGAAATTTCATAGAATGGTAGAGTTGGAAGGGACCCTGAGGATCATCTGGTCCACACAAACCCTGCAATTCAGGAATAATATGCAATTGCCCCATACAGGGATTGAACCAGCATCCTTGGCATTATCAACACCACGCTATAACCAGCTGAGCTATCCAAAGTCTGCCACTGATACCCACATAGTATTCTCATACCGGTATATAAAAACTAGAGCAAAGCTACCTCTGATAACAGGCACAGCTCTCCCTTACATAACATAAAGCATGCACTGTCTTTACTTTATTCAAATGCTCATGTTCATTTCCATTTGTTTTATTTTATTTTATTGATACGTCAAAAAAAATACAAATAAAAACAGTGATAAACACAATATTAATTGCAAATCAATAAAGCAAAAAGTGGTCCCCATTTGAAGCTGATCTTGTGTGGTCCAGTAAAGGAGATTGGCATATGAGATACCATACCAGTTGTTAAGAGTATTAGTTATGCTACTCTAAACTGAAGGGTTGGGTTTGATACTCATACATAGATTTAGGCTAGCCCTCCAAATACCTTGCCTACAAGATTCTCCTTTTTGTACCTTGCATTCATCCCTACTTATGTGGAGTGCATGTTGTTTAACTCGGCTGTGGACCAGGCTAGTAGCTGAAATGCTATGCTATGATTTAAGCGACTTTTGAGGTCTACTGACTTCAGGAAGAGTGAATCTCCTTAACTGAGTCATGGAACAGGCTGCATTGTTTTATAAAATGTATTCAGATTCTATCAAAGAACCTCTTCGTTCCAGAAGCAAGCCAGCCTAGAAGCAAATTGGCACCTGTGCTATTAATAATGCAAATTTGCAAACAAGAAAGTACCAAGTAGAAATAATGCACTCTTTGAGAAGTAATAAACTCTTTGATCTTTCTTTGAAGACGGGAGTATAGGTTTAAACTACCTATTCAGGAACAACCAGATGCCCATAAAGGCCGGTACTTTGCTTTGATAGAAAATCGCTGAAACCTGCCCAGCTGTGCTCATTTGTAAACAGATTAGTTAAGTGCTCATCAGCCCCAATTTGCATAGTATAACTGTATAGTTCACCATAGCCAGCATCAACAAAAATTTGTTTGTTGGAAGTTTAAGAAAACCTGTTTCTATGAGCCTGAAATTGCAATGAGATAATTATGTGCACAGTAAAGCATTCATTATAAGAGTAGAGCTGTTTGCCATCCATTTAGTTGAATGGGAAAATAGATGCCTGCTTCATAAAAATACAGGATAGTGATATAGCTATGATTTTGGCTTTCTGGTGGTCAGCCATTATGTGCCACAAACATGTTTGTTCATTTTTATATATTGATTAAATAAACTTATATCCCACTGTTCCTCCCAAAGGAGCCCAGGGTGGCAAAAAAAACAAGCCACCAAACAATAAAGACATATTAAAAACAATTCCAATATAGATGCAGGCTGATAAAGATCTCAGCTTTAAAATCTTATTGGAAGGGAAAGGTCTTCCAAAAAACAAACAGAGACAGACAGGTCTAGGGTTACAGATCAGCACTGTTGGGAAGGTACATTCAGTAACTCAGCTAGGACATAATCCTAAACCAAGCCATGATTTAGCAAGCAAATTTAGCAGTTGTCCTGCTACACTGTTGTTAGGCAAACTATAGTTTCACTTATGTCAGAATCAAGGTGTGTGGTTTATCTTGCTCCAGACTGAGCTGTAGCCAAGGAGGCTTACAGCTTGTGGTTTGTCTGAGGGAGATAAACTATGAGCTCAGGTTCAGATATAATGCTACAAAAACACCATGGGAAGTAAGGCTGCCCAAACTCCTTTCAACTTTCTTTAAAAAGAAAGGGATGTTGTTTCATATGGTGTTGAGCTTCAGCTCCCATCAGCATGGAGAGTGGTCAGGGATTATGGGAGTTGTCATTCAACAGCATTCCTCACCCTTAATTTAACTCTCTCCACTTGCTGTTTTTTAATGTCCCTGTTATTCCATTTGAAATCAGGGATGTCCAACCAGTAGATTGTGATCTACCGGATCCTGACAGATCTCAGGATCCTTATCGTGTACAAAAAGTTACGGGAGGAAAGCTAAAAAAACCTGTGCAATCCTCCCCCCAAAAAAGCTTGACAACTCTGGGCAATCCACCCACCCTACGCATGCTCCTCCCCCCTCCAATAACAATGGTAGATCAGTGCCAGGTTTTTCATACTGGGAGTAGATCGCAGTCTCTTGGGAGTTGGACATGCCAGGACTATATCATATAGAGAAATGGCAATACTTTGTGGTGTGTGAAAAACAAAGGCAGTCCTGTTAACCTAGAAGGAGGTGCAGGGAAACCTTCAAAATCCACAGTTGAGCAATACCTACATTAGGACCCAAGAAAATAGCACAAAATCTTGAGCAAGCTTTAAGATTTTCCAGAACTCTTTATAAGGCTTAATTTTGCACAAATTGCAGGTGGTGATGGTGAGGAACACAACTTAAAATTTCAAAAATTAGGCCTTGAGGTCTTCCTTTCGATTGGAGTGAGAAACTTATCTCCTAAGTCAGGGGTCAGCAAACTTTTTCAGCAGGGGGCCGGTCCACTGTCCCTCAGACCTTGTGGGAGGCCGGACTATATTTTTTTTTGGGGGGGGAATATGAATGAATTCCTATGCTCCACAAATAACCCAGAGATGCATTTTAAATAAAAGCACACATTCTACTCATGTAAAAACACCAGGCAGGCCCCACAAATAACCCAGAGATGCATTTTAAATAAAAGGACACATTCTACTCATGTAAAAACATGCTGATTCCTGGACTGTTTGCGGGCCGGATTTAGAAGGTGATTGGGCCGGATCCAGCCCCCAAGCCTTAGTTTGCTTACCCCTGCTGCACACCTGTCAGTTACTCAATATCACAATGACTTAAGGTAACATGCATGCGTGTTTGGTGCTTTCAAACTCTAACCATCAGCTAAGAGTTCAGACTTCAAAGTGCAAGCAGTGACATTCAGCTTTCTGTTGGGGCTTGAAGAGAGCTCTTCCTGGTGCTTTGCAGCCCCAACTCTTAGCTAACTGTTGGGGCTTCAAAGCACCATGGACAGCTCCTTGTAAGCACCAGTGATCAGGGGCTTGCAGGTGTGGGAATGTTGTGGGTAGCAGAAGAGGATATATTGATTAAATATTATCCTTCCTAACTCACGCTAGTGAGTTTATTCATACAGCAGAGTACAGTCCCCTCTTTACACAGCAAGGAAGCTATTTGCAGATTCGTTAGAATCTCTTAAGTTCTATTATTCCTGGTAAGAGCCTTTTGATTCCCTCCTAAAAGAATAAAGACACAACAGTCTTCTTTTAAAAGTAATAAGAAGTTTGCTCACATTCAGTTCACAGCTGGATCTCTGAAGGCAGGCTTTAGCTTAGAGTTACAAATAAGTAGAAGGAGCCCCATCAACAGTGCTCTGAACCCGATCCTCTACACCATCACCACCACCTCCTTCCAAGAGAAGCTCAAGCAGTGTCTTCAGAAGAACAAGCCATCTCTGCAGGATACGCAAGGGAAGAGCTTTGTCTTGTTATCTGTCCACAGCAGCACCTGGCATTTAGGCCTTGGGGGGGTGCTTAAAAGATGTACGGGGGAGAGAGAAAGAAAGTAGAAGGAGTGGGTTTATCCCATGTGGGTATAGTGCAGTCCAAGAGAAGAAATGGCATGAAAACAGGAAGGTGGTTGCGTGACTGGACCTTTTGTGGGGTCTGCGTGGGGATGTTTAGGGAGGCAGGAGAGGATATATTATTTTATGTTATCCTTCCTAACTTGCGTCAGCAAGTTCTATGACTTAGCAGAGTTGTTAAACAACCCCCCTTTTAAATTACACAGCAGTTAGCTAGTTGCTGCTCGTCTGAGCCTCACTATTTAGGATTCCTGGTTTCCCTTTTTATATCCATCCTAAAAGAATAGACACGACCATCTGATTAAAGTTAACATAAAACTAGTTTACTTACAGTCATCCAGTTCACAATAAGATCCCTGAAGGCACACTTAATTTACAGAACAACGTATAACTATGTGAACTATCCCATAAGGGAAATAGTCTCAAGTGACTGCGACTCAGCAGTCACTTCTCCTAACTCTTAGGAACACAAAAATGGAGAAAAAGAAGAACAGAACAACATGGAGGAATGTCTGCTCCTCTGCCCAGAAGAAGCCACACCCTCTTTGAGTCACATGCAGTGAAAGTCTGTCCCAGCTCAGGAGGAAGCAGGAAGTTTTCTTCTGAGTGGTACAAAACATCCCTTAACATGTCCACTGTAGGAATGTTGTGCTTGACTGCTATAAGTTTCACATCCCACAGTCATGCCCACCTATCTGGTCACAAGCAAAGGAAGGATGCTCCAGACCAGGTGTAACAGGAAGTTCAACTGGCTGGACCAACATTCCCCTGCATGTCCACTCTAGGCAAACAGGAAATGTTGTATTTGACTGCTTATGTTACATCCCACAGCAGGGAGTCCAGTAGGTTACTGTGCACTGGGCTCTGCAGGCACCAAAATTCAGTGGCCAAAGCAAGGGCTGCACTTGGAATTTAGACCCTTTCTGTAGATGGAGATTGCAGACTGAATTAATTTATGCAAGATGCTTGCAGGGATCAGACTGCACCTTGGCTTCCCATGGGCATCTTACATTTTCCGTTTAAGCCTCCCATGTGAAAATGCCCTGAGCTAAGGTGAGAGGGAAATAGAAACCAGCAATCTGTGGCTGAGGTCACTGCATCTACTATGCAGTTGTCATGGCTAACTGAAAGGTAAACAAGTTGCTAAAAGAGTGCTGTGGTCCTCCCCTGGGGTAATAAAATCTAGCTTGGTGTAAGACTGGCCCTACAATTAGGAGGAGATCAAGATGTCAGTTGAGGTTATTATTTCACCACCTGGAATCGGGTTGGGGTGTTGTTTGGATTTTCTGCCTTGGGATGGCAGAAAATCTTGCAAGCTGCTTTAAAGTGGGGAAATTTCTGAAGTGGAAGGCAGGTTTGCTTATTTGTTTGTTTAGAGCAGCTCACAACATGAAACATTACAATTTAATTTAACAATGCACAGAAGTTGCAAGGAAAAACCAGGCATTTAAAAATAAAAAGAAAAATTGCCTCATAAAATAAAGGCCTGATGGAATAAAAACACATTTAGTT